TTTTTGTAATTTTCCTGCAGCCTGTGTTGTTGACCGAGCAGACGACTGGAGTTGCTTCTTAAACGCGGATACGAACAAAAGCTCGATTTCGCGGACAGAGAAGTCGCACGGTCGAGGCATGCGAGTTAGCTGAATATTACTCTCGGTAGAAGAATTCTGTAGTCATTGCCGCTTTCCTTAGATGATCAAAACTGATTAGTGTATCTCCGGAGCCCATAGTTTCGGTTTTGGACGAAATCTCTGAAACGAAAGTTTGACATGAAAATAACAAAAAAACACCGGGAAAACAAAATCATGCTTTGCAAGTTTATGTGCACCGGCTACACTTAACCGTCTCAGTTCAAATACCTATAAAATTGGGCATTAAACAAAAGAAAATCTGTTAAATTGAAAGCGCCACCTGTTCAGGTGGCCCGGCCGAGCCGACGCGACCTGGACTCAGCCGCCATGTTTGTTTGGTGGTGGCGCCCCCTATAGGTCGCTGGAGTCGCGAATACACATTTAGATAGGTGTTCCGCATTTTTACATTTCTTCTTTTTTTTCTTTTTTTCTTTGTCCTCTACACCTTGTTTAGTTTCAGCCGCAGTTGTATCTCGAAGTTTGCTTCTGTCACCCCCAACGAATCATGGTGTCATGAACAGTGCTCCTAGCTCGAATTGGCACAGTTGATGGAGGGATATTATTTGGGAACTAATATTAGGGACAAAGGCATAATTTGACAAACCCAATGAAGTGTACTAAACAAAAACTAAGAATATAAATGCTCAAAAGTGATACCCCTTAAACCACTCAAAAACTCGTAGGAGCATGCTCATGAATTTGAATACAAGCTGTTTCCTGGTTGAAAGCCAAAAACAGTCCAAAGACACGGACAAGAACGCGAAGGTAGACGAACAACAGCGCTGCTGGAAAATATGCCTGGAAAATAGAGTGACCAGTAGAAAACTAGGGCTTGTCACCTAAAGCTGCCGAGCGAAACTTGCTAAGCATCCCAGAAATTAAGGGTGTTATAATTAAACATTTTAAAATTGCACAATAAAATGATCAACATAACAAAAAAGCATGTTATTTTTATGCGTGTATACAAGTTGGAGTTGGTCGCCCTTGAACATGAAAGAATCTTGAGTAATGGCCGACAAAGCAAACACTCAAACGTTACATTGATTTTACCTTTCATTTTTTTAATGAGAAGAGCACGTCGCCTCTGCCATGTGCAAAAAATGTATTGTTAATTGGATATATGAATTTCATCCGAAGAGAAGTTGAAACCAACAAGATATAAGAGAGAGAGAGAAAAAAAAAAGACTGCGGGCCAACAGCGGTTGCTATGAGCACTCAGAGCCAATCCAAGGCCGTGTGGGTGTCACATTTGATTGGGGGCACTGCGACGCGCGGAAAGCGTATCACGGACTACCTCCACAGAGTGGGATTGGCTAGGATAGCTGGTAGCGTCCAGAGGTCAGCATTTTAGGTCGCCCTCACTCATCCTCACCCTCACAGTCACACTCACCTAAGCCCCTCACTCACCCTCACAGCTACACTCACCTCTCAGCCCCTCACTCATCCTCACCCTCACAGTCACACTCACCTTCAGCCCTTCACTCACCCTCACTGAACCTCACGGCCCTCACGCACTCACCGCCCTCACCGCCCTCACGCCACTCCCCGCCCTCACGCCACTCGCCGCCCTCACGCACTCATAGCCCTCACGCACTCATAGCCCTCACGCCACTCACCGCCCTCACCGCCCTCACGGCCCTCACGCACTCATAGCCCTCACGCCACTCACCGCCCTCACCGCCCTCACGCCACTCACTGCCCTCATGCCACTCACCGCCCTCACGCCCCTCACCGCCCTGGCGGCCCTCACACCCCTCACGCACTCATGGCCCTCACGCCACTCAGGCCAGCTTCAGATGGGGCAATTTCGCCCAGAAACTTTACGTCGCAACACCAGCAACACGGGCCGTCCGCGATCACACGCAGCAACCAATTGCTGCAATTTGCCATCGTCATCATAAAAATTAATTTTTCTTGCACTATTTAGACACAATTACGCGTTATAAACATGTTTTTATGCATTTAAATCTCGTTAAGAATAGTAATGCACCTTTCTGAAACAGTTTATTTCCAAAAAAACGATCAATTTCAAACCAGAACCAAGTCTTTGGGTGTCATCATCACCGGCACGAGGTATCACGTGAAAATTTTGCGTCCCTGATTGGATGCAGCCGCTTCAAACGTAATCGATTTGCTCCGATTTGCTTGCTTATTTCGAGCCGGACCCGATCTCAGCAATTCGTGTCGATCTAGGGAAAGCTAGAGAACAACCCGCCATTAACACCAAAATTGCTGAGAAAGAAGCTCGATCTGAAGGGGGCCTCACGCACTCACCGCCCTTACGCACTCACCGCCCTCACGCACTCACCGCCCTCACGCACTCATGGCCCTCACACACCTCATTCACTCACCGCCCTCACGGCCCTCACGCCTCTCATGTCACTGCCCTCACGCACTCATGGCCCTCACACCCCTCACGCCACTCACCGCCCTCACGCCCCTCACGCACTCATGGCCCTCATATCCCTTACCGCCCTCATCGCCCTCATGGTCCTCACCGCCCTCACCGCCCTCACAGCCCTCACCGCCCTCACGTCCCTCACCGCCCTCACCGCCCTCACAGCCCTCACCGCCCTCACAGCCCTCACCGCCCTCACTTACCCTCACTCACCCTCACACTCATGAATTTTCCTGGTTCAGAAACTCACTCACCCTCACCTCACCTGTGAAGATGAGGGTGAGTGAGTGTGAGTGAGGGCCCTCATGAGTGCGGTTTGCCGAGGTATGGTAGCACCCGCTGCGTCCAAACGTTAGGTGAAGCGGAGTATAGAAATCTTCTAAATGGCAAATCTTCTATAAAAAAGTTAAAAAAAGATCAGTACAGGCTAAGAAAAGTTTACGGGGGAGAAAGGAGAAAGCAAACGCAAGCTTGGAGTAAAGAGGAGGTATCTCCTCTCTTCTCTGTTACGTTTTAGGTCATTTTGGCAAACAGAACACACAAACAACCTTTCCTGCCGGAGTCAGGCTGAAGACTGAGCGGTTATTAAAGATAAAAAGAAAAATAAAAGAAAGGACGCCTAGTGTACGGGGCACTCGGGTTACGTGAAGCGGGGAACGGCTCCGCGCGAACGGCGGTTCTTGTTGGCTCTCGGAGGCTTTGGAGCTTGCGAGCGTGGTTGACTCCATCTTCGTCTACCAAACTTTCGTCTGCTTCCTGCTGTGCAGCTCGCAGATATTTCTTAACCTGTCAACCGGTTTTGCCCAGAACTGAGTGACTCCAGCACTTCTAAACCCTCTCGCCAAAAAAAAGAAGAATTGTAATGGGTAATTTTGTAATTGCTTACAGCAAGAAAGTAATTAAATTACAACGATCGTTACTCGTTAAAGGAAGTAATTGAAGTGTTACAAAATTACAGTAAAATGTAATCAATTACAAGTAATCCATTACTTGTAATGCGTTACGTACAAGTCTGGTCAAAACTAAGTGTGGATTTGCTTATACTACCACACAACAGACAATGGCATATAAAAATATCAGTTGATTTAAAAATGTCGGCCAGCCACTCTTTGGTCGATTGTAGCTGAAATCACCTTACAACATCTATAATTTCAAGGGAACATTAATTTAGGTGCCCAAAATTACTATATTCTTACATTATTTCAGTGAAATTCAGTACCTAAAATAACCATTCACAGCAGTATGTGCCGTCCTTCATTAGTCATCTTGTTACTGTGTTTGGTGCTTCTCTATACAACTAAATGCTAGTTTTGTGTTTCAGGGAATCGTTCCTGCTGTGCAATCGATGCTAACAAAGGGTTGCAAGCAGGCATTGCCTTTTAGTCGGACAGGGCGACACATTAATTTTGACATAATATTTGCAGTTGTATGAATGAAAATAAAATGTGCACTCATGCTCTAGGAGTTATTTTTGCTGCTCCAAAACTTACCTTTACAGGGGCACTGACACCCCAAAGGTCGTATTTTTTTTATTGTCTAAAACGATGCAAGTAGCAGTCATAGACACTCAAAAAAAAAAAAGAAACGCATCGCGAAAAAAAATATTTTTGCGCGCGCGCAAGAATATTTTTTATTTTTTTTATTTTTTATTTTAATTTTATTTTTGGCGTTTGATTTTCCCGCCTCTCACCTCCTCGCTTCTTTTGATTCGTGACGTCAAGAATCGCGAAATTTAGAAGCTTTGTAGGCGACATTTCTATAACATTTAATAACGGCAATCATAAAACATGTTTTCTAACGCAATTGCGAACGCACTACGGCCCTTCTTTTTGAAATACCAAAAATCGGAGTCCGTTGTGGTGCCGTCTCCTGGATTTATATCCTCCCACGGAAAACAGGCGACACCGCTCAAAACTGGTCCGCCGGCGTTCGCTTGCGCTCGCTCCTTTCCTCCTCGCTTTGGGTCGCCACGGCAACAGCAGGGAGACGTGAAAGAAAGTGGATTCTCAGGTCTCCGCAATATTTGACGTCAACGCACCGGCGTGGATCGCGCGGGAACTTCGAATTCGGCATTTGGAAATTGTTTTTTTACTTCACAAATACTGAATCCCCAAATTTCGAATTTTGGGGGTAATGTCCTGGCATCGTTTTCAATCGTTTTTGGATGATAAAAAAAACATAATTTTGATGTGTCAGTGCCCCTTTAACTGCTCTGAGAGCTACTCTAAAATCACCCTGACCAATCACATCCCTGCACTTGTCTAAACAAGCAACCTGAGTTAGTGATACAATGGTTGACACCAAGAGAAGAAAAGACAAAGAGAAGGAGAAAATCTGAGACATTCTCTCTCTCTTCTCTTGGTGCAAACTTTCGTATCCCTCAGTCTCGAGTTGTTTCAAAATTTTCAACGTACACCAGCTCACTCCCACCTTTACGTTCTGTACGTTCATCTTTTTTGTTCTTTCCTTCTCACGACCGTAGGTAAAGTTCCTGCAGAAAGCACTGAAAGACTCATTTTCTGTGAAGATCACGGAGTCCCCCACGAGCCCCGGTGGCCATCCCCTGATTGAGATCGACCAGAACCGGCCCTTGCCCAATTCTCCTTTGTGCCTCAGCCCCAGGAAGTCGGGCTCCTCCGCTAACCGCCATTGGCGCAAGCAGCTCACCAACCAGAAGATGTCCGAGTTTGGGCTCTCGGAAAACGTGTTTGAGCTTCAGGAGGAGATCTTCTTCTTGGTCCTGAGGATTGAGGACCTTGAGAAGCAGCTCAAGGAACGCCCTGAGGTATGGGACCTCGAAAAGCTCTGGCAGTTGCACGTTCGGGCCGTGTTGCCATAATATTGGCGTTTGTTTCCTTCGCAAAACGGTGTAGCACCCTGGTGAATTGCTCATTTTTTACAGTGACTTTGAATCATTGTAGAGAATTTAAGGAAATTTGTTACACACTCTGATGCAAAGGTCATAAATGTGGGGTTTATAGACTTGTTTGCTCCAGATTGCAACATTTCGTTCCCACGAGATATTCGGAAAAGTTCAAAAGAAATAGTGGGAAAGTATGAACTTCCTTATATAAATGTCCACATTACCGTGCAAATTGATGTCACAAGATACAGCTGCCTCACCTAACTATAGCTTGCATCATGGATTCTCAAACTGTGTTTCCCGGAGCACCCTCATGGGTTCCCTGAGCTACGAAATTTCCTCGAGTGTTCCTACCCCTAAGTGCTCATTTCCCACCCCTAAGTGCTTTTCCAGTTTAAGCTTTCTCTTAGCAGATCTGAGCCAACCATTGATGCACATATATGAGCCAAACACGCCCCAGTATGGGCATTATTGCTTACGAGGTTGATAGGCTCGTACGCATCTTTTATTCATCACTGCCGCGACCAGGAGGAGTTTCTCGGCCTCAGTTGAGTGCATTTAAAGGTTTGTCGAGCGACTTTATGATCGTGTAAGGCTAATGCCCCCAAGAGCGTGCATGCAGCCCCTCATGGAAGGAGGTTCGTCGGTCCAAGGCCCAGGAGCTGCGAACAGCAAATACCGTCTTTCTCAGGTCGTTGGCAGCAACCAGGAGCCGACCCAGGACGGTTCCCTGGGCCCCGAGCAGCTCGGGGACAAGCGGCACGTGGCGCTTGAGGCCCAGCTGCGCGACATGCAGGAGATGTCGGCGGTGCTGCTCTGCCGCCTGGAGGAGCTGGCAGCATTCCTGGAACAGTTGCTGACCTACGACGGGTCGGGGCCCCTCGGCTCGGTTACGCTATCCGCCGACGTGGTGGCCAAGATGCGCCAGCTCATCGCAGACAGCAAGGACTTTTCCCTGTCCGTGTCGCAGAGCATCCTAGGTGAGTGGGCGCACCGTTGGCGCCACCAAACATGCCTCGCTTAACCCACGGGACTAGTTGATACAGTCTTTATCAGAAGTGTAGAACCCACCGCGAATATGGCCGGAGTGGGCTCACTACTGTACAGCGGCACTACTGCCGTTTGCGCTCGCAAGGGTTTTAAGAGCGAAGGGAAACTTCGCTCTTGCGTCACACTCGTCTTGATGATTGACTTTGTTATTGAGGCAAGCGTAACGCAAGGGTGAAGTTTCCCCTCATGCTTGATATCCTCGCAACCACAGAACACCGACAATAGCAGTGCCTCCGTAGAGGAGCAAGGCTGCTCCCGTCACGTTTGTGGTGGGCTCTAAATGCTCGAAGAAAGATGGTGCATATGAGATCCACAAGGTTAAGGTGGGGTCACAAACATCACACAGTTGGTTTAGAAGGGCTAAATGAGGCTGATATTAGCACATCAACGGAGCACTTTGAGGTTAAATAGTTCTCAGCAAGTCCACATTGTCGCGTCGGGTCAGTGTTGCCAGTCTTTGCAGGCTTTTACCAACTTTGCTTGGTAGGAAGTGCAGGTGACTCTTGCAGTATTCCTGCTGGTTGAAAAAGTGCATGCCAGGTCTAAACAACATCGGCAGTACCATGATACTGAATCTAAAATTGAAAGCCGTTTACGACTCTCTGTAACGCCGAATTAGAGCGCAGCTCTTGAGGGGAAGGATGGAAGGGTACTGAGGGGAGGGTATATATACCTCTCCTTTCTCCCCCTCACCTCGTCATCCTGCCTGCTACTTTGCCACGGAGGCCACGTGACCTCACAATTACGCCGACGCCAACGGCGATGCTGCTCAAGCCAGAAATGGGCGCCTAAGAGCTCTGCTGTAAAACTCAAAATTCAATTTAGGAACATCTGTTGCCAGTGGGATCACTGAGGCTCTGCGCAACAAAAGGACAATGCTCGTGAGCCACTGGCACCTGAGCAAACGTCGCATTATGCAAATGGCAAATGGTGCAAACACCTTGTGTGTAGCTGTTAGGTGTCTTCTTGACCTAAGGAAACCAAATTTTCAGAAAGCTGGGGAAAAAAAAATGTCTGCACCAAGAATATTGTACGAAGGCAAAGGCGACGTGAGGCTTGTTCCTCCCTTCGAATGTGCACCGGAGAAATTTGTAAATTCAAATGAAATTCACCCTTGTGCGCGAGCCACAGCGTATCTGTGTAACATATCTACAGCATCATTTTCCCACAGAGGAAATCAGGAAAGACATGTCATTGCTCTCTGCCCAGATGGCACTATACAGGCTTAAAAGAAAGCCTGAGTAGTTTCACCTGCTTAGTATACTTGTATAAAGATAGTAGTTGTAATCGACTGACATTTCTCTTCATGTTTGTTTTCCCCCCAATTTCGATAAGGGTCCGACACCGGAAGTGTCTTGAGTGAGCATCACACGAGGAGCTCCCTGCAGAGAGGAATGCACTCGGTTCTGTCTTCTGGAGATTCCAAAGGGTATGTTCCCATGCCTTGTTATAAACAGGGGATAAATCAACAGCATGATGTATCATGGAACCTCGAGTCAGCATGCACATTGATCTGTGCTTAATTTAGGTTGGCTATCAATGTTAAAGGGCCTTTTTTTAAAAGCAGTGATTCTCAGCCACTGGTGTTTGGTACCCCTTTTGGATCGGCGGAAGTGATGGGGGACCCCCATATGCCAGGGGGGGGGGGGGGGGGGGGGGGTTGGTGATTACAATGACAGAAGGGTAAATTAAGAAAATTAAATCCATACAAACCAACCTTGAGGCTCTAAACCAGAGAATAATGAACCCTACTCACCAGGTATACACAATTTGGTCCATTTAGCTTTGTGGGACTGGCAGAACCAACATAAAAAAATGTTTTATTGCTCAGCTTCACTGATGGTTGAGCGCTTCGGGACCCCAAAGGGTCTGCGGATCCCCATTTGGGAACCACTGTTTTAAAGAATGATTTCCAATTTTTTCTTTTGAGAGCGAAGTCACTAACGTTTCTGTGCATGTTTTGCTTCTTTGTTTCTGGGCCACTGCTTACTACATCGTTTCAATTACAGTCAAACCCGTTTATAACGAACAGCAGGAAACGCTACGATCATTTCAATATAGCAAGTAGTTCGTTATAGCTAAAAAACTTTTACAACAAACTTCCGCGATGAGTTCGTTGCAAGGCGAGAGCTATTCTTTCTTTCTTATCTCTTAACTTCCGCTTTGTAACAGCGCACTAAAAAGCTTGTTTTTGATGCCTGTGCAGTTTTTTTTAGCTTATCTTCCTTTCTGAATTGTTTCTCTTCGTGGGCAACCGCCTCAAATAATTTTATTTATTTTTTTTTTTTTTTTGTGCGCACGTGCAGTGTGTATTTTTCACCTTTTTCCCCTTCCGAGTCGCTTTTCTTCGATCAATTTTGTTCGCCACACAGAGCTTTTGTGATTTTCTTCTATTCCTACTTCTTTTTTGGGGGACGGGACAGTCTAGAAGACGATTGTTTTCACGTTCTTGGAAGCCTTCCCTGGGAGAAAAAGTTCAATATAGCCAATATGTTGTTCGTTATAGAACATACATTTTACATGCATTTTTATTTAAATTTTCCGTGAGTTCGATATCGACAATAATTCGCTCTATGTGGGTTCGTTCTAAACGGGTTTCACTGTAGAGGATCATGTTGAATGTATGTCAGGAATGGTTGCTTGAAATAATGAACAGTGATGTGATTGCTGCGCCGATTGCGCCAAACTGCGCCAATGGGCTAACCCTGCTACATTCTGCTACATTTCGCCAAGATATGGGTAATCTGTGCCAAGCCTGCGCCAAAGGACCAATTTAGGTCGCCTCTCAAAACCGCAACTAAACTGAGTACTGTAATTGAGCAGGCGTATGTTACGTGGCGCAAGCGGCCGCCTGACACAAAGTAACGTGCATCAATTGTCCACCCGGTCTTGCATGGTTTTCCCGGCGTCTCGCGTTTCGCGCTCTCGTCTTGTGGGTCTCGTCTCTCGTCTCTTTTTTTTTTTTATACTTTCAGCGATAGATGCGGATGTGTGCAGATGCTCCGACGCTAGCGTGCCGGGTACCAGCCATGCCGTCATGCTGTGAAACGAAACCACGTTTTTGCGCGGCAGGAGTTACTTTGTGAGCTGAAGCAACAGCCGTGGGAAAACTATATTTGATCACTGCCTTTCAGTCACCGTGGTCGCGCGACGTCGAATGTAGCCGTGTCCACATCACTGCAGATATGGGACTTTCTAAAATGAAACTAAGTACCGCTGCATGTTCATCAACAGTCCTGTTCTTGTTTAAATCATACGTTAGTACAAAAATCCATTTTTAATTCAAAGACTGCTCTGTCAAAGTATTGATTACAGTATAGACCACTTACAACGTAACCGCTTATAGTGCAGGACCGGGTATAACGCGGTTTTTTTAAACCACCGGTTCACCTCCCATAGAACTCCATGTAATTACATACCGCTTAAAATGCAGGCGCGCGAAGGGAAATACCGGTTATAGTGCGGTTTCTGGCACAGCCCGCCGGCCGCGCCGACGACGGGAGCAGCGAGCGCGCTTCCCTGTGCGACGCTAGATAACGGCGCTGACGGCGCGAGCAGCAAGCGGCACTCGCGTGGCAGTTGCTCCAGAGCCGAGTTGCTCGAAGAAGCGGGAAGAAGCGAAAGGCTTCAGTTGCCATAGCAACGGAGGGACGCACGCACGTGTCTTTCACGTGCGTGCGTCCCTCCGCTGCGTTGGAAACAAACAACCGCAGCGACAGACCAATCGCAGGTCGAGGAGAAGTGTTGCGCACATGCCGGTCGCGGGTCGGCTGCTTCTATCCGCAGACGCGGCGTCGGTTGTGATCGTCGTCGTAGAGAACGTTCATCTCATCGTTCCGCGTAAAAGCGCTATCCTTGACTGTGAATTTTCGTTGTGTGTCGCTATGATAACCCAGCACGTACTAGAAGGGAAGATCCACCTACTCGTGCGGCGATGTCGTGGCGGCGCTCTGAAGACGGCAGAAACGCCCGTGTCGTCGTGTTTGTTTACTTCGACTACAGTAATGATTTCTAAGCATTTGTGTCCTCGAACATCGCCCGGATTTCTTATTTGGCGCATTTCATGCGTGCGCTCAAGTTCAAGGTATTACTGGCGCGTACCGTGTGAAGGATGCGAATTTTCACGCGTTTTCATCTCCGGAGAAAAGTGATTAGGGTTAGCAATCCTGAACGCTCGCAACGTCCGTCCGCAACCCGCGACGCCGTTAAAAGGCTGCGCCAGGCAAAAGCTGCTCACTTCTTTCAAAATGTGTAACACACTTGAGACAGAACTGTACTAGTCAGGTGAAATAACGACTTTCCTCAAACTAAGCTTTATTTTTCATCTAACATAAAATAAATTCTTTTCACAAGTGTAAGTTGTCTCATGGCATGTATTTTGGCCTGAAAAATTGATGTTTTGGTTATAGTGCGGTACCGCTTATAGTGCGGATTTTCGCGACTCCCGCGACATACGTTATATGCGGTCTACACGTATCTAGGTTTCTCTCGGTGGGCTTTCTTTCGAGAGGGACCTTGGTACGTGAAAAATCTGCATTGAAATAAAGTTGGTGAAGTGAGCCAAAGCAAAGAAGGCAATGTCTGCACGCTGAATCCGCACAGCGTGCTTGTTTGTCTCGAGTTCAGTCGTTGCGCAAAGCGCTCCAAGAACGGTTTGAGGCTGGCTCGCAATGTCTTGCATCAATGCGTTCAGGTTCTTCATTTTTGTGTATTTAGCTTGTACCTTGTTTGCCGTCCTGGCAAGCACGCGCCACTGGACTGTATTTGCCGCATGCTCGAAAGTTATATTTTGTGTAGAATTTTGGGGATAAGTTAGCGACGGAGCTGAGGGGCATGGTTTCGGTTTCGATCGGACAGCCGTTGTCTGCGCTCGCGCGACGAAGCATGCCCAACAGCAAGCCTGCCGAAGTTGGCCTCACGTGCGTGCAAACATGATTGCGTGACTGAGGCACCAGCTGGGACGCTTGCAATTCATTGTTTTATGTTTGCTTACTTTTGATGGAACTCTGGCATGTCGGGAACCAGTAAAACGGTGGCAAGCGTTTTTTGAAATTGCTTGGCAATGCCTACAACACTGTTCACTTATGGGATGTCTGAGCAGTAAAAACAGAAGCAGCGAGTTCCGTCACAACACGTCACACCAGAACACAACATAACACAAAGTGCCCTTCATTTGTACAGCACTTAAAACAAATATTTTTATTTTCCTAAGAATATCTGCTCCAAAATCCACTTTAGCTGCTCCGAAACACTGTCTTGGCTACTCCAAAAGCCGCTTTTGCTGCTCCAAAACACTGTTTTGGTTGCTCCGAAACGTGCGCCAAAATGGCTTAGGCCAATCACATCACTGAATGAGTCCAGTTGACATACTTGTATGTCTAGTTTGATTGTCTCAATGCGTCAGGTTTGTTTCTGTTTGTTAGGTAGAAAAAGTTGGATTTGCTATTTTTAAGATAGATTTAGAATCAATTTCGTAAAATTGTTATTCAAGTATGTCACAGCATCAGACTTGTTACTACTATTATTATTATTTTTGTTTTACTTTATGCATCTCAATAAGCATAATTTTTTGTGACTAGCCCCAAAGGAGAAAAAGATGGCAGCAGCTCGTCTGGTTCTCGGAAGCTGGACCCCAAGACCATTCCGCCTTGTCCCGAGGACATTGCCTTCATGGAGGATGAGGTCAACATGTACGTACCGCAGCCTTTGCTCTTCCGAGACTTTTTAGTTTGAAGTGAGAGCTGCTGAGAACCATAAGTAGAGCCAATTTTGATAGGGATGTGCAAATAGCCAATATAGAGCAAATATTTTTTAGACAAAGCAAATTCTGTAAGCAGCTTTATTTATGGAAGCTCAATATTTCGCAAATTTTTAGTAATGTGGGTTTTAGGAATATTTCGCAAGCACAATCTTTCATGATTAGGAGTGACGCTATGTGTTTGTTATCGTGGGATGATGTATTTGCATGATATTTTTTATATTAATGCGACAATGTTAAGGAGCTTGTGTCACAGAAAAGCCGGCAGTGTGGTCGTGGTGGGAAAATCCTGATTGGTCAATGGGTCATGACGTCGCAGCCACATGACCCTGCGCGGGAATTTCAAACAACCTTCAACGCTCATGGGAAACATGACGTCACGCATGGAAAGCAAAAGAAAACATTTACGCTGATACTGAGTGATGTTGTAATCAGAATATTTTTATATTATTATGCTTTAAATGTCTGAGGGCACCTAAGCACTTATGAGTTGCGAATGCGAAAGCATGAATGTCGTTCTTCCGTTCCCTTAGTTCGTCTGCAGCGTAGTGGTATGCACGTTTCGCCGGCGGACGGCTGGGCACGCGCTTTCATAAAGTGGCCGTGCCGCGCTGAGCTGAGCTCGGCCGTGCGACCTCTCTGGAGTCTGCCTGGGCAGGCTCTGGCTATGCTGCCACTGCCCCTTCCTCTTACAGGCGGCCGCACCGCTGCGTGCGCTGCACTGCCATGGAGAGGGCTCCTCTGTTGGCTCTTCTTGGAATTATGCCATATGAGAGCCAGTGGGAGCCTCGTTCCTTGATGACGCATGCCAGCCAATGGGAGCCTATCCATCAGAAATTGGCTTCACTTGGGAAAGGGGATTTTAGGTGTTGTTTGGCCAACGTTTGGCGTGGTTCCAAAACTGATGACGTCGGTTCGCTTCATGGGACAGTTAATGCTTTTGCATTAAAAATCATAGGTAATTCCTTTGTTACAGAAACCTTCATTGTTGCTGTCATTTTCTTTCACCTATGGAAAGTGAGCACACCAAAGACATGGAATAAAAGCATGTTGATGTTCACTTTGAGGCAAAAAATGACAAGAACATATGAAAGATGGCACTGCAAACATATATCCAATTTATTCGAATATCGATTGTTTGATGTAGCAGATAGGTAAGCCGTAGAGGATAAAACAAATAGAATATATATACAAGGTCAACATTAATTTTTTTAAGGAACTGAAAGGAAGGAAACTTTTACGAGTATTTATTTTGCAGTGTCACTTGTTCCTGGCTCAAACTTGCTCATCAACATCACTGAATGGTTATCTCCCTACAATGCTTCCTTGTCGTGATATTGGCGTAATATTGGCGATGCTGCGAGCAGTGAGCTTAAAGTCACAAGAAGATGCTTCACAAAATGTTAGTGCCTGCTGTGATAAGACCTCCTATTCCTGATAAGATCACATGATTATTGTATCAACCACGCGTGCCTCCATGCCATGGCACTTGCTCTGCATCACTTGCATCAAACTTCACCGCTTCACAACAGAGCGCTTTGGCAGAGCATCTCCGTTGGCTCATTAGGCCAAGAAAACTCAAAAGGTCAACCACCTTTAATTAAAATTACAATTGACCCTTATTTTCAGTAACATCGAAGATAAGGAAGACCTGTTTTCGAATGAATGGGGTATCATACATAACTTTTTCTCTTTCATTTTTTTTTTGTGTGTCATTCTTTTTCTTTTTTTATTTTTTCTTCTGAATGAAGGTATGTTTTGCAGCATTCTCAAACTTTGAAATACTTTGAAAAAATTGAAAGACATTTGCAAATCTCTGTAATGTGAAGTTGAATTGCAGCTCTTGAGGTATTCTGATTTTGCGATATACCGTGACAGGAGGGTATGCAGGAGTAGGAGGGGAGGGTTACGGAGGATCCTCATTCTCCCTTCCTCCTCCTTCATAACCTCCCCTCCTCTCACAGTTTCCTCACAAAATTTAGCTGGAAAATAGACGGCACGTAACCTCAACACGAGTTCAGTTTCCCCGCTAAATTTAGCGGGGTAAATGACGTCACATGACTTCACGTCACCTATGAACAAATTCCGTTTCTTCGCTTGATTTAGTGGGAAGATTGACGTCGCGTGACCTCAACATCAGTTCAATTCCCCGCTGTTGCATTATGGGACATCACAGACCTACACACCAATTCAGTTTCTTCGCCGAGTTTACCGGGGAATCGGATTGGTGTATAGGTCTGTGACATCCCATAATGCAATGCGCACGGTTACGGCGACGGCAACGCCGCGTAACACGGGAACGGGTGCCTAAGAGTTGCGCTCTAAAAAATTAAGTTCCCAAATAGTCCTATTTAATTCTAAGCCCGTATCAAATCTGGCATTATTCAGTTTGATATTCAAACGTTGAAAGCATTTACCCTAAATACTAAGGTCTCGTAAAACAAAATGGCCACTCATTCCAGTGCACATACTTCTTTACTTCCCGACAACATTCATTTTCCTGAGTCGCAATGCCGTTGCAGCGGCAAACTGTCCCAATCGGCTTCCAATCCTCACGCTCTGCTGTTCGCCCGTGCAGGCTGAGGGAGCAGGTGCAGCTACAGCAGCGCGAGATATCGGCCCTTACCCACCGCCTGGAAGAACGTCAGTCCCGGGAAGGCCCCGCCACCCCGGTCGCCACCGTCACCACAGGTACGTGCACTCCGCGCCGCCACCCCGGAACCCCGGCCTCTCTCTGCGAAGGCGAGGACACGGACGCGTCGTGGCGCTACCAGGACCAGGTGGTCCTTGTGCAAGCCAGCGACAGCGACGACATCCTGCTTCTCCTAAACGAGAGGGGGCTTCCGGAAAACGTGTATTTGCGGAGCACCTGGGAAAAGCAGACCCTCGAACCGCCCGCCCCCACCGCCGCAGAAGTGGACGCGGACGCGGACGACTCTTCCTCTTCCCCATTGTCCTCGATGCACCGCAAGGCGGCGGTCGTCGAGAACGTCGTCGACGCCGACAATGGGAACGGCGCACCGCAGGAGCCCCTCGTGGCGATCGGGCGCTTCCAGTGCTGGTCCTCGGATTCCGACATCTGGTCCGAGCCGGACCGAAGTGTTTCGGAGCAGAGGATGGGAGGAGTCTGTCGGAAGGACTGGGCCAAGCAGCCGCGGAGGTCGCCGAAGGGCGCGCGGAAGGCGTCGGCGGCACTCCGTCAAGACGCGGGTTCGGACTCTGTCGGCAGGAAGTCCGTCAAGGAGCTGTGGCTGTCGGGAGAGTGCGGTAGGAGCCAACCGTGTCTTGCAGACGGAGGTAGCTCTGGCTCGGAGCACTGGCTCGAGCTCGGCATGCTGCTTGGGAGATGGATGTTGGCAATGCGCCTTTTTCCTTTGTTTTGTTTCAGTTGGTGTTGCTGCTTGTTGGCACGTCATCATATTTTTGGTTGGCAATCGATTTGGATGGCAGTTCTATAATCTATCATTGACATTGTTGTTACGTTTATGCTTTGGGCATGTTTGTGGAATGTTTTCTGTTATGTATAGAGTGGTTTGTAGAGTACTTTGACGGTAAAAAATATAAGTATATTTTGTTTTCTTTTTGTACAGTGTCACTGAGAGTGCTTTCTTTTGTTTCATAGGGATTTGCACAAGGTTGACGGTTTCTTACAGCTGACACTGGTCAAAATTTGAGTTTCTCTGGTAGTGCTCGTGTGAACTATGAAAGTTTTTCTTTTTATAGCAAATGTTTGTATTTAAGGTTTGATTTTTAATTATTATCCTCAATTTTGCATTGAAGCACGTAGGTAACGTAGTTACCACAAAATACTGGGCATGCACCGACATTGGAACAGGTTTCTGATAAAATTTCAAAAGTACGCAAAGCGCTATGTGCACACAAATCTGGCTTCAACAAATGTCTATCCCACTGGATTGGAGTGGCCACTTGCTAATTTTCTATAATGTTTAAATTTCGATGTACCTCATTGAGACACAAGTATTGGTCCAAATATTTGGAGTAGAGGAAGTATTTAATTCATTATACTACATTTCAATGCTTTTGTGATATTTTTTCATTTACCTTTGTTTCTTTGTTGTGTTATTCTCAATGTTCATTTTTCTTACTTGCAGAAACAAGAAGCTTGTAATATAGTTTTGCTATACTTTATCATACTTGTACCTTGCAGTTTTTATTCTTGTTTTGAGCATATTGTTTCTTATTTTATATATATTTTATTTGCTTGTGTCTTACCTATTTCCTTGGATCGTAGGCTTACTATTGCAACTGTGGGTAATGGCATGATCTAGTTTTGCAGTGCATTAACGAAATTACCTTTTTGCATGCTTGTCATGGCATTTATTAGGACAATAAGAATTTCTATGACTAGTACTATAATTTACAGTTATAATTTCTCTATTATACTGCCCACATTAGTGGGTGCTTACCATTGAGTGTTGTCGTCTTTTAATAGTGCATTATTGATGCAGTTACAAAACCAAACTAGAAAAAGGTGAAGCCGTATTTGTTCTTGTCTTGGCGAGCTTGAAGACTAAATCGTTGAATATGTTAATAAATAAATAAATATACCAGGCACGTGGAAACCTCAAAATGGGATGTCGCATGCAACCTGTGGTAGGTGCACACTCAAGGTGAATCGATAGTGACCAATTGGCAACTTTAAAGTTCTCGCAAAATCCTAGGCGACGACTCGCACGGGCCTGGTTGCATGCTCGGCATTTCACAGTGTGTCCCTTTGATGGAGGTGCTTTCGACTGCTCAGGACGTTCCAAGCGGCCTGCCCCGTCGGCCCGGACGGAGTCTCACAAGCTCGAGAAGCTCCTCCGCAGAGTCCACCACTGCAACGGCAAGCTCGAGGATTCTCTCGTGCTCCACAGAGAGCTCTGTCACAAGATGCTCGCTGGACCCACCGGAGAAAAGGTGGGTTTTTTTAGTTTCTCCGATCTCCAGGTTGTTTGTGCGACAGTCGGTGAAAGAATCGAGCATAAAACAATACAAGTGTGCACGGTGCGCTCTATCACATTTAAAATGCAAATGCATGAACCAGCCTTGCAGTTCAAAGGTCATAAATAGCTATTAGATCTGACTACTGCAATGCACAAAGGTTGATAAATACCGTAATAAAAAAACGTACAATACGAACCCGTGTATAATACGAGGCATGATTTGAGGACTGCGAAAAAGAAAAAAAAAAAGTTTCATCTGCATATAATACGAAACAATTTAAAGACCGCGAAGATATTTTCGCGTAAAGTGCGACCCAGGAAGTCTTAAAAAACACATGCAAAGGAAAAAAAAACATTTTTTTTAAACAGCCTATAGATGGAAAAAGTATGTCATAAAACGAATTTAGAACAAAGAAATAAAACTTTTAGAGCTATATTTACGGCGCAAAACGAATTTGTAGTTGGCGCCTGCGGGAGCCGCCGTTCGTCACGTGGTAGACCTGTGCACCGCCGCGTTGCGTTGCCGCTGCCGCCTCCGCACGCTGAGCGTTGTGTGCCATCGCTTCGACGCGTTTCTCCACGCCGCCGCCGCCATCGCCGCGCAAGTTTGTCTGCTTCAGGGCACCGCCGTCGTCATCGGACCGGTGCGCAGGTCTATCGTGTCTGTTTGCGCTTTTTCAGGAGCTTCCTTTCGACTCTAAAAGTTACTTATTAATCTTCGTTTTTTGTTATACTTCGAACAAAGATGAATAAGTTACTTTTGGAGGCCAAAGGAAGCTTCCGAAAGAGTGCAAGCACCACGTGGTAAATAGGGGCCAGTCACGTGATAAATATGGGCCACTTTTCCGCGGCGCCCGTTGGTGCCAACTACAAATTCGTATAGCGCCGTAAATATAGCTCTAAAAATTTTTAATTTTCGTTGTAAATTTGTTTTATGACTTCCTTTTCCCAACCCGGCTGTTTAAAAAAAAAGTTTTTTTCCTTTGCATGTGTCCTTTAAGAAAAGTGTTTATTTGCATCATAATTGAACCTTAATCACTGTCATCACCTCCATCGGACTCCTTGTCCGACGCCTCTTTCAGTGCCGTCGAGCACATTTGAAATCCCGCACTTCTTGAAAGAGTGAGCGACGAGCGTGCGCCAATGCAGTGAAAACTTGTCGGGCGCATAAAGCGAGCAACCCAATGTCGGCTCAAAGTTTTCTCGCCTTCTCTTGCAGCAGCTCAATGTTTACGGCGAGGTGCCGTTTCACGTTGCTCTTTTGCAAAGTCGCCGAGACTTGCCTTGACGTCGGCGAACATACAATTCTTTGGGCCTCTAAAGCTTCTCCTTGTTCCGTTGCACGCGAACAGAGCTTGCTTTTGTCGTCTCCATCCGCGGATGCTGCCTTCATTTACGGCAAATTGTCGTCCGGCAGCACTGTTGCCAATGTCTTCCACAACCAAAACGGCTTTTCTTTTGAAGGCGGTCGAGTATTGTTTTCGCGCCGACGTCATTGCCTAGCTTGACTGTGGACGGATGGTGGCGCCTCGGACATTGTGATTTCAATGGTGATGATAGCCGTTTTGAACGCCATATTGCTTCGAAATCGAAACTACGTCAACCTGCGTTAGATCGCGCCTCATCGAAGCTGAAAATTGTTGGGACTCGCGTATAATACGAGCTGCAAATTTTACATGGCAAATTTTGGAGAAAAAAAAAAAAACCTCGCATTATGTGCGGGTTTTTACGTAGAGTACATTTTTACCCTTTTTTACTTTGGTTCCTGAAGATCCAAAGCCAGGCTGACTGTGTGTAGGACCCGTTGTCAACATGGAATGCTTGCGGGCAAATGGAAAAATGTCAAAGCCTAGCTGTCCTCTCAATCTTAGCCTGCGTAAATATTGTCCGCTTTTGTTTTTCCACCATGTTCCCTGTGCCCAGGAGTCCCCTGACCAGCCACAGCCTTCGGCAGAGCTGCTGGACACGCACATCCAAACAATGAGGAAGCTTCAGTTCAAGCTAGAGGAGATGGTCATCAACAATGAGCTGCTCCTGGAAATCCTCACTGAACATCTGGGTATGTCATTTTATACCTTTTCAGTAGTGGAGCCCCTAAGAAACAAAGGGGATATCTCGAAACAATGCATTGTGCAAGCGGTACAGAAATTCTTGGTATCACTTAGGGTAGCTAAAATGATATTTTCTTTTCCTTTAAGCTTCCTGTGAGTTATCTGAGGGTAACATCATTATGGGAAGAATTTGTCAGTTTTGTCCGATGTCTGAGAATCGGACGACAAACCGCACTTCGGTCAAGATCTTTCTGATTATGAATGTTCTATGGCGCAAACTCAGAAATACCCTCGGGGCCAACTCGAAAATCATCTACCCCTCACATTTCCTTTCGTTGCTTGGCTCGTTTCTCCAGTTATGAAAATTGCAAGCGTTTGGCCAACTTTATGGGCTGCTCACCAAGCTTTCTGTATGATGTGTCTTTAGAAACATCCTGTAATTAGGACAATTTTTGTTTCAGCTTCCGGGAGCATGATCACCACAGATTCAAAGATGTCGGCTCCATCAAGCGGCAACACGCAGGCAAGCGCTGCCGAAAGACTGGAGCAGTACAAGAAGGAGCTCGAGTGCAAAGAGCGGAGACAGGAGATTCTGAAGCGGGCCATTCTTCGCGAACAAAACTCTAAGCTCCAGCTTGAGAAAGAACTGTCAGAGTGTCAGAAGGAACTGCAATCGCTCCACGAGGCACACACCTCGCTCAAGGAGGACTACAAGGAAGTCCTCAGGAAGACCTCGGACACCGGACAACGGGAAGCTCGCCAGCGGAACCTCAGACCCCAGAAGGACGCAAAGACCTCCAGGGCCGGCAAACTGGAAGCTCTGGGCTCAAGTTTTGAGAAGAGCGACAACAGCGAATTCGTCAGCGGCTCACGGAAGCCCGACGGTGGGCGACACTCTCAAGGGGTTGCCAGACTAAGCCAGGAGTTGGCGTCACTCCGGGAAGAAGTGGCCAACCTGCAAGAGGAGAAAGCCGTGCTGACCCAGAAGCTGGAAACGACGCAGAAGGAGCACGAGATCCTCCTCGAGTCATCCAGCAACAAGATCTCCGAGCTCGTGACGAAGCTTGGCCCGCTGTCGACGCAGAACAAGATCCAGCAGGAAGAGATCAGGAGTGCGCGAGAGCTGAACGACAACCTTGCCGAGGAAAACGGGAAGCTTCAGTGCGACCTTGATGCCGCATTCTCCAAGTTGGATGCGCTAGACCGGGAGCTGGAGTCCCTGCAGCGGGAGAACAGGGACTTGAGGGAATGCGTGCTCACTTCGAGGTCCCAAGAGAACATGCTGAAGGAAAAGCTGGAGAAGATCGGGGAGGAGTTCCAGGCACTGAAGAAGACGTCGGAGGAACGCGCTCGGAAAGGCGACGTCCTGGAGAGAGAAAAAGACGAACTCGCCACTGAGCTGTCCAAGTTGACGGCGCACCTGGAGTCCTACGAGTCCGAGAAACAGCTCTTGTACGAAGAGAAACAGAGGCTCATTCTCGAAGTGAGTGCAGAGAAGGATCAAGTGGAGCGCATCTCTAACGAGCTGCAGCGCTGCGAGCAGGAGCGCGACACTCTCCGGACGCATGGGAGCGAGCTGGAAGAGCAGTTGCATGCTTCAACGGAGAAGTTGCAGGAAGCGGAGCAGATGGCTTCGGAGTTGAAGGAGGAGCTGGGGGCCACAAAGGGAAAACTGGAGAGCATGGATGTCCGGTGTGGCCAGCTGGAAGAGGAGCTGAGCAGCTCCAAGGAGGCGCAGAGGCAGCTGCTCTGGAAGAGCGACGAGTTGCAGAGGGCCCTCGATGCAGTTGGGAGGGAAGTCCAGCAGAACAAGAGCTTTGCCAGGGCCAGCCTTGACAGGAAACACGTCATGGCGTTCAGGGAGCTTGAGGATCAGAACAGGAGGTACATTTTTTTTTCTCTCTTGGTTTTGGTTGTGAAGCAGTGATGATACCTGTTTGGTAATGTTAGATAGGGATTTTGCTTGCAAAAGCATCTGGAGGGATATTGAAACATACTTCCAAACTCCTGGGTTGAGTTAGATACAAAGCAATCTCCCTAAGGACTGACGCCTAAGAAAGCTATCGTACCGTCCATTCATGACCACAGGACGGTCGCCACGTCAGCTTTTGTTTACTATAGTGAACACAAACATTATTGCTATATGAAACGATTTCAATGTAACAGTGTTTATTGGAATAGGAGTTCCCAAAACACAATGCAGTTGGGCACGGGGCTGGTCATAGACGCTGCCAACCAGAAAAAAGTGGAAACGATCTTGTCCCAAGGCGGGAAGTTACGAGAGAACCTCGCGAAGAAGGGAAGTAGCGGGACAAGAATAGGTTATTTGTACCTTGTCTTCACCTGTGACAATGTGAAATGCCCGCATTGTGCATTATGGCAATCGTGTATTAATTAAGAAATAGGGAATTGTGCACAAAAACCCAGAAAAAGTTCTAAAACCTGGTGCTACAGAGGTTCGATACAAATACTGCGTTCTCATTAGGGCAAGAAAGTGTCATCTCTTGTAGTGATTACTAGAGTTCCATGTTTGGAAGTGTCATTGGGTTTATATTATCAAGAGTAGTAGCTACATTGATACCTCTTACTAAGACTTACCCAGTTGGTCATTCAAAGACCTGCATGCTCACCAGACTTGTTGAACTTGTGACATTGGAAACATGATCCCCTCCCCCATCCATCGTCAGCTTACAAGGCGCCGTTATGGAGCTCAAGTCGAAGCTGGACAAGGCTTTCCACGACAACAAGTGTCTGAGGCTTGAGCTGAGAGTCAACGAACAATTTCAGCCTAGGAGCAGCCCTGGTAAGAATGTGCTGTCATCTTAACGCAGAATGTGTTTTATAAGTCGTTTTTGATGAGAAAATTGTCACGAACAGGTTACCGTAAAATCCCAAAAGATGCCCCACCCCCGAAAGGTAACCCACTCCTATTTTTGGATGGATGCTCTATTTCTTTTTTTAAACACCGAAAGATAGCCATTCTTAGTAATCATAGCCTTCGGATCAATGATGTCCTTGGCGTAAATGTGTCTAGTTAGCTATGGCAGGATGTAAGCGAATATTGCTGACTTGGAAGTATGGTCATCTTTGCTTCATTGCCCCTTGCTGCTGTAATAGGTTTGACAAAGACAAATGATCTAAAAATAGCATTTTTTCAACTTTTCTTGATTACACACTGAAGGTTAGCCTGCTCCTTATTTCCACCCAATTTTCTTTCGATTTTAGGCAGGCTATCTTTTGGGATTTTACGGTCTATAATGTGTGCCATGAACAAGTGACACGCTGGGAGCATTATGGACATGAAGGTTATATAAAAAAGTGTATATATAAAGTTTGAGCCCCGGAGGGGCTTGAACCTGAATTGGTGCAGTGGCAGTCGAATACTATTAGCCCCGAGAAGTTCGTGTGGCGCCCCCTTACGGCGAACCGGGGTGACGTCACGGCGAGGAGAGAATTTTTCCCCGACTCGCCCCGCTCGCCCTGTGGAGGCTGTGACGCCACTAGTTGTCGACGCGCTCGTTTCTATTTAATTTTTATTGGCGTGTTTTTCGTAGGAAGTGTAAATTCTTATATGTGCCTTTATTGAGGTATGGCCTGTAGCTACAGGCGAAACTTCAACCAACATTTTAAGCATTGTTGACAGGGCAGGCAACGCATGAATCGGAGCTGGTATATAAAAATAAAGAAATATGGCCACAATTGCAGGAGCATCACTATAGATTTACATCTCTCACAATAAATGCTGCTGATGGTCTGAATGAATTGGCAGGTTATGTATACTATTTGTTTTGTATCTCTGTTTTTAAACAAGATCGCCGAAGCAGAAAAGCTGCATGCTGCTCGAGTAACGTGCGAAATACAGTCTGGAGAGAATCACATGAGAGACAGCCCAAGTGCAGGGGCAAAGTAGAAAAACAAGGAACATTTATTATATACATTGCTCGCATTTGACCTTTGCTGGATTCGGATAGTATTTCAATGGACTACATGGGAGGTATGTGTGGTCTTCTTTATATCAACCCTCAAGTAATGTATAACAAACGTAAGCGAAGGTGTCTAGCTCGTCATTAGTCTAAAATTTAGATTTTACATAAATCGAATTGTCCTGAAGCTAAAATACCAGAAGCTTTTCTCACGCAGACTGTCGCCCTTCACAGGTTCCAAATTTTCTGCTACTAGTGTTGCATCTACCACTGGACAGACGTTCAAATACTTGCTTTTACTCCTGTTTTCCTCTGTTGTCAGAGAGTCCAGATGTAGGGAGTTTGGAGGCTGAGGAAGCTTTTGGGGACCTGCGGCAGTGTATCTTTTAATTCGAAATGACAATTCAGACTAAACGGTGTATTTTCCGAATACCCAAGGCTGGAATAAAGAATGTCAGGAAAAAGTATAAACATTTTAAATTACGGCACTATTGTTGTGCATATTTTGGGCAGTTCAATACATATCATACAGGCAACTGGGGTAATTCGGCCGCTTTTGCTGCTACCATACAAACTAATTCCCAGTAATTGTGCATCTTCTAAGAAATATGCCTGCATGCGTGTATAAACAATATGAAATAATTCACGAAGAAGCTACATTTATGTAAAACAACCTTGTTCTACGAGCATTTCAAAGATCATCAGACGCAGGGCCTTTAAAACATCTGCGAACCAGCGCATGCAGAGTGGCAGCGCAGAGTCGGGGTCGCGAGCTAATTTGCCGACCACCCAAAGGCCCATGATATAAATGCCACTTCAAATGCCTTGAAAGTGGGATGTAATATCGTCCTAAATCATGAACATGGAAGGAACAGAATTCCAGCGTCTCAAACACTTGCGCTACCGCTTCACCAACCCCTCGCAAGATTGCCTTGTGTCATGTGGACGGACGGGGAGGTTCATCAACGGAATTGCCTCCACCGATAGCTTTTGGGATTTGTAACCCATATTTAAAGGTAAAAGGGACAAACAGGCTTATAAAATGTACGGAAGCACCTCAATATCGGCCTAACGCAACATCTTGCACACTGGGTAAACGAAGTCCAGCTCCTTGAAGAGCTTGCGGCACACAACGCCAAACCAGGAAACCGGTGCTGGGAAACGAGCCGATGCGAGATCGCAGAGCGGAGTCCTCCCCTTGACGTCACGGTACACCTCACCCAATCAGGGCGCGGCGACCGCAGCGACGCTTGTGTTCGCTCTCGGGGCTAATAGCCACTGCGCTGGTCTGGAAGCTAATAGCAGAGCTGGTCTGGAAGGATCAATGTTTTCATTTGAATGCGAACGTGCCGGTGAGATTGGCAGGTTTTGAATGAAAATACTAAAATAAACAAAAATGAATACATAAAATAAGGATAAAAAATTAATAAACAAAATAAAAATAAAGAAAATAAATAATGAAATTAATTTACTATAAATGAAAAGCAAAAAATAAAGAAAGAAAAAGAATTAAAAATCGTTTTCTTTTTTTTGTAGGAATAAGGCCTTATTCCTACAAAAACATCTCTCCACGGTGACGCTCCTCCAGCCCTTTAGGATTTCAAACTCCACAGATCTTATCTCGCACCTTACCTCCCTACACTCCACCACCCAGCCACTCTCCATGTTTTCTTTAGACATAGAAGAGCTTTACTACAGCCTAGACCCCCGGATTCTTTTGAATTCCGTGCCTGATGCGATCCATGAACATAGTCATGGGCGTACCAACCGGGGGGGCAAGGGGGGCACTTGCCCCCCCAGTTTTCAGAGCGGGGGGGCAAGGCATGTGTTTTGCCCCCCCTGAAACAGCCGCCACTGGGCAGGGCAAACACTGGCCGGCGGCGCCCGAGGACTGGCAGGCGATAGAAACCCGAGGATTGGCAGGCGAAACACTGGCAGGCGATACAAACCCTAGCAACGGCGCTCACGCCGGATTGGCAGGTTTGTGGAGATAGGCGCTGCCGCCGTCAACATATGCAGTGGTTACAATGCGAGTTTCCGAAGCGGGTAGCGTAACTTAGTTGTAAGATGTCTACCTCATACGTAGCAGACCACGGTTCTATCTACGCTTTGGACTTCTATTTTTTTTTTTTTTTTTTGTTTTCGTCGAACATTTTGTATTGTGAAAGCATTTGGCGATATTTACATTTTTTTTTTTTTTTTTTTTTTACAATTAGCGCTGAAAGAAAAACGAATGTTGTGGACGCGCTGAACTAAATTGTATGGGACTCTCTTTACGGATGTGGATGGGGGATAGTGGGGCTTGGGTTGCCGGCTGCAAAGCGGCGTGTACGGGGGTATAAGGGGGGAGGGGGTTAACGCTCGTTGAGTGATATACGCGCCGTCCGAATTCGATATTTAAGTTTCCGCACGTTGCCGAACGGCCAATCTGGCGTGAGCGTCGGTGCTAGAGGGCCTATCACCTGCGCCGTAAAAGTTGGTGATGGACCGAATCTGCCGAACTTCAGATGCGGCAAATTTCCGCACATGCCGAAATTTAGAAGGTAAGTTCGACAAAGATTCGATAAAAATTCGGCAAATGTCTGCGCACGCGCACGAACGCGACGGGGCCATGGATCGCAAATGGACGCCGCGCAGTTGCGCGGTTACCATCGCTTTAGTACAACCAGCGGTTACGGCGAGGTCTGGAGTAGGCGGCACGGTAACTGGGCGTTCGTGAGCTTTTGCGAGTGTGGTTGTCTTCAATATTTTCTGCCTCAAGAACACAAGTCGACGAGTAATTTACGCGGCTCACTGCGAAAGCGACAGGCGGTGCATTCTGGATAACGTGATTTTCATTTGATCTTTCCATTCATGAAACGAGGTAGTTGAAGCATTGACTGACAACTGGACAATTACGCTCAGTGCCCGCAGCCCACTGCCGTCAAACGGGAGAGTCACGAAGCTTGCCAGAATTAAAGCTGGGAAGTCGATCCAGTAACCTATCGATTAATCTACTAATGATTTAATCGTGATTAATTTTTAACCGGTTAATCGGTAAAATTTTGACGAAACTAAAACGGTTGAAAGTCAGCGCTATCACCACGCAGAGAGGACGAGTACATCTGTATGAAGAGCCAACTTTAGGCTAAATTTTAGCCTAAACTGTAGGGGCGAGATTAGTAACCTCAGACAATTGGATTAGCTTACACGTGTCCCGTCTAGTTCAACGCCGTTTGAGTGTCTGTTTAGCGCAGCGGAGGCAATTGTGAACAATCAAGGAAGGTCGCTCTTGCCGGAGAATATCAACGAACCTCTTTTCCTCGTGCAGATAAAGTAATGACCTGTGAGCGTGAGTGTCTTTGAACTGTTCTGAATTACACATGGAGGCCGATTCGAAATCCAGATGGTATATTCCGCCGTTTGTCACAAATTCAACAAAATCAAAAACCAATTTTCTTTTTTTTTATACTTTGTATGAGAATGAACGAGGCCGATTAGTTGATTAATTAATCCATTGAAAGGTCGCGATTAATCGGGTTAAACGTTTTAATCGACGCCCAGCCCTAGCCAGAATGTATGGGATGCAGCTGGCATCCTCGTCATAATGGGATACATGTTTTCCCCCTTCTTTTTTTCTTTTTACGCACTTTCTGTAGTGCGTATATTCTGTACATTTATTTGTCTGTTTGTTTTTTCACATGTGGTGGCGGGCTGGCAGGCGCTCTGAGTAAGGGTTTTCAGCTATCTGCCTAGCCCCGCACACCACCACATGGGCCCCTCCCAGTATGTGCAAATAAAATTATTATTTTTATTATAAAAATCCTATTTTCGGCTTACAAGTAGTTTGTGCCAAAACAGAATAATATTGCGTTTTAGTTCGCATTATTTCGCGATTTTCATGAATCTGCATAAAACTAAACACAGAACTTTCATGCTCGACGTTGGATATCCGATATTCCTAACTCTCCCCATCTTCTTGAACGTCCGTGTGTGTCCTAACACCAGAAACCGGAATTTGAAAGGCTAAAAACGGCACGTTGCGAATATGGAACGCGCACTTTCTTGCCAAGCTGACGTCAAGTTGCTCAGATCGAAAAACATGCATATTTACAATATTGCTATCTCTTCAGGTGAAGGCTCAGCAACCGTTGCAATCGTATTCGCGCACGAAATGGCGACTTCCAGAGAAAGCAAGAACGTAGTGATTGCTTTTATTTTAAAAATGTAAACACACATCCAGGCCTGCGCTGATGAAGTCTTAAAATCAAAACTCTCGTAGCGTGATTCATGACTGCGGCGGCTGCTACCCAACCTCGTTGTCACGCCACTTTCTGGAAGCAGACACTAAAATTGCAAAAGTAAACACACAAAAGCGACACCGATACAATTATCTTGCAGAATATCACCTTATTTAGTAATAACTGTGTCAATAGGCACTACTAGTTGCTTTTAAGTTAAGAAGAAAAAACAAACAAAAAAACGTAAACCTTTTACCAAATCTTTGTCGAATATTTGCCAAATCTATAGAAAAGTTCGGCAAAAGTTCGGCTCCGCCGAATCGGCGCCGAACTTTCGATTCGGCAAAAGTTCGGCCCATCACTAGTAAAATAGTAGAAATTTGCGACCGGAGGGGGGGGGGGGGGGGGGGGGGAGGGGAGGGGAGGGGAGGGGAGGGGGAGCGGGGGTTGTCTTGCCCCCCCACTCAAAAACAAGTTGGTACGCCACTGAACATAGTCTCTGTAAGTTTCAAAATGCAGTACCTCAGGGATCACAGTTAAGGATTTCACAGATCTCCTTGCCTTATACCTTCAGTCAACTCTCGTTGAATACAACGGCAACATATTAAGACAAAAGAAGGGTGTTTGTATAGGCTCCTGCCTAGCCCCAATACTCAGTGAAGTGTTTCTCATGTACGTAGACCTATCAATTAAGTCCCGAATGGATGTTTTCGCTCCCGAATGCCGAGTGTTTCGATACGTAGATGACTATCTTGTTATTCATCCGACCTACATCTCCGCACGGGCCATTTGTGAAGCATTCGATTCCTGCTCGTCGGGTCTTAGGTTTACAAGTGAAGAACCAACAGAAGAGGGACTCCAGTATCTGGATTTAAGGCTACATTTTCATCCCCAAGGCATATGCTGGAGTTTCCAGCAATGTTCCAAAAAACCGGTCCCCCCTTTCTGCAGCAACCACTCTAAATTGGTGAAGATTGGAATTATTCGAACCCTGTTTGCCTCTTCTCGTTCAAAATCCTGTCCCCATCTCTCATCAACAAGCGTCCAACGTCAGCATGACCGGCTTCTCCGAGCCGGGTATTCAGCAGGCCTCTTCCGTACTACCCTTCAGCATCTCATTACAGGGCCCAACCGCCGATCATCTAACAATAATGGACAGCCACACACGCTTGGCTTGTATTCCATATGTGCATAATACTTCCCACCGCCTGAGGAGTCTCGCTGCCCGCTTCGACACGAAGGTAGTATTCACATGTCGGATGAAGCTAAAACAAATGTGCCAAAGGGTAAATAACGAAAGTTGTCCACCAGAATGCACCATCAAACACGTCAAAAAATATGTCAAATGCCAAGAGAAGCCAATTTATTCTATTCCGCTCAGTTGTGGCAGTCAATACATTGGCCAGATGCCTGAACGTGCCGGATGCCTGAACGTTCGCCTTAGAGAACACTTTCTCGAAACCAACAAGGCGTCATCTGACTCCTACCATCCGATTGTTGTCCACGCCCGCACCTGCCAAGATTGCTCCCCTAGCTATGCAAACACTACTGTGCTAGGCTCACACAAAGACAAGTATGGGCGAGAGATCATCGAAGCCTTTAAAATCAAAACTGCCACAAACAATGTTTTCGAGCCCTCACTGTCGTTATCGACAGCAGAAATGGATTTCCTAGCGCCGGAATTGTCATAGAAAATATCTCCCATTTCTTCTTCTTCTTCCTTTTCAGGAAGTTAAATTCCGCCAGCTTTACCCTTTTCTTTATCTTTTTCCAGTACCTTCTAGTATTTTAGTCTTCACTTAATGTTTTCCGTATCCAAGGTGGTTCATCATAGTGGAATGGGCATCATTTAAATGTAGTTGCTCGTTGAAAGAACTCTGTGTGTCTGTCCCTCGTGTATTTTCTGTGTTTTTATTCTTTTAGTGCACCCCTTTTTGGTACCAAAAGGAGCGTTCGTAAGTTTGATCGTTTTATAAATTGACGCCTGGCAACGTTCAATACGAAACAAGCTTTTACGCACGTCCCGACAGTCCGAAGTCGCGTTGCATTTGCAACGCAATTCCAACTCGGACATGCATGTTCCTCACACGCTCTCTTCCTATCCTCTCCAGGCACTCCGAGCGACCATCGCTGCGGAGCGTCTCGCTCTGTGGAGAACCACGGTCAAGCCGGCCTCGGCAGCAGCAGCTGCGGCGCGTCCCCGCCGCGCCTGAGCCCCCGCCAGCCGAGTCTCGACTGCGGCCGGCAGCTTCAGGCAGGCCTCTATCACGCGAGGTCTCACCACACCTCCCCAGACCTGGGCATCGACTCCGACCCGACGCCGGAGCACGACGTGGCCGCAAACGACTCCGCCGGAGCGCTGGCGGAGCACTGGCAGCACCGCATGGGTCCCAGCTGGACGCTGTCGTCAGTCAACTCCGCTCCGGACGCCATGGGCGGCAGCTGCCAGCTGTGCCAGCAAGGAAAGGACAGCGCCGCCTCCTGGAAGCAGAAGGCGTCTGCCACCTATGCTGGGGAGCAGCTGGAGCAGACTTCTTTCGGCGGTAACTCCCGTGGGTGTCGGCTAGGTGTCGGCCAGCCGGTTCACGCGTTTGCGTGTGACATTGATCGATTGTGTTGCATTTCTTTGTAACCGCTTAACACACTGGTGCCATTTATCGGGTAGATCTGGAACACTTCCAGTATGTGTGTAAAGAGACTGAAGGTTTTGCAGTATTTACGAGATCAAATTTATGCACTGTCTGTGAGAAATAGTTGCTTAAAACATATTCAAAATTTTGTCAGGCCCACGGTAAAAGGATGATGGGAAAAAAAATTTAAATATACTCTATCAGGGTGTGCACAGGTCCTTGAAACCCTTGAAAACCCTTCAATTCAAAAACTGGGTTTTAAGGCCCTTGAAAACCCTGGATTTTTTTGCTAAACCTTGAAAACCCTTGAATTTCAAAATTTGGCTTGCAGGTCCCTTGAAAGCCCTAAAATTTTTGGCTAGACCTTGAAAATCTGTGAATGGTTATTTATAATAGCAAATGCGGGTATATATTTTACATTTTTTGTTATGCTTATTGATTTTTTTTTACAGCCGAGCTGTTAAGGGTTTGTTTCCCCAGTTTCGTGTCTGCACCAAATAAATGTCGACACAAAACTCTGGACACCTACAGCCATCTATAAGCGCCGGTGGCAACCAGACAACCGGCTTGCTGGTTGTCTGGTTCCCGCTGTCGTTCATAGATGGCGACAACCTTTCCAGCCTTTCCAATCTGGTGTTCACCAGAGTGGAAGGGCTGAATTTCTCTATGCGTCGTCCTAGAAATCGCCCTTGAGGAGGCCTACAGGACGATGTCCTCTAGCCGTCGTCCTGGAGGTCGTTTTAGAAGTCGTCCTTGAGGTCATCCTAGACAATGTCCTTGAGGTCGTCCGAGAAGTTGTCTTTGAGGTCGTCCGAGAAGTCATCCTTGAGGTCGTCCGAGAAGTCATCCTTGAGGTCGTCCTAGAAGTCATCCTTGAGGTCGTCCTCAAAATTGCCCTCAAGGTTGTCCTAGACATTGTCCTCGAGGTCATCCTTGAAGTCCTAGACATCGTCTCTTAGGTCATCCTAGACATCGCCCCTCAGGTCGTCCTAGGCGTCGTCCTTGAGGTCGTCCTTGACGTCGTCCCTGACGTCGTCCCTGTGCTCGTTTTAGGCATCGTCCTCGAGGTTGTCCTAGAAGTTGCCCTTGAGGTCGTCCTAGGCGTCGTCCTCTAGGCGTCGTCCTTGAGGTCGTCCCACCATAGTACAGCTTCGCTGGTCTTCCTTCTTCACCAGAGTGGAAAGGCTGAAAGTTTTTTACTTTCTCCTAATATTCGTTTCGGTCTAAGTTATCTCAATTTGCTTAGATTTATCCTATGTTCATTGGATGGTTGGCCAGATTGCAGCACATCCGAATCCAATCTGATCCAGGAATGCTTTGTGCACTGTTTCTCCCATTGGCCTTGTGTTTTGTCGTCTGTCGCAGGAAAATGCCCGGAAAAAGCAGGTTTCAAGGTGCGTGGCTCTGGAGTGATGAATGTAAGGACTAAGTGGCGCCAGATATGACAAATCAGCATTGTGCAAGATGCAAGCCGTGCGGAAAAACCTTCGATGTCGCCGCCATAGGCGAGTTAGCATTGAAGAGCCACATGAAGAGCGCAAAACATGCCAACATATTCAAGATCGGAGCCAAGAGCTTGGTGCGAAATTACCTGGCTAAACCGCAAAATGCAAGGCCGAGGAGCTGCTTAGCATCAGCCGGCAAATACAGGAAAAGCTGCAGGAGCTCCCCTGAAATTACCACAAGCAGTTTTAGAACCAATTTTTATTTCGGCTTAGTGCAATGCAAACAAATTTGCAAAATAGATTTTTTTTTTTGCTTAGTGCTATAAAAGGATGCCTGCAATCTTTTGACAACAGTGTTTTATCGAAATCTGCTACGTGTGGTATCAAGTTGGGTCTTTCAAAATACTTCCACAAGGCCTTGAAATTCCTTGAATATCTTTCTTTGAATCCTGTACGAACCCTGTCTATATACAAGTTGTGAGTGTTTCAGAGCTACCCGATGGAAAGCGCCTGTGTGTTAAGGGAGGACACTACTTAAAATTGTCAACTTTTAAACCTTTGACTTCATATGAATGAAATTTACAGTATTGGCAGTTGCGAAGCAGTATGCAGGGCAAAGTTTCATCTGTGTACATGAATTGTGAAACAAATTGTAGTCATTTTTATTAGGAACAGTGACACTGCTTTGGGAACTATCATTTGAAAACACGTAATATCCAACATTTTTCTACACTAGATATGCAGCAGAATGCCTGGTAGTGTCTCTCCTTAAGCGGTTGCAAGGGAATGCTATGCATGGAACCACAGTCAAACTTAAATCTGTGAACCAGACTCAAAAGAGTTCTGAAAGAGTTTAGGCATTTCTATCTACTATCTTTGACGGCGTGGGAATATAAGTAAATGCCAAATCGGCAAACTCGAAAAGTTGCGTATGGAAAGCTCTGCCTTTCCATCCGATAGTCTGTTCACTGGACGATGACGTGCGTATCAAGAAAGGTGAAAGCATTGAAAGAGTGCATTCAAATATTGCCTAAAAGGTTTAATAATTGTCCCCCCAAATGTTGTCTTCAAGCACAGTGTGCGCAGATACCATATTTACTCGAATAATGGCTGCACTATTTATGAACAAGGTCCTTAGGTCTACTCTACCGCAGAACACATATACAGCCAATCATCGCTTTGCGCATAAATAACATAGCGAATAACCAAATAGAGAACACGATTCTCCATACAAATGCAATCTTCATAGATGGTAGCTTCGTGCGAAGACGTTATCTCTGTCCTGTAAACCGCTGGAATCATGCTGCCAATCACGGTGATTGGCAAGCACGCGTGCTCCGCGGAAAAGCGAACCCTCAGGTTTTCTTCATAAACAGTGCGGCTGTTACTCGAGTAAATACGGTAAGTCTCAGAGCAACGTACAATGAACGGCTAACAAAGGGTCTCTTCGTTGTCAACATTATATGACAGAACCCCGCCCTTGTTTCATTCTTTTGACTAGTCAACTAGTGGTTTACTTTAACTAAACATTTTTGGGTGCAGTACGAGGGTCATTCAAGTTCTCGTGAATAATTTATAAACAAGTACTCGTAAAAAAAAGCAGAAACTTTGTCACTTTTCTTCGGGGTCACCATGTAGTTCTATACATTTTTTGCAACTTCGGTGCTTTGACGGTGTGGCTGCTGCGAAGGCTTCCTGAGAGTCTGTCGAGACTACTGGGTTACAGTTGCAGACCGATTTTTCGGACTTTGCAAGGACTGAAAAAACGTCTGAATAATAGAGCAGTCTGAAAATCAGCAGATTAAGAAACTTGCCTTTATTGCGTCTAAGCGGCTAGAAAAAGTTGTCAGTAGTGCCTTGCTTTAGGTTAAGCCTCAGCTTGTATTTGGCCACTTTTTATTAGCTTGAGAATCGGTGCAGTCTTTTCTAGCGTTACAATCGAGCATGTTCCATGCTTCTTAGCGACACCTCACGGTGGCTGCAAGCCAGCGTAGTCCGAAAACACGGTTCATTGAGACGGGATGAGAGGTGCAAGCCCACGACTGCAGAATGGAGAATGAACAAAGCAAAATGCTAACAATAATGATGATAATGATGCACGGCTAGAGGAAAAAAAGTTTGTAGCATAGCGTCACCGAGCAGTACTGAAGTAGCGCTGCCAAACCAAGCCAATCCATGTGCAGCCAACATGAAAGCTAAAATGGCGGCTTGTCGGTAGTGTTTCCCGCTGATCGCTCGCAACTATTTTGTCTGCAAAATTTAACTTTCGGATTTCAAGCTGTCTGAAACATTGGTCATGAATATGCACTCTTTCTATCGGGTAGGTCACGGTTCCTCTTTTAGGTCCGAAATATCAAACAAGTCCGAATTATTGGCGTCCGGAAAATCGGTCGGCGACTGTACTGCCAAGGCAACAGTGGAGTGCGTTGAAAACACTCGACTACAGAGAGTTTTCCTCACGGTCGGAAACAGTAAAGAATTGTTGGGTGCAAGTTGAGGAAAGTAGGGAGCCTGAGGACCAGATCAAAGCTCTTTTCATGAAGAAAATGTTTGAAGACTTCTTGCCCAACGAACCGAAGCTTGTCGTGATGGAGGATCACGACTGCAACCTTTTCCGGTAATTTTTTCTTCAATGCGGGAAGAAATGTTTTCGCAATGTCTTTGTAAGATGAAGCCATCACCGTTGTTCCTTTGGGGATACGGTAGATGAGGATGTGATGCCTTCACCATCCCAGAATATGTCCACCACCGTTTCCTCCGCACCAACGGTAGCACAAACTTCTTTGGTGCTGGGTAGCCGCTTTGCTCACATCACTAGTCTTCTACTGGCGTTTGATTTCGGGAATGGAAAACGGCATCCATCTCCCATCTATTCTGATGATTAATGAAATGAAAACAGCATTCATGCTGTTATCATGGGACAAATTCACCTGATCCCACGCAGGTGCAGAAAACAATTAATATGCTGCACTTTGAAGGTTAGCGTCACAATTTTTTTGTGTGTCTGAAGCAGGGGTGATGTTATGTGTTGCCACGAGCATTTCATGACTTGAACGATGTTACTGTGCCTCGCACTCATTTCCAAAATTATTCCGCATATATTAAAATGTTTCCCACGCCTGTACCTGCTCATGATCCAGTGAAAAAGGTGAAATGAGGAGACATTACAACTTGAATGCCCCTCATACTATACTCTGTTTCACTTTAAAGGGGCACTGACACATCAAAATCTTTTTTTTTTTTATTATCCGGAACGATTCAAAACGATACCGGGACGTACCCTCGAAATTTGAAACTTGGGAATTCAGTATTTGTGAAGTAAAAACACAATTTCCAAGTGCCGAATTCAAAGTTCCCGCCCGATCCGCGCCAATGCATTGACGTCAAATATTGCGGAGCCCTGTGAGTCGGCTTTCTTTCACGACTCCGTGCTGTTGCCACTGCGACCCGAAGCGAGGAGATGAGAAGCGGGAGATAAGGCCACCGGCGGACCGAGAAAAACCGGTTTTATTCCGTGCGAGCGGTGCCACCTGCCCAGGCGGCAAGTTTGCCGAGGGAGGGTACAAATCCAGGAGGCGACATCACACCAGACTTTCTGGTATTTCAAAAAGAAGGGCTGTAGTGCGTTCGCAATTGCGTTATAAAACATGTTTTACGATTGCCGTTATTAAATGTTATAGAAATGTTGCCTAGATAGCTTCTGAATTTCATGATTTTTGACGTCGCGAACCAGAAGAAGCGAGGAGCGGGAGAGAAAAGCGCCAAAAATAAAAAGGCACGTGCGCGTATAAAAAAAGTATTTTTTTTTGCGTGTCTATGACTACAACTTGCATTGTTTTAGACAATAAAAAAAAAATATGACCCTTGGGGTGTCAGTGCCCCTTTAAGTGCGAGCATAGCAGAAGTTACAAGAGCAAACTACAGGCTTTTAGCGTCCCTGCCTAGCATGCGCGCTCCTGCAGTGCGAGCACTGTTCAAGGCCGCGTGCTCTTGCTTGTACCATTGGCTGCGTCTCGACTTAAGCTGCAACGGAGTGTAAAGCTTTGCACAGGGCCAGGCCAACCCGGGCCGGGTCGGGCCAAGTAGTGCATATTGTTCTTGGGCCCAAGCTGGAGACGCAGTTTATCTCCCACTCTTGAGGCACCTCTAGGCGGGCCGGGCTTGGGCCAACAACTGGGCATCTCGTCGGGCTGGGCTTGGGTCAAGTAAGACTTAGGACTGGCGTCAATGGGTCCGGACCTGTTCGGGCCCCACAAGGTAGGCCCGCAAAGTGCTTTACCTCATAGATCTATGCAGGCACCGACCAGTAGCGGGTACCTCGTGGTGCCCAACTCCGTCAACCACTAGTCACAATTCTTGCTTTGTACTATTTCGAAGCGATAATCATAAGTAAATTGATCGGGCTTAGTCTCAACAAAGAGCTCTTGCAAGCACCTCGTATCTGGGGCTGGGTCCTCCGGTAGCCCTCTGGACATCCCTCACTCATCGCCCTTTCCTCCATGCAGCGTCCAAGAACGTGTTCCCGGGGCCGCAGTCTTCCCGCTCCTCGCCGAGCATGCCGCTCTGCGCCATCGTGCAGCTGGTTGACCACGAGCTGCTCAAGAAACGCGTGGACGAGAGCATCTGCCTCATCCGCAGGGTCGAGGTCATCATCCACCAGGCGCTCGACGCACTCGCCGACTTCGCATCCGACTGCACCGAGGTAGCATAACCTAAAGCCCCTCCGTACTCAGAAAGGTAGCAACATCCTTCCAAGAGTGCCGCTCCCAATCCTGAGACAATCACTATGATGGCGACTGCAAAAAAGCGGAGAATAAAGAAAGAAAATAGTTTGCTCACCAGAGCGGAAGGAAGATGTCGCTACCTTTTTTACTCGAGGGCCACTTATCGTGAGGTCCTAAGTTTATGCTTGTGCGTGCATAAGTATTGCAACAATCAAGTACATCCGGGCCGTGCTTCCCACAGCCGCCAGAGTGCAAGGGGCTGCTCCAGGACGCTGACCGTGGCTGCCACAGCATCAAGGTGTGCCTGGTGGACAGCTTCAAGCTCATCTGCAGCTTCACCATCTCCCACGTGCCAGACTGCAGGGAGGACCACTGCTCCCACGAGGCGAGTCAGCTCTTTGGAATCTGTGTTTCACGTGTGGCTCTGTTTTTGTTGGGTAAATGGGATGGACCATGCGGGTGTCCTCATATTTTAAGATATTGAGGAAGCCCTATTTGTCGAGACTGATTGCCAAAGAACCCTTACTGCTCTCGGCATTGATGCAATAAGGCTTTGCAGAAGGCTACAGGTCTTGCAATCAGTAAGGCACATACTAGAAAGGGCATGGCTCTTAGTTATGCACCAGGGTGCCTTAGATCCACTAAAACAGTGCTTAAACAGGGAAAACACTCACTTCGGGGCAAAAACAGTTGTGAAGTTTTGAGAGCTCTGGGAACCCTTGGGGATACTGTGGGGAACCCCGGTGTTCTTAGGAACCCTGTTTGAGAACCCGTGGAATATTCCCAAAGTACCTCAACTCGCAAGTTTTGTCCTAAAACTGCGTTGAGGTGCTGAAATTAGACGGCTACATGCACAGCCCTGTACAGTCGAATAGAACAGGCAGTCACGCCTAGGAGAGTGCTCCTTTTTTTTTTTCCTGCGCCAGCGTAATTGACTTAAACAAATCGGGAAGCTCGACTCTATCGGTGCTTTTGGTAAATCTTATGCTATAGCATGCGGTACTCTGGAAGCATGCAGCGTTTCCAGAATTTCACACCTTGTCAACAGGTTGCATTTGGTGACTTCAGAGTTTTCGTAATACAATAGAACCTCTTCGATGGTTCTCGGTTGATACATTTCTCATAAGAATATGTGTACTGTAATTTCCGGACTATAAGTCGCGCATTCGTATATTGAGCCATTTTCGTAGAAAAGTTGGTACATAGGTCACACCTTTGTATTAAGTCGCACCTCTTTGCACGGTTCACGCGATGAGTTCTTTAATTTACGCGCATTGGTATCGCGAAATTGGAGTTTCGCACAATTGCTAGATCGCACGTACCGTTTGACGCGCATTTCAACTCGCGAGAAATTCCCATAGTATGGTGCTGTCTGGCAGGGGCAATCAAGTGTTTCGCAGCAAAAGGACGTAAAATGCACAAAATGAGAGGGTAGTCGACTTTATTCGAGCGGACGCATGCCGAGCGAACGAAAGTTTAAAGAGCTAGACCAGGGGTTCTCAAACTGGGTTACGGGGAACACAGGGGTTCCACGAGCTGGTCTCATGGGTTCCGCAAACACCCAAATTGCAACCCCCCTCCCCCCCATGCCGCAGGCTGCACGGCAGGACCATGCAAAGCACCTTCATCCCACTTTGTACTGACATTGCGATTAATATGGTGGGAATATATGGGAAGCAACACAAGCAAAATTGCCCACAATTGTGCATCTGTTGCTTCTCGGTCGGCAAATATGGAGGGGGGGGGAAGGGGGGGGTTCCGCGGCAGTTTTTGAGGCTTCCTGGGGTTCCGTGAGGCCAAAAAGTTTGAGCACTCCTGAGCTAGACACTCGCGAACCAAGCTTTGGAGCACTAGGCCTAGCCTAGGCCAAGTCCTGGAGACGACGCGAAAAAGATAAACCTTGACATACTTTTTTGGTACCTTTAAAAGATCGGCTAGCCACAATCTTTCCTTTTACATATAGCAACACAGCTGGAGCATGGCACAAAAAAACTGCTCATCAAACGGAAACTAAGAAAGACGTGAGAAAATATTCTGCAATGCGTTTAAACCAGCCCACTTACTTTTCAGTGTTACTGGACTGAAGCCAAAAAATATGGAACCATGGCTGAACTAGGCAGCATCAATAACATGCTGTAAAAGCTTTATTTTCACTGTCTTGCCTATCCACATTGAACCGCTTCGGGGAAACCATAAAAATTAAAATATATTGCATTCCGAGTCAAAATAGTGCGCAAAATAGTGAAGCAAAAAAAAAATCTTATATAAGTCACACCAAGAAAAATGTTTGAAAAAAAAAACGCGAGTTATACACCTGAAAATATGGTATTTACTTCCTCTTTGTTGCATCCTGGATGTTACGACCAAAATCTGTTTGACGCAGCCAATCCAAAGGATTTGGCTTCTCGGTCATGGCACCCTGCTTCATCTTTTATGTGCCTATTTTCCTTTCTGCACTTCTCTCTTGCCCTGGTGGGCATGACCTTGAACGAGGCTTTCATGGGATTGAGGCTTTCGCAACAGCTCGTTTGTTCTTCTGTCTTTCTCCGGCGTGCCTGCATACTTGCTTGATTCCCCGCCTTGGTCCTGTTCCTCTAGTTTAATTTTGCGTAGAATTTATAGTGCATTGCGTGCATCGAGCTGTTCGACTTTTATCCAGAAAAGCACTCTTTCGTTAGACCTGCATATTGGGCAGGAGATCGAACTATAGGGGGCGCTCTGACCCGTTTGTCGTCCCCACACTCGGTGTTTACTCAACAGAAGGCCTGTGCAGATGCCCACGGGCCTTATGGGCATGTCCATGTCATCTTTTTCAATAGAGTGCTGGGCACAGTGTAATGCGAAAATACTAACAATGAACGAAGTGACGTTAAGTGCCGGATCTCTCGCGAAAGCAGTCGTCAGAGAATGCGAGCTTGACCCACTTCAGCTTTTGTGCTGAGCTGTTCATGCAGGCCTCACCGGAGAACACGAACTCCAGCCGAACGTTGACACCGCGTTCGGTTATGTCAGCCGAGCGCTGAGTCATTCATTGTATTTGTTGCCCCCATCCTTGTAGTTCTAAGGTTAACCGCTTGGGGTGCCATGGTCTGATCAATATCAACGTTCTGATTGGTAGAAATTGGGCTAATTGATATTTCTTTCAACATTATTGTTGCATCACTCTTCTGTGCAGAAGCAGCTCAAGTTGGAGCTGAACAAGCTTCAGGAGAAACATTCCCAGCAGAGTATTGAACTTCAGAATGCTCTCGAACAAATTTCTGTAAGTACGGATCGCACTCGCTGCACTGGAATGAAATTTTGTCACACTCTCCTGCAACGTTTTTGTTTCTATTCAATGATCATTGTTTCAAGGCCTGTGGAAATCTGTTCCATTTTGCTGCAACTCATTTTTAACTTTTCAAAGGAGTTCTGAGGTCTTAAGTGGGAGTCATTGTTAAGAATTTTATCTAAAACATACAAATAAATCTGTTTTTTAAATAATTTTGATGCCATTATGCACCGTTCCCTTTCAGTCTTTCAAGGAGAAAAGGGAAGGCATGGAGAGAGCCATTAGCCGTCAACGTAAGTGTAGCTTGCATCAGCTTTATGAAGTCATTCATACATAAATATGCATAACCTTACAAACAAGGTGTCAAAGAACTGGGATATATGATAGGGTACCACTTCTGAATGATTCAGTTACCTCTTCCTGTATATTTACACTATGCCTTCTGCTTGTTTTCATTTCGAGTGTTAGAAGAAAGAAATGCATAAACAATAATCTAATTTCATCAGGATTTTGTGGTGGGTGGTGGTGGTAGGTGGTGACCCAGAAATGACCACGTCATGATGCGCTTTAGACAGATCTACCATACTTTCAGTGTCTCCACCGATCCTCAAGGACTACAAGATGGTCATTTTCAGAAGAGTGTGATATTTTGAATGTGGGACAGCACTTGAAGGTCTTTTGAATTTCAGTCCCAGGCGAAAATCAGTCCACTTCCAGCTGGATTATGGAACTGGAAATAAGGCAGTCCAGCTGGATTCCAGCTGGACCGCCTCATTTCCAGTTCCATAATCCAGCTGGAAGTGGACCGATTTTCGCCTGGGGTATTAACTGAACACGACAAAACTTTTCTATCTCTGCAGTGAGCAAGACCAAGATGGTACTCAAGCAGACGAAGGGGAACCTCAATGTCCTGCGTACAAGAGATACCAAGCACGAAAAGAAGTGATTGTGACATGTACATTTGTAGCATGTAAATAATCACCTTCTTGCAAAGGGCAGAGGTTTTAGGATTGGTTAGCCACACATGTCATACGTTATCTTTTGTGGAATGAAGCAGTGGCATAGCTAGGCCATCCGGCACCCCCACCCCTCCCTTCAGTCTCCGAGATCGCAACCAACCAGTAAAACGGGGGGGGGGGGGGGGTGCCAGATGCTGCCAGAAGTGGCACCCCCCCTTATTTGACTGCGACGCCTGGCAGCCAGGGCCCCCCGGCTGCTACGCCACTGGAATGAAGTTTAGACATGCTCATTATCGCCGTTTTATGTTTTAACTTGGCATGGCTAGTGGAGGTTGAAGTGCTTTTAGCATATTATGTATGAAGAGTATTGTTTTGTTATGAAGGTTTAGCAGTTTGTCATTGGCTGGTGCATTTCTCAACAATTCATTCTGCAGTTACTGTGCACAAGTGAATGCAAATTTGTACATTTGCATTTTTAGTTTACTTGACGGCTTGTTTGAAAGAGCTCCCCAATTTTTGTTTGGCCACTCAGTTAATAATGCCTTTAATCAATAGGAATCTGAGACTGTAGAAATGCTTGCCACAAAGCCTGTGGGATTTTCCTTGTTGCCAGGGTGCCCACAAGCTTACCTATATATGTTTGCAACAGTGGCTTGGAAACTAATGTGAACTTGTAATGTGTACAGGCTGTAGTGCACATTCTCCTGTAGCAGCACCACACCATAACATTCCTTGGACAGATTTTTGAACCCCTTAAAGTATGCATGAAGCTTTACTAAGAAATGAGAGAACCTTTTCTATTTGGTTATAACTCAAATACAGTAAAACCTCGTTATAACAAAGTTGAAGGAGCGGTCGTAATTATTTCGTTATAACCATTAGTTTGTTATAGCCAATGTCCATTTCTTCCCACTATTAGCAAGCAAGGGGAATTATGATTGCTTTGTTATATCCATTAGTTTGTTATATCCCGTTTTGTTATAACGAGGTTTTACTGTATTGCCAAATTATTCTGTATAATTTCTTAACCATAATTTCAGTCATCACATTTGTACTTTCATTTTATGTGCTCCAGAAACTGGTGTAGGTTTTCAGGTATTTCTGCAAATGTAATTAGTTCACCAGGAGTCCACCCTCAACCTCTGTCATATCCTCACCCTAGGAATCCATTACATTTGCAAGTGTTTGTTCCTAAGCAGTTGACAAATTCCATTGTTGTACAGCAGTGTTTCCAAGAAATTATACGCATCTCTTCTGGTTTACATGGCTGGTTGGTTCCTTGCATGTTTGCACTCTTTCCAGCGGACTGGTACGGAGCGGCTTCCAGACACAGTTGGATTATGATTGATGCAGAGAAAATGCATAGAAGCCAGGGATCCTGGGTTTCCTTCTCAACCCCTGCCTGTTTCAATCTTGGCGAGAAACTTACTAAAGGACACTCTTAGGTAGCCTACTGGAGCTAACTTCCCGCTGTCTGGACAAACAACACAATTTTCTTTTACACAGAAGATGCAAAATGGTTGCTTGGAGAGTTATACAATTTGCTTCTCTCATCAAGTTATGCCAAAAAAAGAAATACCACCCTCAAATACTTACTTTGGTGTGGTGTGTTCCACAAGCAAAAACTGGCAGTTGAAGTGGAAATTTATCCTTAGCAGAAGACGTTTGATCATTATAGACCCTTCCGACAATAGGCTTCTGGGCGATGCCATTATCAAAGTGCCCATCTAGGCTGTGTATTTGTTGATATTGAAATGGTATATAAAAGGAACAGGTTTGAAAGCACTTAGCCCTGCTGCATTTGGCAAACGAAATGCACAATGCTGCAACATATCTAAGCCTATGCGGAGCACAAGTTCGTTTACTGCTTTTGCAGGGGTTGTGACGACGTCAAAACGCCGAGCTCCGATTGGTTCTGAATGAAGGATAGTAGGTAGACCTCAAGGCAGCTTGCTTTAAAGGGATACTACAACGAAATTTCGGCGCTCATTTTTTGGTCTATATGTGTTCAAAGGAGCAGTATCACATCGAACATACCAATATCTTGTTAAAAAAGTCATGAAAAGTAATTTTAAAACGAATTAAACGATTAGCAAAGAGCACCTGGTGGATGTCGCTAAGGCCTCGCTTGTAATGCCCGTCTAGGAACCTTGACATCTAGTGATGGAGGTTGTCTCGCCTCCGGCCACGACGAGAGAAGAGGGGAACGAGGAACTCCCCTCTTCCCAAGAATGCCTTTTGTGTGTCGCAGAAGTCGCTATTGTCCCCCTACAAGATTATAGAAGATTAACCCGTCACTCAAAATTCGTACAAAAGCAGCCGCTTCGGTGGCTGGAACAACTAGGCCATCCTCTCGACGTCAGCCTCGCCGTAGCTTTGCTCGTCTTGAGACGACCTACGTCACGATTGCGTTGGATGTCACGTGGTCTCCGCTGGGCCTTCTCTGAGCGCTTGCGAGAGTGGGCCTGTTCCACAATACGCGAGCAACGTACATTAGGGGAGACCCCTCTTATACGCAGCCATCGGGACCTTCATAGCAATTTAGGCTTCCACGGCCCACGGGTGAGCCCTGTTTCTTCCCAGTCGGCGGGCCCCCCCTTTGATGACTTGCAGCTGCGAGCCAGGCGCTCTGGCGGTGGAGGGGGCCCGCTAAGGAGGAGCCGGGGGGAAGTGGGGAGACAGGTTTCGGGACGGGACGGCTTAGGCGAGTATCTGTGTGTGTGGGGGGAGATGAGTGTGGACCAGTGGAATGAAAAAACTCAAACGGACAAGATCGCGGTGACGCCGACCTGAACAATGACTGTGTATACGCGTATTACTGTAATCCAGTTGACGTAATATAGTTGTTTTGTTTATTTCTGAATTCCTTTTAATCAGTATAGAACTGCGTGCAGCTTCTGCCACAGAAACTATGGTGCCGAAACCCGGGAAAAAACATAGAACAAGGTGAGCGGTTTTGATCTTTGTGACTGCGCTGTGAAAGAGCTGGGTGCGTGTTCGTGAATGGCAAACGATGGAGCGGCTTAAAGGAAAACGTGGAGTCAAACAGGAGCAAACCACAAGGCTCATCGGCGAGGCGTCGGTGGGACTGGAGACAGTGGATCTGGCCACGGTGACTGCCTGGCGAGAACGAATCGGCGCATGCAACCAGACGCTTCGGTCTCTAAATGCAGAGATCGAGGACCAACTGCCGCTAGAGGATCTCGTCGCGGAATACACGACTGTATCCAAACACGACGACGACGCCACCCGAGTTCTAGCGCTGCTGGGCTGCAAGATCGCATCGCTACGACAAAAGGAACTGCCAACGCCGACGCCCTTGAACGAGACCACATCGGCGACAGCTTCAGTACCTCCTGCCAACAGGACAAGCGGAGTGAAGCTCCCGAAGTTGCGACTCCTGACCTTCAACGGAGATGTCAGCGGTTGGCAGAGCTTTTGGGAACAGTTCAGTGGTGCTGTTCACAACAACGACAGCATCACACGATCGGAAAAGTTCCACTACCTTCGCACACTAGTCATCGGACCAGCTGTTGCCGCAATCGCAGGACTTCAGGCCACGGAGGCCTGCTACGACGATGCCATCCACATCCTGACGCAGCGGTTCGGCGACAGGCGAAGAATTGAGCAAGACCACCTGGAGAAGCTCCGATCTCTGCCGCCGGTGGCGTCCGCGAAGGACGCAAGGGGACTGAGGAGGATCTACGACCATGTGCAGACCAACATCCGAGGGCTAAGAGGTCTCGGCGTGGGATCGTCGACTTACTGCACAATGATGTCAGACATTCTTCTCAGGGCCCTGCCGAAAGAGATTGTGCTGGACTACCACAGGTGGCATTCGGGCAACACCGCCTACAGGGCGTCCGGGACGTCGGAGAGATATCCAACGTCGCCGAATGCAACAGGAAAAGACGCCGGCCGCTCGATCGACTCGCTTTCCTCTGCACGGATCTGTCCCTCGCCGTTGCAATCCGCCGATGCCGAAGGTGAGCTCGCCAAGATTCTTGGGTTTCTTCGTGTCGAGGTCGAGAGCAGAGAGAGAGCCGGGGTCGTGGCCGAGCGGTATGACCCACCGCGGAAGACTGGGATCGATGGATCAGGAATGCCAGCTGCGGCACTGTTGAACACAGGCATCACTGGCCAGTGCTTCTTTTGCGGCTCAACCAAGCATTCGGCGGAATTATGCACTTGCGATCTCAAACTCGATCTAAAGAAAAGAAAGCTGGCAGAGAGTTCCCGATGCTTCCGATGCACACTGGGGGGGCACCGAGCAAGAGAGTGTCGTCGAAAAGTGTCATGCGCGGGATGTTCCGGCAGGCATGCTACATCGATGTGTGACCCTGACTGGAAGCCCGCGCTAAGGAAACCAGATCGAGATGCCCGCTGACGAGCGTCCAAAACACGATCTCCGAACGTAACAACGTTCCATTGGACTCCGAGGTTCTTCTTCGGACTTTCCGGGCCTGGGTTGTGGAGGGGAAACGGCGCGGCTAAGTGCGGGCCATCATCGACGGAGGAAGTCAACATACTTTCATCCGAGAGGATGTTTCGCGCAAGCTCGGCCTCAAGGTTCTAGGAGAAACCAGCCTCCGACTGAACACGTTTGGCCACTGCTCGACACGACCACAACGGCGACGACTGGTTGAGGTACGACTGCGCAGTCAGTATGGCCAAGAAGAATGCGTTGTAGAGGCTGTCGAGGTACCCTTCATTTGCAAGGACGTCGTTCGGGTACCCGCCGACCACGTGTTTGTTCACCGAGTGGAGCAAGACGGACACCGCTTTGCAGATAGCTCCTGTTTCCTGGAGTTCCAGCGGAGGAAGGCATATCTCTGCTAGTCGGATCCGATCAGCTATGGAAGGTCACCGGAGACCAAGTGCTGCGGTGCGAGGAAAATCAAAAACTGGTCGCCATCAGTACCATTTTTGGGTGGACCTTTCAGGGCCCCGTATCCCACCACAGCTCCCTCAGCGGCAACGCCAACAGCATGGTGTGCGTTCTGAGGGTCGGACCCGCGGAGAACGAGGACGTCGGAGACGTGCTGCGGAGTTTTTGGGAGCTGGAGGGCATCGGCATTGCTGATCGGCCATGCAGCAAGACAGAGGAGCACAACAAAGTACTGACAGGGTTCAATGAAACAATCAAGAAAGTTGATGGACGGAACGAATTAGGTTTGCCATGGAAAGCCAGCGCCGAAAACCTGAAAGACAACAGTACGCTGGCGTTGAAAAGTCTCGGCGGCTTGACGAAAAGTCTTTCGTGGAATGAGTCCCTCGTGAGGGAGTACGACAACGCCATCGGCAGCTACATAACAGCAGGACTTGCAAAGAGGGTTCCAACGGACTCTACCGGCGCCGAGTCATCACGCTCCCAGACCTACTACATGCCGCACCAGCCAGTCATTGGGAACGAATCGGAGACGACGAAACTCCGGGTAGTCTTCGATGCTTCTTCACATCTACCTGGAGCTACGTCACTTAACGACCACATGGACAAGGGACCGAACCAGAACGCCGACCTCGTCGGGATTTTAGTGCGCTTTCGTATGCACCTGATTGCTGTGACGGCAGACATAAAAAAGGCATTTTTACAGATCGGTGTCCGACCACAAGATAGCGACGCACTCCGCTTCCTATGGGCTTAGAGAGATCCGGTGACAGAGAGTTCTGAATCACGCGTCAAGGAATGGAGGATGACTAGAGTGCCGTTTGGGACTTCCGCCAGCCCTTTTCCGCTTACCGCCACGCTTGTGAATCACCTGAACGGTAAATGGAGACCTGAAATCTACTGCCGAGCTGCTTCGAAAGTCGTTTTACGCGAACGACTTGCTGGTTGGAGCCTCAACGATCAAAGAAGCAGCGCTACTACAGGACCAAGCCAACGGAATATTGGAAGATGCAGGGATGAAACTCCGTAAATGGTCACCCAACGCTACAAACCTGCAAAATTCGTTGTGACAGGGGATCAACGGCGTCCGCCGTTTCCGAGCCAAAGGGAGTGCTTTGGTTGCTATGGCGACGGGACAAGGACACTCTGGCTGTTCCCATTGAAAGGTGCTTAACGTTGTTACGGGCAGGCGACCGACAACCTTGCCGTCAAAAAGCCTGGACAGAATAGAAGAGTCAACAAAGGGTGAACTCTCCAGACGTTGGTGGCATCGTCAAAAAGTAATGGACAGTTTTTGGAGAAGGTGGAAAAAAGAGTATCTGCTGCAATTACGCTCAGCGCACCAATCAACAGAGACACAGATCAACAGCCTGAAAGACGGAAATCTGGTCTTGGTGCATGAGGAAAGGGCACCGCGAATACAGTGGAGAGTGGGGCGAATTGAGGGGGTGCAAAGGGGACGGGACGGTCATGTGCGCTCGTGTTTGGTGCGCCTTCCCAACGGAACGATCCTCAGCCGTCCAGTGCAACTGCTGTACCCGCTGGAACTCGCCACATGAAAAGTGACAGGCCCTCCTCGTTCCGCGGGGCGGGAGTGTGTTCCACAATACGCGAACAACGTACATTAGGGGGAGACCCCCCTTATACGCAGCTATCGGGACCTTCGCAGCGATTTAGGCTTCCACGGCCCGCGGGTGAGCCCTGTTTCTTCCCGGTCGGCGGGCCCCCCCTTTGATGACTTGCAGCTGCAAGCCAGGCGCTCTGGCGGCGGAGGGGGCCCGCTAAGGAGGAGCCGGGGGAAGTGGGGAGACAAGTTTCGGGACGGGACGGCTTAGGCGAGTATCTGAGTGGGGGGGGGAGATGAGTGTGGACCAGTGGAATGAAGGAACTCGAACGGACAAGATCGCAGCGACGCCGACCTGAACAATGACTGTGTATACGCGTATTACTGTAATCCAGTTGACGTAATATAGTTGTTTTGTTTATTTCTTAATTCCTTTTAATCAGTATAGAACCGCACGCAGCTTCTGCCACAGGGCCGTTTACAACGAAAAATACAGTCACCAGGCTCAAAGTAGAAACGTGCAACCTATTTTTGAACACGACGGGAATATTTCAGATATTGTTGAAGTATCTTTTTAAAAGGGAACTGACACCCCAAAGGTCATATTTTTTTTATTGTCTAAAACGATGCAAGTATACTGCATTGCAAAAAAAAAAATTTTTATGCACGTGCGCATTTTTTTATTTTTGGCTTTTTTTTTTGCGCTTTTCACCTCCTCGCTTTTGATTTGTGACATCAAAAATCATTAAATTTCGAAGGTTTGCAGGCAACATTTCTATAGCATTTAATAACGGCAATTGTACAATGTTTCTTAATGCAATTGCGAACGCACTATGGCCCTTCTTTTTGAAATAACAAAAATTGGAGTCCACTGTGATGTCGCCTCCTGGATTTGTATCCTCCCTCGGGAAACATGGCGGCGCTCAACGCACATAGCAGAGGATGGTCGGGGAATTGGACGAAGTGGTCTTTTTTAGGTGCCCGACGACCTCTCGGACTTCACCAAAGAAAATCGTCAAACGGTCAAAACAACTGGGTTTGGAGTCTGTATATAGTAGTTTCAATTTTGACTCAGCCGGGGCAGCCTTTCAGACGTCAAGCGTCATCTGCTCGCCACGATGGCAGGCGGCACGGCACGAACCGAGAAAACCAAACTTTTTTTTCCGGTAAGCCGGCGCCCTTCTCTCCCGCTCCTCACCTCCTCGCTTTGGGTCGCAGCGGCAGCGGCGCGGTTTGGAGCGGAGGAGTGAAAGAAAGTTGACTCGCAGGACTCCGCAATATACGACATCACCGCACTGGCGTGGATTGTGCGGGAACTTCGAATTTGGCATTTGGAAATTGTTTTTTTTTCTTCACGAATACTGAATTCTCAAGTGTCGATTTTTGAGGGTAATGTCCGGGAATGGTTTTCGATGGTTTCGGATAATAAAAAACAAAATATGATTTTGATGTGTCAGTGGCGGCCATCGAAAGGGGGGTGTCACCGTGTCTCCCTTTTGAATTTTTAGAGCACAGCTCTGTGGCGCCCGTTTCCGACTTGAGCGGCGTCGCTGTCGGCGTAACCGTTGCGCGATGTCACGTAACGCGACGTCATGAGGGAGACATTGCTCGGAGGGGGGCTATGTTGCGCTTTTTGGACTCCCAGGAGACTAGGGAGAGGGAAGTGACGTCAACGACACAGCAAACGCAGATTGGGTGTTGATTTCGTTTTCTTTTGTCAACATCCAATCTGAATTTGCTGTGTCGTTGACGTCACTTCCCTCTTCCAAGTCTCCTGGGAGTCCAAAAAGCGCAACATAGCACCCCTGGATGAGGAGGAGGGGTGTACCCTCCCCTCAGTACCTGTCCCTCCTCCTCCTCAAAAGCTGCACTCTAATTTGGCGTTACAGATAGTTGTGAACGGCTTTTTTTTTTTCTTTTTCCGATTTATTTGAACCTGGCGCCCGACAAGACGCTATATGCTCGATCGCCGTTCGTTTCTGGAATGCGGTTCTCGTCTGACAAAATGCTCGTGTTGGGCCATGCTCACATATTTACTAACAGCGTGATGTCGATAGCTAGGGGCGTATAAAAAGACAGGGGTGGGGTCAATCCACGGTTGGAGTTTGCCCAGTGCGCTTGATGGTGTAGGGCCGGTGCTGGTCTACTCACTATCCTTCAATCAAACCAATCGGAGCTAGGCGTCGATCTGACATCACCAAAACTCCTGTGCAAGAAGCAGACACTTCATCTCCACATAGGATTGACACTCTGCAAGCTCATGGCCGATCATGAAGAGTCAGCTACTGTGACTTGGTGTTGCTAAGGGTGAATAGAAATAAAGGGAAGGCATTCTCTGATCTTCCTTCCCTAAAGGTGGGTAGAGTAAAAAACCAAAGTTAATCTACAAAGCTTCTGATGTAACGGAGTGCAAGTTGCAATTCAATGTTTCATGTACAGAGTTGATATTGTTCAGCTTATAAAGAATAGTGTGCAACATGTGATGTTTAATCTAGTCAATAATGTGCAGCAAGGCAGTTTTCAATAGAGTTGTAAACTGCAGAGTGAAGCTATATTCGCGACTCCAGCGAACTAGAGGGCACGCTGGTCGGGCAAAATGGTGGAAGAAAGGAGGTTGTTTTCGTCGTTCAGCACGTGGACCACCATTAATTTCGTGCACTGCAGCATACAATCTGTGTTATATATAAAAGCAAAGCGATTTTTCGACGGTAGAAACTTTCTAGTCTGCGTAAGAATGACATGGCAGAAGCATAAAGATAATTACTGGAAACAATGTTTCTATGCTGCCTATGAGAACCAAGCAGCGATAGCAGACGACAAAGTCGAAACGACCTCCTCTCCTGAGCTTCTTTGCGTTGCCGCTACGCGGCATCGGTTCCGCTGGAGTCTCCAATACTGCATCATAGTATTTTGATGAAATCGCGCGTGCATACCTGCCAAGTTCGGAAAAAACAAATCCAGATATTCTTTTTTTATACAAGAAATATTGATTGATTTTAAATGAAGACAACATTATTACATTTTTATTGCTCTGCTCCTGCTAACCAGATACAGATGGCCCTCGTTATCATTGTTAACATCTGTTACGAAGGTGAAAACTGTTTAAATGTGGGGAAGGTGGGGTTGACTAACGTTTTCCGGGAGATTTTCCCGTCAATCACACAATTGTATGAAATGGTCAAAATCTGGGAGCCTCCTGGGTAATACGGGAAACTTGGCAGGTGTACATGTGGCGGCAGCGATTCTGCATTGTGAAAACAGGGCACTTTGGTTAATAGTTTTTAACTAGTGTGCATTTACAGTGATGAAGCTGCATTCAATTAGCTTGTTGGGCATGGAAAATTTCAAGCAACACAATGTAGGTACCAATATTGCAAGCACGCCTTTTACTTTCATGCACACTTGATCCACCACTTTCCAAATGTGCAGTCTGATGGTTCTTTTCTCGAAGCTATGCACTTCCTGATCATAGTCAAATAGGCTAAATTTCCAAAAAGTTACGCCTACTCTGAAAAAAATTAAAAAAGAAGGATAGCTCACAAACTGGATTCATTAAAAGGATACTACAACAAAATTTTGGCGCTTACTTTTTGGTCTATATGCGTTCATAGGAGCAGTATCACATCGGACACACCAATATCTTGTTAAAATAAACACGAAAAGAAATTTTAAAAGGAATTAAGTGATTAGCAAAGAGCACCTGGTGGATGTTGCTAAAGCCTTGTTTGTAATGCCCGTCTAGGAACCTTGACAGGTAGTGACGATAACTGTCTCGCCTAGAACTATACGTGCTTTGAACCTGACGTCGTTCCGACAGCTCTACAGCCAGCACAAGAGAAGAGGGGAGGAACTCCCCACTCAATCCCTCTACAAGATGACAAAAGATTAACCCATCACTCAAAATTCACAGAACAGCAGATTCGCGGTTAGTTGCGGTGGCCCGATCGCTGGCATGCTTCGACCGCTTCGGTGGTTGAAACGGCTAGGGCATCCTGTTGACGTCAGCCTCGTGGCAGCTTTCCTCATCCCGAGACGAACTATCACGATTGCGCCGGATGTGACGTTCTCTCCACTGGCTGCTCTCCAAGCGCTTGCCAGAGTGGGCCGTTTATAATGATAAATGCAGCCATCAGGATCAAAATGCAAACGTGCAATTGTCATTTATGGATAATATTCAACCTTTCTGAACTCGACGGGTATATTTCAAATTTCTTTGAAGTTCAGGCATACACATGGCAGGCTGTTTTACACATTGATGAGAACAGACGTTGGCACAGATTCACTCAAACAACTTCTTCATGGCTGCTGCAAAGTACTTGTTCAGCTTGGTCGTCCGTTCCCTCAGCAACACAATTTGTTTCTGGACAGCCGCATTCTTGGGGTCCAATGCCGCTGCACGCTCCAGGTCTTCCTTGGCTCTCTCATACTCCTGCAGTTGGACGAAAGCGGTACCTCTGCGAAAGAGGGCCTTGACGTTGTCACAATCAATCTCCAACGCTCGCGTACAGTTTGTGACGACATGATGGTATGTGCTGTTCTGCAACTGACATGCTGCAAGGTTCAACAGACACTTCAGTTTTAAGTCTCTGCTGTTTATGCCGAGTTCGTTCACCATGTCTTCCGGGGGGTTGTCGTGTTCGAGGGAAACAATGTACTTAAATGCCAAACTGAAATGCCTGAATGCCCATTTGTACTCTTTGGCACTGAACAAACTAACACCCTTGTCCTTATGTTGGCATGCGTGGTACCACTTGTCCGAAAGCTTCATCTCAAAAATGGCAGGCTTGGGGATGAAGGATTCCAGCTGAATCCGTACTTTGCAAGTTTGGCCACGTTGGTTAGACGACTCGTTGTTCCGGTCGTCGCATGGAGGGAGGAGACCTTTCATTTCATGATCATCGGAGATATGGACAACAGTCCTCTCGTCCCGCGCCGAAGTTGTGATATCGAGAGGTATTTCTTGTGGGCGCTCAGAAGTATCGAAAAGGTACGCTGCCCTTGGTACATATGGCTCCGTCGTCTTCAGCGGTAGGTCGAAATTAACATCGCACACCTCACCGACGTTCATTGTTAGGAGGCATCTCTCCAAGATAAACTCCACATCGCTGCAAACGTCTCCAATAACAATAACTTTGTTGGTCGTTCCACTACCGAGACCGACAATGTTGTCTTCGTCAGTCAGCACCTTTATGTTGCAAGAGGCTTCTTGAAAGGGCTTGCTGAATGTATTGCTTGACTGCACCACGGTTTTCTTGAATGTCCCATCCGGTGCTTCCCATACTTCTGGGGATTTTGGACAACTATTTTCCAAGATCTGCGATGTTTGCTGGGAAGATTCGTCAACCTCCATATTCTTCAACGGGCTGTAACGATTAAATCCTAATCGCCTTTTCTTTTTTCTTGTGTAGAGTGAAGGAGCCTGAGCAGTACAAATATCAGTTTACCAACGTCTGTTCATGACACTCGCGCCTTCTAATCAGCAGGTCAAATCGTTCAAATCATTCCCAACCATCACAAAAGCACCGGCGAACTCGAGCAACATCCTTCTTCCATCACTCAGCGACTCAGCCGATCAGGGAGCCACCGAAACGGCCGAAGCCAACAAACAAATTTCGGATCAGATGATAAATTCAAAATTTTACCATTAAACCGAAACTACCAGAAAGCACAAGCAAAAGTAGGTTTTATAAAAAGTAAAATAATGCGTAACTCAAATTTGAGAAGTTTTGAGTACTGATATAAGTCATATTTAATTTTTATTCCTCAAATGCGATGCTGCCGTTCTTGGACGCTTCCAACAAAGTGGCGCAAAGAGCGCAAAGCGCTGGGCGGCAGGTCAAATAGGGGTCCGACTTTCTCCCCTAAACATAAGTTGAGTGACGCACTAATCTATTTATTATAATCCTCCCGTTCTGCACCAAAGGCCACCCCCCTTCAAGGTCCCTTATCAGCTGTGTTGGTATTACTCATTGCGCACAAATTGACGTTTCCCCAGGAGATTAGACAAAGTGTGGATGTAATTCTAGGGCGTAAGAGAGCAGTGTCGCCCGAATGCCCCGAACCGAGTTGGCCTAGAACAGCAACACAATGGACTTCAGCGTCAAGTCGTTCAAGGGCCTAGCCGCCGAAGCTGCTACAGTGTTCACCAGAGCTGTGCAGGTAATTAAAGCGCACACTTATGCATTCCTTTACTTCATCGCTCTCTCTTTCCATCGGTTAACAAAGGCACAGCTTATTCTGTTGAATTCGTGCGCCCACTGGCCGGTGATGCTTCGATGCTCTTCCACTGTCATTGCACATTGTAGTGGTTTGCATGTGCCCGGCACATGTGCCAAAGGCATTTAATCAGGCACTGCTTATGTTCGCCCGCTTGTAGCATACATTCTTACCTTGAATGTAGAACGAGTTGTCTGGTTTTCTCCCGTTGCTTTTCTGCCTACTATCGTGCGCTGGAAATGACAGACGGAGGCAGCTGGACCGATAGCGATATGCCAACTCAGATGGTTGTTTCCGCCGATACTCGCTCATGAAAACACAGTTTCTAAACATTGAATCTAAATAGCGCCGATTTCATTTTTTTTCGAATAAAGGAACAGCAGTCTTAGGTTCTCCACGATGGCTCTGTTAAATAAATACATCAACTGTCTTTCAGAACACGTCGTTATGTCGTTCACTCCCTCAAAATCAATTCTTCCGAACCGTGCTTCAAATCACGACCTCCGTTATACAGGAAGTTATTCTAGATGTTTTCTTTTTCCCGGCCTCGCAGTCTGAGCCATCGTTGTGTTTTCACACGTCTATGCACACAACACGCCTACGCTGTATGTTTAGTCATGCAGCCCATATATTTCCACTTGGACGGGCTGACTAAGGAAATCGCGAAGTGGACTTTGCGCTCACAGTACACAACCTTTGTTACGGGGTGTGAACAGGGCGTTACTGTCAACAGCTTCCAACGCTGTAGTTCCGAGGCAGCTTCGCCGCCTCCGCTATGAACTTTGGAAAGCTCGCGATGAACATTTCTGGTGCAGTGTCATGGACAAAGCAGGTGACTATATAAATGTGCATTGATAGCATTCTTGCCCATTTAATTTTGTTACTGGTGTACAGTATCACCGTTCAAAGTATTCGTGTTTTTATTTTCCTTGTTATGCTTCTCGAATTTTTAATTCCCCTTCCTCGTCTACAGTAAGTGATTCCACTGAATGTAAGATGCATCCCTTGAAGTCTGACTAGGGTACTTTGGAAATGCTGGCTTGCACATTTGCGTTTAGTGTGATTAGGGTGACCACCTTCCTGCTAGCGAAATGCAGGACATGCTGACTAGGGGGCAGTAAGAGAAGGACAGCATTATGCTGACTGCAACAACAGAAAAACAAACTATTAGAAGAAATTTATCAACATGCACACCAGCCTAACACATTTAGTATCTTGTGCTATACAAAAACATATAGACCTGCAAATTGTGTTGCAGCAGTTAAAATAATTTCCAATCCCAGTGTTATATTTCTTTTTAAATTTTAATGTTACATATTGTTTTAGAAGTGCTTAAGTTGAAAACATAAAAACCGACTGCAGCAGACCCTAATGCATCAAAAGAAAAGAAACAGTAAATCTTTTTCGGCTTATTGTTTCCTGTCAATGCTTACTTTTTCTAACATGCTCCTACACAAATTTAGAACATTGTGTTGTTTTTTCCGACCATTGTAATCTGCAGGTTTTTTTGGTTCGTGTGGCCGTCTTCACTAAGAAAAGATTTTCATACAGCAACCCTTTCGCTCTGACACAGCATGATTTGTAAATAATTACAATAATATATTTTTCAACTTTTGGCAAGCAATTTTTGCTCGCAACATTTTTCCACCAAGTGGAAAGGCACAACTGCGCATGCACGTCGGTTCTCCTGCAGGAATCACAGTCGTTTCCTGCAATGCGTGGATAAAAAAATGGTGTATACCATCGCGATTCACATGATTACCGGCGATCTCCACGCTTCCTCGAGTTGCGTAAAAAATTTCATGGCAGTGTGAAATGCGGGACATTTTGTGAATTTTGTGTTTCTTGCTGGACTCGGGAAACGGGCTTTCAGCACCCTCAGTGCGGGACAGTCCTGCAAGCCGCAGGACGGGTAGTCACCCTAAGTGTGGTCAACTTTGTTGCAACCAGTCGTTACCGCTTACAACAAAAGAGCATTCTGGCATGAACACATCTGACCTGCATATCTATTTTAGGCATAATTCTTTTTACCATAGTGCTTAAAATAATTCTGACAATGTTAGAAGCAAATATTTCTCATGAGTAGGGCATAGATTCAATCTCGCAAATTCTGCAGAAGCTTCAGTCTAGTAGTTGTCATACGCATATTTTGAAGTGTTTTGGGTTATCTGATAGATGGCACCAGTGTACTCCTTCAGTGCAAGCAGTTGTGGTGCAGTCGATCGCACTTAAACATAAATGTCTGAACCAGTCTTAACTGTTTGGGTATGCATATATTATCCAGAAAAACCACACAGGACCTTTATGCGTGAGGTTCGATAAAATATTTGCTTGTGCTGCAAGGTTTTTATAATTTTACTTTATTTTTTTCATTTTGTCTCCTAAAGTACACCGAGGAACGCCTGGGTACATCGGACAAGACTGAGCTGGATGCCCACTTTGAGACGTTGGCACAACGTTCGGACCGAACCAAATTTTGGACTGAAAGGCTGGTTGGCAAGACCGAGGCAGTCCTTCAACCCAATCCAAGTGAGGCAGGATCTGAGCTCAATCACTGTAGACTTGTTTTCTTTGAACAGACCCGGTTCATGTTCTTTGGAGCTTGGGCTATAAAATATCCATAGGCTAGTGATCAAAAATTAGTTATTTTCTGCGCGACTAAGATACACTGCGACACTGTCAACTTTGGTGCTTTTTGCATTTTACTTGGAAAGGGTGTTGGTGTAGCATAAAAGTCTACCGCTTAAATTGGTGTCCCAATTGACCCTCTTAGACCGCACTATAGTAGCTTTGATGACAAACCTATGAAAAGGAGCAAAAGAGAAGAGACCAGTGTCTTTTGTTTGTGCTAACAGTGTCATGCCGTGTGCAGTGTATTTGACTGTTAAATATGAGATGTATGGGCACGCCCAATGTACACATTATGCGTGGTTGATAAGGCAATGCACGTGACTGCGATATAATTTCTAGTCAGGGTGGAAAAATGATATTGAATTCCTCTGTTGGATATTGATATCCAACAGAGGAAAAAACAAAAAGACGAGGTCATGTAACTTGCATCGGGGAATGGTGACTGTCTTGGGAATAACCCTTTTGTTTGCTGCAGCATCATCGCTTTTATCGTTAGGCAGTGGTGATGTCAGTTTTGGCCACCACTCAACTGTTACATTGAGAGTTCAGAGTGCTCGCAATGACTAGATCCAGCTTTCTTTTATTTATTGAAGTGGTAAGAAAGTAGTTTCATGTAACTATAAGGTGTTTTGAATCCTGGTGCTCACTCAAAAATTGGTGCCTGCACGTAGCAATCTAAAATTTTCATCATGAGTCTATTTTAGCCGTAAATTTTACCTATTGAAATTTTAAGCCATAGCTCCGTTTCTGTGAAAATGTGTACAGCACCCTTTACGTGTTCAACAGCAGATGCCCAATGCAAACGACCGAGTAAAGTACGGGTTGTGTTTGTGGCTCCATCTCCCAATAGGCTTAGGAAGCATATGATGGTCCTGCATGCTTTTGTCCAAGTGTCACTGTCTGCTTGTTGTGCCTATCAAGAGGTGGAGCCATAAGTGCAACCTCTGCATCTGTCATTGACCGTGTCAGGGTGGTGTTCTTATTTTTGACTATGTCTTGAAATTTTTTGATGTAAAAACCCCCCAGTAAAATACGCCTTTGATAATAGGGAAATAACTCAGGCAAGCTTCATGGTGAACTAACTGCATAATAAACCCGATACTAGGAAAAAATTAGAAACTGGACGAGCACATAGATTTGTTTCTTGCATTGGTGGCACATACCTACATGGTGGCACATTTTACTGAACCTTTTGAAAGTAAATTTTTTGAGCACATACTAAAAAGAGCATGTTACAATACCTGGATTAACTACATACTGGAGGCATTCACATCAGTGTGAATGCCTTCAGTGTGCGACCCTTTGTGAACCCCTTGTTAAATCTGTGGCACTGATGCCCTACTTGATTGACATTAGGGAGGTTTTGTAGATTGTTCCTGTAACTCCGGTAGCGATACCCGAAACTCCGCCGATGCCTTTGCGCATGTATCGTATTGGCATCAAGCATCGTTATTGGAGGTATTGGAACAAACTACTAAAGCTTTCTTGTGTAAGATCAGCTTGAGGTTCATGTCTGGCACTTGTTTATATTCGATCCTACAAATAAAGTGTCTCAAAGGATAGCCATTCAGAGTGCGTCACCTTTTTGTTTACTTATTTACAAATACTGCAGGCCCCACGCAGGCCCAAGCAGGAGAGATAGCAGACATAATAAATACAATAATCATACTCACTACAAACCACAGGAACACAACACATACATATATAAGTCTGCCTAATACAATTTATCATACTACATAAACAACACTTTGTAACCGGGGTTATACAAATATGTACATAAACAACACTTTGTAACCGGGGTTATACAAATATGTACATAAACAACACTTTGTAACCGGGGTTATACAAATATGTACATAAACAACAAAGCAGTGCCTTAATGCAATTTGTATTGTCTATTGTTTGTTTGTTGGCTTGCTCTTGCTTGTCTTGTTTGCTCTTTTGTATTCAGTGCAAAGTGTTTAAACATGGAGTGGTGAATGCTCTCTGCCCACCTCCCAGAGGTCTATGATAAACCTTCAATCTCAACCCCACTTTGCACATCTCTTGTCTAGTCCTGAATTATCATTTCCTATCCTCAATGACATGGATTGACATTGCAGATGTACGTGTGGAGGACTATCTGTTTGAGAAGCTAGACAAGAAGCGTGACAGGCTAAACAATACTGAGCTGCTGGGACAAGACATGATTGACGCTGGAACCGACTTCGGCCCAGGCACTTCATACGGTACGTTGCCCCTCGGCGTTGTTTATGGCCTGGGAACGGGGACCCTTGGCATGTATGGATCAGCTGGATACAGGTGGTCCTGGATGTCGTAATTGTTTCGTCATTGATTGCATATTTTTGTGCTGTGCATCGAAGGCTAGTGACCTGTTGTAAAGAGATGCGAAAAGTAGAAAGCAGCAAAACGTAACACAACAAGTTAAAAAGCATATAATCTGTATATTCTTTTAATGGAAAGGTACATTGACCTCTATAATGCCAGAACTGAGGTACATACTTTTTAATTAAATGTATCGAAAGCCAACTTGTCCTCTGAGAGACTGATTCTTTTTTTTTTTTTTTTTTTTATGTATGTGAGGCGGTGAAAAATATTTTTTTTACTCAACTTGTCAAATGAGAAAATGTGATAGAACAATGTAAAAAAATCAGAAACAATTGTCTTCTCTTTTTACATTATATTGCTGTGGTTATTAAGATGAACAATGGCAGAAATCCAAAACAGCCATTTTCTCTTTTTACATTATGCTGCTTTGGTTATTCAGGCAATTTGTTCGACGGAATTCTTTTGTAATTTATGCTTCTTGGAACCTTAATAAATCAAGACAATTCACGGAGACATTTTAGTGCATAATCCTCATAAATAGGTCAATTTGAGTGGTCAAAAGTTCTAACACAATTTCTGTGTCCAGTTTCGGAATCGGATGACAAAACCTAAAGAAAAAAGACAGATAAATGAATACTGTAAATGACTTAATTTTCGCTAATTGGGCCGAAGCTGAAATTTTTTAATTATTCGTGGGCTAGAATTTTTACGTATCAGGGTGGTATGTTATGTATTTGCTACCGTAGGGAAACGTTTGCGGGGCCTATTTCTCGAAAATCACCTACGATTTGCAAAATTCGCAAAAATTAGGTTTTTGCGAAAATTAAGTTGTTTACAGTGTTCCAAAGCCCGTTGGCATTTCGAACTGTATTTAAATTGGTTTAGCCTGTACTTGTAACGGCTGTCAATATTGTAATTGCAACATGGTCTATGAAACTGAAAATTAAAAAAGTTAAGTAACAAATTTTAGTTAATATGCCAACTTACTGTGACGGTTATTCTCTCATGTAATATCTGCTGAGTGTACTAAATGTACGGTGAAAACGGCACCTGTGTAACTTGCCCCCTTTTCTTTTACAAAATTATGTTTGGATTTATATTGTACAGCCTGTATATACTGAATGACCATCCGCGTCAATTTTTTCTAGAGGCTAAGGAAATCCACTCTATATATATAAAAAAAATAAAAGTTATAATTGTTATTTTTGACTGATATGCATGCATTTTCAGGTTTTTAAATTTCCATATTATGCTCTAACAACATTGTAGTGCAGCATTAAGAAGCTGATTCATGCAATACCATTTATCTCTATGTATTCATCTATTTGTCTTGCTATGCTGACCTTCATGGTATGTAATCTTGCGCTTGACAGGGAGTGCACTGATCAAGGTTGGCCAGGCCCAGCACAAGCTTGGGCACGCAGAGAGGGAGTTTGGACGGCTCGTTCACACCAACTATGTCCAGCCACTTAGAAGGTTCCTCGAAGGCGACATGAAGACAATTTTGGTGAGCTTGGAGGCTGGCTGGGTGCTGTGATTGGATTGCACGAGGGTAGGGCTTCTTCATGTGGTGTTTGGGAAACTTAATCTTTCCTGAGAATTGGGGAACCTAGTTTCTGTGGGATTGCGGGGAGGTCAGGGTTTTTGTTCCCTGCCACCTCTTCTACAACCTCGAGACCTGGGCACTTGGGAAGTTAAACGGTTCATTGACTTAGCATAAAATACCAAGCATCCGCCCAATCCCTACTAAGCACCACCCACAAATTTCGCAACATTTATGCATGATTATGCACAGTACATACATATAGGTAAACTTGATGACCTAATTAGTGCCCATTACCCAATTTTCACAATTATCTTTGTATTTTGAGTGGACGCTTGCTCGGTATTTTACGGTAGCTGAAATCCACAGAAGACTGAGCCAAGTGTTTTAAAACTATTTTTATGTCGAAGAATCCCTGCCCATCTTGACAGCTTAGCTAAACAAATAAAACGTTTATAATTCTCTGTAATGCCGAACCGGAGCGCAGTTCTTGAGGAGGAGGAGGGGAGAGTATTCCCCTCCTCCCCTTCTGTACCCTTCCATCCTCCTCTCCAGCTCCCCTCCCATTTAGAGGAAAATTTTTGCTAAATTTCCTGCCAAGTTTAGCGGGGAAAATTTCTCGCTAAATTAAGCGGGGATATTTTCCCGCTAAATCGCCGTGCGACGTCAAACGTGGCGTCACATGTGATGTCATTATGAAAACGTCCCGCTAGCAAAAAATTTTCTGCCGAATTTAGCGAAAAATTTTCCCGCCAAATTTCATGGGAAAATTTTAGCCTCGTGACGTCGCACATCAATTTCACGTGGGACGTGACGTGACGTGACGTGAACATTCACATGTAACGTCATCATAGGAAACGTCCCGCTACATTTAGCGGAAAAATTTTCTCTCCAAATTTGTCGGGAAAATTTTACTCTCGTGACATCACGTGTGACGTCATTATGGGAAACTTCCTATAATGCCGACACCTACGCCTATGCCACTCAACCCGGAAACGGGCGCCTAAGAGCTGCTCTCTAAAAGAAGTTCAGAAGCTTGTGAGCTTTAATAACGATGGTTAGTAATATACCATACTTGTGGTATATGCTCCCATACTTTTGACCACATTTCCACAGAGAATTGTCCCCGAGTATAGAGAGAAATGTGAGGATGTTTACTTAAAGGGGAACTCCACCGATTTTGTGGTAGACTTCGATTTGGCTGGAAATTTGCAGACCGCGTCAATAACCCTTTCTCAAATGATAACCAAAATATTTTAAGAAAAGAAAAATTTTCCGTGAAGTTATTGAATTTTCAAGTTACGCCGGCCGCGAGGGTTCCAGGAGGCGACTCTCTACTGGCAACAATGAAAAATCCCTACTTTTCCCTACCCGCGTACGTCACGAATGTGCAGGCAGACGAGCGACTTGGGCAGCCGCAGCCCGCGAAGTGGCTTTCTGGACGCCAGCGATCGAGATAATTTTTTCCGCAGCTTCAACGTTGAAAGTTCCTTTGCAATGGGTAGCAATATGTGCTCCGCGATAGATTGTAGAAACATTGCTGGGAGAAAGCTTCTTTTTTTTACCCTTGTTTTCGTGGGAGGAAAAAAAATAAAGCGTTCCCCGGCAGCAATGGAGGCCAGCCGCGTCAAGGTGCTTTTGCGCGAGCTGTGTGCCGAGAAAACTAGTGTCACGTGAAACATTTTCACTTTTGCTCGGAATACTTTATAGCTGCGTGCTGCGAGTTGAGTTTCCTTCAGCAGCTGGAACAGCTTCAAGAGCGGCAAGCGCAAACTCAAGCCGGCTGTGACCATTACGACACCCGTCTAAAGAAGGGCGCTAATAATTATAATGCAATTAAATGCAAAGGTGCAAGCGAGCTGGACAAGAATGACGAAAATAGTCCCTGGAGAAGGGGAACAAGAGGAACAAAGGACAAACACAAATCTCCAAACACAGCTAGGTGACTGGTGAGCGACCGAAAAAATCCGCCTGGTTTGAGTATCGAACCCGGGACCTCTCCACTACAGGTGGAGCGCTCTACCAACTGAGCTAACCAGGGGTTAGACGTCAGTAGAGCAAACGGGTTTTATCAGACGCCACCAGTCTAACAACAACAAGGGTGAAGCTTACGATTTAAGGTTATAATTATATTGCATTTAAATGCAAAGGTGCAAGCAAGCTGGACAAGAATTTTTTTATTTGTTTTTTATTTTCGTCATTCTTGTCCAGCTCGCTTGCACCTTTGCATTTAATTGTATTATAATTATAACCTTAAATAGCAAGCTTCGCCCTTGTTGGTGTTAGACTGGTGGCGTCTGATAAAACCCGTTTGCTCTACTGACGTCTAACCCCTGGTTAGCTCAGTTGGTAGAGCGCTCCACCTGTAGAGTAGAGGTCCCGGGTTCGATACCCGGACCAGGCAGATTTTTTCGGTCGCTCACCAGTCACCTAGCTGTGTTTGGAGATTTGTGTTTGTCCGTTGTCCCTCTTGTTCCCCTTCTCCAGGGATTATTTTTGTCGGCGCTAATAATATTGAGAAATATAGTACACAATCTAGCACTATAGTAGACATTGTGCACAGTCACATTTGTTGTTCACAATTGGTTCAGTGATTTTTTTAAATTTTTTTATTTGTTTTTTTTTTATAAACACTATATTTGTTTCGGACGTCGAATCTAGCTCGGGCTACTCTCGGAGTTCCACTCGCGCGGCCGATATGTTGAAGACGAGAAGTGAATCGTCTAAACAAAGTTCAAGGCTGAATTTAGACATGACTTTCGACATATTGCTATTCCTATCTGCTATTACAGAGGTTTATGGAGCAGGTGTTGAGCTCCATTAAAATACGATAGAGCCTTGCCTGGTTTGTTAAATGGTTGGCATGCAATATTCTTTGCAGGAAAAGTTGTGTAAACGTCTTTAATTTATTCTATTGCGGGGAAATTTCATATAGGGCTGAAAATATGTTTTTTAGCCATGAAACTTTTAGTGTTGTTGAGGGGAGGCATTCAGATTTACAGCTGATAAAAACTGTGCTAAACCAACTTAATTTTAAAAAAAATCTTATATAGAATTACCCTTTTCCCAAGTGCTCTCGTGGATGGGTGTTTGAACGCGTTGCATTCTACTCAAAAAGTAAAAAGAAATAATACGGGTACATATTTTTAGCAAATTTTGTTAACTTATTTTTAATTAAAAGATTTATGATGTTTTTCTTTATCTTACGCACAAATATTCTTTATTTTGAGATGAACAGTGTATTTGTGTATTTTATACGCATTCCAAACCAGTCCCATGACCCGCATTCAACACTTCTACAATACCCTCAGGGGAGCAGATATTGATGTTTTTAACCCAAATTTCGTAGCTTTCAAGACTGTTGTAACTAACCTGTGAACATTTTGTTGTGCATCATTACCAAGGCGTCAAACTGTTCATGAGCACAGAAAATAAACAAATGAATGAATGAATGAATTCCATTGCACCTTGATGTTTGGCTTGGTGGTTGCGAAGTTCTTTTAATCGTCATTTTAACACAATCTTCATGACCAGTAACCTGCCATCTGATATACACGAAACGCAGTTCAGTCCATTCTATACATTTCATTGTTTACGAGAATCACGGTCTACATGTCTTAGGTCCCAGCCCAGCACGAACATGTTCATTGGTTTGGATGGCGAGCAATGTACGCGCCACCCGCACGAACGCTGAAAATGGCATCGACCAGAAGCGCTTTTCAGAAATGGTCTACAGATATTTTGCTACATTACTTAAGCATCAAGGAGCATATTCATGCCACATGAGTAGTTACACGTGCTGACGCCTGCAACAGCAACTTTTCAAAAGGAGATCTAAAACAAATGGCAGGTTCCTTCAGGTCATACGAGCGTGTGGGGCATCTGTACCCACGTTCCGAGCATTTTCCGCGGTGCTTCGGCGATTCGTCAGAAAATATATTGCGTGACTCTTCGACCTTTCTTTGCCAGCCATCTTCTGATAAAAGGAGAACGGGTTTACTGGCGATATTACGAAACTAGCGAGCCGTGCAGCTTGAGCGTAGCGAGTTGCAAAAACGTTTTTTCGAAAATTCCAATTGCTTCCGTTTTTCTTTTATATTTTTTACTTTCTTATAGTTGGGCATGTAGGCCAAGGCCATACTTTGTGCAAATATAGATAATTATCAGCTTCAAACAGCACGAACGGCCAGTTTATTTTGCTGTTAGACGCGAGAAAGGCGGGCGCGAGCGTACCCGATTGCCGGCCGCGCGCCTCGCTGCACACAAGTGACGTCACGCTTGGGCGGCGGGGAAAACTGGGGAAAAACTAGGGAGAACGATGTTTCGGTTTCGGCAGCAAACAAAATATCACTTTTTTAATTAACTAGAGTAAATCTGGGAGAACGACATAGCATTTCGGAATCAGGAAGCCATCCGCATTCAGATTATGCCTTTGGATTAGGTAGCTCAAAATGTCGGCGGAGTTCCCCTTTAAGGTCTTGTTTTAATGCATGACTTTGCTTTGGTTAAGTGGTGCTGAAACTTAAAAAACTTTGTAATTGTGTTAGTAGAGACGATGGAAAGAAATTCGGTGCTTCAGAAGCTTCTGGGTTTGTAGAAACACAGTTTGAAACTTTGTGTACTGGGCTACTTCTCACATTGATGCAGCGTTTTGAGCCATACAATTCCACCACAATGACTGACCTCTAGTGTTCTCTCAATCAGTACAGACAATAAACACTAATTTTTGAAGTTTTATGTTGGCAGCAGGTTGCGTGTTTCGTGGCCGGTCTTTCAAGATGACTGAAGTTCCAAGTGTTTATAAAAATGAAAACCCCTGCTCTCAATCTTTGTCTGGCTTCTGGTTCATGATGCGGTTTTGCTCTTGGTGCAAGTCAGCTTCAATTTCCCATGAGCTGACTGCTGCTTCTAGTATAGATTTTTACCCTTTCAGTCATTGTGACTGGGACCAATAAAAAGAATTCAAAGTGAAGATTGTTTTAGAAACAGATGTCAGTGATAACTCAAACTAACTGTGATGTGATTGCTGTGCCATTTGCATCAAACTATGCCAAAGTGCTTACTCCACTACATTTTTCCGAAACGTGAGAAATTTGTGCCAACATTGCACCGAAAGTTACTTCAGTTTTGTATTGAAATTACCTTAGGCTCATCTTAGACCCCACCACATTGACAGATTCTTACAGCAGGCTTGTGCAAAGTTTTAAAACTTTCTAATATTTTTTTAGAATAACATCTTCGATTTCACATGTGTATGAAATACTGACGGTACTCGGAAGATTCGCAATACTTAGGTATCATTGTTTGTGGTTTATTTGGGCGGGTTAATTGGCTTCGTTTAGGGCATTTTTCAGAGCGCACTTGTACACTGCAGTGAAGTGGCACATGCGGAGTAGACATTGCATTTCTGCATGTCTTCTTTTGCCGGAGCACTCCTGTGTGCAGAGAAAATAACACTCCAAAGCGGGGTGATGCTCATGCCCGTGTCAAGTATTTAAAAAAAAAAAAAAGTTTGTGTATCCTGATGGGACAACTTTACTTTCCAGGCAAAATTTTCAAAATAAAAGCGCAGCTATGTATGGTAGTGTGTGACATCCTTACATGCCGTGTGCATCACTAGTCTTTTTTTTTTTTTTTTCAAATTAAGGAAGGAGCCTTTCTTTAAACCTTGAACAAAGCATCATTTCTTTACTCAGAATCGTTCTATTCTACCTATTTTATATACTTTTGATATCACACCGCAATTACCTTAAGCAATCTCAGAAGTGGAAAGGTGAATGGTCATTTTTTTATATTTGTATTTTATATACTTTTGATATCACACCTAAACAGTGTTGGGTAAAGTACATCTAAAAGGTACTTCAAGTAAAGTACAAAGTAAATTAGACGTGATGTACTTTAGGTAGAGTATCAAGTACACTGGGTGCAATGTACTTTAAGTAAAGTACTATAAATACAATGTACTTTCAAAATAAAGTAGAAATATTTTAACGCAATCATTTATGATGCCCTTTCATACCCCTATAAAGTGATTTTTTAACTGGTACGTATTGCCCAGGGGTAATCGGGGTGCATAACCTATTTTCAGAAACAGTGGCGAATATTTGATAAAGTCAAGGAGCCACAGAGTAGTTATTTTCAGCAATAGAGCCATATTCAGAAGTCCCTCTTCTGAATCTGGTGCCCCTTGCACTGGATTGTTGCACCTAAGGGGGTTAAATGTACTAGGAGAGAGCATGACATCAGCCCCGTAGCTTCCGCAAGCAATCCTCTCATAGAGGAGTGTCCTCTCCTTAATAAAAAAAAAAACAGTCAGTGTGCAAGCTAGCCCGTGATAATTAATCGTAATGCGACACCTGAAAAAATTAAGGAACTTTCAAATAGAAGGAAATGACAAAAGAGAATGTCTCAAAACATTATGACGTTCTCCTCTGTTGTCTTTTATTAAGATGGCAGTTTGGGCCAGCTGATTCATGATCGAAGATAGGAGCCGAAAAAAACAAGTACAAGAAGTAACGTAAACACTGGCGCCAGTGTTTACGTCTCTTCTTGTCCTCGTTTTTTTCGGCGCTTATTTCAATGTTGTCTTTTACTTCGACTTGAAAATTTTATTTTTCCGCACCACAGTCTCAGGTGCTACATTACGATTAATTTTGCTCTCCTAATCTATTAAACCTCCTCGCTTGCGCTGACCGACCGAGAAGTAGCGAGAGTCCAAAAAGCTACGGGAAAGCCACCCCCAGAACAAACGGAGCGATGCGTCATCTGCTCACGTTTCTGATGAGAGTAGAATATCCCTCCCAGTATTTCTTTGGAAATGACAAAGCATCATTTCGTGATACAAATTTAACAGAACCTAATTTGTGGAATGTACTTTGAAGTTGGGAATTGTACTTTCCTAGAAAAGTACCAGAAAAAATACTTTAAGTAAAGTACAAGTACATATTCAGAGAATGTACTTCAAGTAAAGTTTAAGTTTACTAAACCTCCTTGAAGTAGTACTTTAAGTACAATGTGCTTAAAGTACTTCCCAACACTGCTCCTAAAATAAGCATTCTCAGAAGTGGGAAGGTAAATGGGCTTTTTTTTTCCATTCCACTTCCTGGAAGTGTAACATATTGTTGCCATTCTTTCGTAGGGCATTGTTGAGATTTACGATTTTGTCATTATTTTTTCTGTATACTTTATATTCAAAAGAGCAGTGATTAGCTCTTACCTTAGACACCATACAGGTGGCTGGCAATATAGGAAAATAAATAAATACAAAATACTCATTAATCTTCCCATAGTATTATGGTGGAATGCAGAAGAATTAAATATATGCTTGTGCTCCAAAAGTTCTTTTTCCTGCTTCAAAATTTATTTTTACCAGGTCTGAAAGGGGCTTCAAAATTACACGAGCCAATCACATCGCTGAACTAACAAGAATATGGATAAGTGACTGATCACTAAAAGTGTCTCATTAAAGTACCATACATACACTGTGCAGAGGGAACACCAGATCGCAATTCCTTCTCTTGTCCGTAAAATAAGAACTGTACCTTTTCTACTTAGACATGAGGAAGATACATAGACACGTGACAACGAAGACGTTGTCACGTGTCACGTGTCTCGTTGTCACGTGATACGTGACAACAAAGAAGAAGTCTTCGTTGTCCGTCCCCCCTTTCTATGTATCTTCTTCATGTCTAATTACCGTTACCAACACGCTCGTTTTGTATTTAACCTTTTCTACACTTATTGATATTTTCCAATGATTATTAATAGAAAGTGACCAAAATAATATTTAGCACTTGCTAGTTTGAATATCTCTATGTGCCAAAGGTTGGAAGCCATATAAATTTTTGCAGCAAGCAGGTTACTTGAAATTTGTTCTTTTTGTTGTGCATTTTAGAAAGAGCGTCGGCTGTTGGAACACAAGAGACTGGACCTGGACGCTGCCAAAAACAGGCTACGAAAGGCAAAATCTGTTGATCCTCAAGTGAGAATTTCTACTGTTGCTTAGAGGTGCACTGCAGAGAATTTGTGTTTTGTTATAAATAACTACATGTTTGCAAATGCAATATGCTGAGATTTCCCAGCTTTACTTAATAACAAGGCACACAGAGAGATTAGCTGACAAAACTTTTGCCAACCGCAAGATAAATTAAAAAAAAAAAGAAAAAAAAAAAGAAGGGGGGACATTTCGTTACATATTGGGGTGGGCATCTCCAGTGGGAATGCTTATAGTGAGATTTTTGTTTGCATCTCTCCAGTGCACCTTTAAAGCAGTAAAATGCTTTGGAAAGAAATGGACATTGTGTATATCGCTTGTGTTTTCTGTTTTTCCTGCTGCTTACTGGCCTCTAAACTCTCTCCTGAGATTATTGAGAAGGAAATACAACAGGTGATGGTTTTCCACCTTTCTCTTGCTCTCGTGTGTCTTTTGCTCTTGTGTGTCTTGTGCTTCTGGTTGCTCTTTGTGGTTTCTCTGAGGGCAATTGTATAACTTTTCCTTAGACATTTTTCAGGGTGATTCTCCTTAGAAATCCATTCCTCTCATCCTTTTTCATCTTTGAATGTACTAGGCCTTACAAGATAAAAACAAAAAGCTGAAGAGCTTTCAACAAAAATGTATTAATTTTTATGACCTCTCACTCCATTGGGTATTATTGTATAATAGTACATTCAGCTCGAAATAAAAAAAAATGTACAGGATGTTGCAGTGTGTTGAGCATTAGGATTACCAATGTGCATGATCAGGAGCAGGGTAAAAGGACAATTTGTTGTGTCGTTCATGGTGCCAGGTCTGTTTCTAAGCTATCAATAAAACAGTGTTATGTTGCAGATAGTTTCATGAATAAATGCTTAGGGGACAGAATGCTTAAAAATGCTCCTCACAAGGTAAGACCAACCACTGAAATAAACCTTCAAGGAAAATGTCTACTTGCTCACTGAAGCTGCAACTTTACGACGGTTGAAATGTTTTTGTCTCGTCATATTGTTCCTATATTCTAAAATTATTTGCTTTGGCTATTAACTATCCGTGCTGATGTGCAGTATGAAATAGACTGATGTCACCAAGCGAACTGTGCAGGCGCGCGCCTTCCGGAAGTGGTGCCGGCCGCCATGCTACTTGTAGTCATCCCTTTCCATTTTTCCGGCTACATAAGGCTGCGCGTACATCATCATAGATTATTGTTTGGGACGCCTCGGTATCAGCTTGATTTTCCTGCATGTCTGTACTTCATAAGACTGCGTTGTTTATGATGCCTTAGTTTGTCAGCAAGCGCAGAAAAGCAGTTCCAGTCGTCTTATCGCTTTAAAATCGCTATGTCGTCTGCTTCTTCGTCTTCGTGAATTCGTGAGCCCACTGCCGTTCACGCGGCGGTCCCACTGCGGCCGCGGGAGAAAACGACGACGCCACTACTTGAGCATTCCGGCTGCTCGGACGTCTCAATTAACTTGGAAACAACCGAACACCTAGTGCAATGGCCAAGAAAATTCGAGAAACCATTGGCCTGGTGTAGCACCGCAGAACAGCATCAACTGTGTTGGTGAAAAACTGAGCTTGGTAGTTCTCAGTCTTGTGCATAACGTTTAATCAACAATGAAGTAAGAGCAGCTAAATGGACTTTCTCGGTGAGCGATAGTTTTCTAAAATTGTTTTATTCTGGTTGACAGCCTCTGCGACAACGTATACAGATGAACTGCGGGAGAAGCGTGTACGCAAAGAAGAAATGATCTACAGAAAGGCCTTGCCTGACGCGCCGTAACTATTGCCATCTGTCAAAAAGGAGCAACCATGCCAGATACCTGAAAGCTTGGGGTGATGATTTTTCATGTACAGTTTCTATTCAGTTTTATTTTTTTTTCGCAAGCTCCGAACGCTAACAGTCGCCCGACGGGGGGAGCTTTTTTTTGCGCAGTAACGTCAGCCTAATAGACCATCACAAAATGGATGAGGTTTGTTTGTTACATTTTTATCGGTAAGGGTTGCACTTCTGAATTGCATTAAGATGTGTTTCCACGTTTGTATGAGAAAAAATGAAGTGTATTATTTCAAGTGATACATATTCAGGAATCGCTGCTCTTTTTTTAGTTATTGTCCTGATCTTTTGAAGCACAGTTGTGATTGAAACATGGCGTCGCAGTAACAGTTATAACCACCAAAATGCATAGAGCAAAAAGTGTATTAAAAACTGCCTCTGCAAAGCATTGCGGAGGTCCTTTTTGAGATAGACCAACAGATAGGCCGCTATGGAGTGAATGCTCGGAGAGATTCCAGCGTACGGAATACTTCGGCACGCTCTATGTCTCGTGCCCTGTAACCTTACACATCTTAGCTGACGTGCAAAAGGGTGGATATAAATTATGAAGCAAATCGCAAAACAAATCGTAAAAGGCTATTTTTCCTGCCGCTCTGTCCGGCTCTGTTTACCTTTCTTTGCCATGCTTCTTTCTTTCGGGAAGATATATCTGAGGCCTTTTCGCCTTATGCTGTTACTATAGCTCTGTGGTATACAACAAATGAAACCACCTATCGAAAACCACGAGTAAACACCCGGCTAAAAGTCTCATGCTAACCCGAAAATTTTCAAACGCCGGGCGTACAATGCGCATTGATGTGGCCGGAAAACTGGGGAGAACTACAGGTACCAGAATGCACCGCGGCAGCGGTGGCATTGTGCAACTCTTGGTGAGATCGGTCTATTGATTTGGGCCCAAAAAAGCTTTATATATGCTTTAATTAGTTCCTTCATTCTACATTTTTCTGTTACCTTTCAGGCTGAGAAAGATATGCGCACCTCTCAGTCCGACTTTGACAGACAGGCTGAGATCACTAGGCTGCTTCTGGAAGGCATCTCAAGCACTCATGTGAGTTTCATGTAGGAGTAGTCTCGACATTGTTTTTCTCAAGTTGCTTAGTTGTTTGTCATGGGGTGTTGTGTGTCTCATATGTCAGACACTTGGTGAACCAAAATTCTTCTTTACTGAGTGGTTAAAATGGAGAAACAGACAAGCTTTGTGCTGTTCACTCGGACTTTGTTGTAAAAATATAATTTGGTGCTCAAATGCAGCGGATGGAAGTATTAAAGAGGCCATGAAACAAATTTTGGGTTGGGATGAATGATTTTAAATTGGGACTTTACTAATCGCATATCGTTTAGTTGGCCAAAAGAAAGAGGCTAGAAAGTCAGAAGCCAGCTTTTCGGTACAAACATTTGAAAATATAGCAGACTATTTTGTACCTTCTTGCCTTCGAAAGCTCTCTGCCTTTTCACTACGATACATCCGCGGTTCCAAAATCGCGTCACCGGCGCCAAACTGACGTCAGCAGAGCCCAGCTCATGCATTTGACACGAGAACTGCGTCACTCGGACGCATGCGCTCGTCAACAATCAATCCGTCGACAAATATTTGGATTCGCGTTCATGGCCAATGAGTGCCCTGACGGAACTTATTGTCACTGGGGAATGACAAGTTCTATGGTGTGCATAAAAAGCACGGTGGAAGCTAGGAGTCATCGCACCAGTGCCGAAGGAATGTCACGACCACGTGATTTCGCAATTCGCATTTGAGTTGAGGATTAAAGCTAAGGAGGAAGCAGTAGGAAAATCGTTTCATCACCCCTCTAAGGTGAACATGACTAAGTTAGATCTTATTTAGCCGAAAGGGACTATAAAGTGGTAACTGGCAACTGGATACTAAACTATCTTTTTTTCTTTCATGAGACCGCTGCATTTCAGACGTCATTGTGACTTCCCCGTGATACCTTTAGTGCTGCTAGTCGCTAATGGCTTTATAAATTGTTTTCTTTTTTTTTCCTTTTAAGGTACTATATTTAATGTGCACATCTCCTGTTACAGCTTTAGTGAGCCCAGCCAAATTAATTGTTAATTGCTAAGAAATTGCTTAGCTTTTGTTGGCTACTTTCATAGAGGTGCCTCTCTGAGTAGCACCGAGTTTCATGTGCATGTGTGTACAGTATTTATATACTGTAAACAACTTATTTTTTGCGGGCTGAATATTTCGCGATATAGGTCAAAGCTGAAATTTTGGAAAATTTCGCGGATTCTATTTTTCGCAACCCGGTGGGATCTCAGTATAGATTTCGATATCTCTAACATTTTACTGGAATTGTTCGCGGGACCTATTTCTTGTGAATTGTAGGCGATTCGCATAAATTGGGTCCTCGCAAAAATTAAGTCGTTTACAGTACACAAAAATGACACCGATACAATTATCTTGTAGAATATCACCTTATTTATTAATCACTGCCCCAATACGCATTAAAAAAACCTAAAATCTTTTTTGCCCGAAGAAACAAACTATCAACTTTTAGGTCTGGCAACAATGTACCTATGCCAAATCTTTAGAAAAGTTTATCACCAATTCGGCATTACCAAATCATAAGGTTCAGCGCTGAATTTTCAATCTGGCAAAAGTTTGGCACATCACTAGTTATAATAGTCAGTTTCTAGTTCAGATACGATTAAATGGGTACAACGATTGAAGTTCGGGTTTTCTCTTTATCGTTAAAAGTGGATTGCACTGTAGCAGTTAGTCGGAGAAAAACAAAGTTCAATATGAGTAAAATGCGTAATGCATCCTACTTTGCAACATAAAATTTTGTTCTGATACCTAGCTATATGGAGCATGTGATATGTGGAACATGTTATTCCCTTTCATAATTTTTTTCACAGATACCATTTAAACTTGAGTTAAACTTCATAGACAGAAGGGGTTCTCATGCTGCATTGGAACATTGGTAGCATGGTGAGGAAATATGTGGCATTTTTTTGTAACAAACACAGATTTTTCTAGAAAAAGCCGTAAAAGCTACACAAATGTGATCTGTGCAAGTGAGTTATACGGCTAGACGGACATTACGTTCATGAGAGAATGCAACGGCACATGTTTATATTGAAGAAATGGAGGCAATCAATGTTGAAGGCCAGTCCAGTTTTTTTTAAATCCTGGATCGATCACACGGTTGCAATCATTGTCATACTTGGTTCTGGAAATCTGTTGATACCGAAACCAAATGTGCAATGCCCGCCGGAAGCACGACCCTTGTTTGACGCCAGTGGGTCACATATTTTTCAGTGATACCGCGCAGCAAATCAAAACAACTTGTCTTGGCCGACAAGGTGACTTATTGCTTCATTCACCAGTCACGGAGCACCGACTGCAATCAGCTCCGGCGTGCTGTGATGCAAACAAAAAGCGACGCAAATTTCATTATTGACACATGACACTCAAGCATCAAATAAGGATTGTCCCTTCTGCGGGCATAGGTGTAGACTACGGGGGGGCATCGGGGCTCGTGCCCCCCCCTGGTGAGATCCATGGGGGGGCAGAGCCCCCCTCCCCCGCCCTGGGCCATGATCTTTACCGAGACGCTGTTTACGTGCCATGTGACGAGCTTCTACTAGTGGCATGTAAACAAAATAATGCACACAGCGACGGACACATGGCGATATACATACGCTGTAAAATGTACCCCCTAAAATAAACTACTGATAATTGCCGGTGTAAAAAAAATTGCGTAGAAAAGCACCCCCCCCCAATAACTTCTCAGCCTGCCCCCCCCCCCCCCCCCCCGGGAAAATGGAAAGTCTGCGCCGCTGCCTGCGGGCATCGCATGCTTGGTTTCGGTATCAACAGATTTCCAGAACAAAATTTGACAATGAATAAGTCTAATTACATGATCGATCCAAGATTTTTAAAAACTGTGCTGGTCTTCAATGTTGAATGCCTCTATTTCTTCAATATAAACATATAGCCTTAAAACTTTTAATGAAAAAGTAATTTGTAAATTTTTGTTAATTAGTTCTCTTTTAGTTGCATTCTCTCTTGAACATAGTGTCCACCCGTTCGTATAACTCACCTGCACAAACTGCAATTTGTGTAGCTTTTGTAATTTTTTTTTTATTATTTGTATTTAATAAATAAAATACCTGTAGATGATGTGATGATAATTTTAAAATATTGGCCTGTTCCCAAATCAGTAACATTGAAAGTATGTGGCAAAAAGTCGGAGGACGCTTACGCTTAGCCTTTAAGGGTGGAACGTGTTATTGAATCCTCGGCCTGCTTGTGGTGCATCGCCTCTGCACGCCTAGCCTTCGTCTCCGCCTTCACTGCTTCAGCCTTGCGTTGCTGACCCCATCGCCGAGCAGGAGCAGACGTAGATGCAGCATCCGCACTTGTAGAAGACAATGACTCTGAAGAGCATCCTGCATGGGTAGACCGCACCGCATTCATCGCAAACATGTTCTCTCCCCGGTGGCCTAGAGCTGGCCCCGCGGCCACCTCTAGCCCATAGATTGAGTTATGACCGTAGATACACTATTGCAGAAAGTGGTTTAGTGTCCCTTTAAATGGCAGTTGCAATTTAAAGTTATATTGTTTATGCTGATTTGGTTGTGCTCTTTTTCCACATGCACACATGCATTTTGCAGGTAAACCATCTACGCTGCCTGAGTGACTTTGTAGAAGCCCAGATGTCATATTATGCTCAGTGCCAACAGTACATGGCAGATCTGCAGAAGGAGCTGGCAAGGTGTGTGCTGCTTTCGGTATTCACTCAGTGTTACTTCTAATGAAAAAACAAAATCTGAATTCATTTTATTGTGAAACCAAGCTGGGCACCATGTTGTACTGGATTAAAGATTCCCTGTCTTTCATTCAGCCCTTTCTTTCTTCTGATTTCTGAAAGATTCTAACATTAAACAATTCTAACAAAATATTACATACAATTATAAAATAATTGCAGTCTGTTCCCTCGGTTGTTGAGCAGGTTTGAAGTTCATGGGAGAGCAACACTGATTTAACGAAATTACATTGGCTCCAAGATTTTGGCAAGACCCTCTATGACATCAGAATCAACACCACATTCTCTGAGCTTCGAACCACCTCCAACACATTAGGTGATGATTGTTTCCAGGGGCATTATCTCTAAAAAAAAAAAAGAGATAAAGTACTGGCCTCTTGGGTGCTGTGCTTTTTATTTTTATTTTGTTTTTATCTGTGGGTGCTGTGCTTTTTATTTTTATTTTGTTTTTATCTGTGGGTGTTGTGCTTTTTATTTTTATTTTGTGCTGCGTTTGTCAGAATTAGCCTATTATGACTTCAAGAGCACTGTTGTCACATTTTTCACTAGCTTTTTCATACGCGATTTTAGATGATTGGGCTGGCTAAACTGGGCTATTTAAGTTGTTTATAACCGCTGGGCAAACAGATTTCCCAATCGTGCTTCTTTCTTTGTATATTTGATCTGTAAGGATAATGAACATGCTTCTTTTTTGTTCTTTTTGGAACAGTGGAAGACAATGATAACCAGGCTCGCAAGATCTATAAAGTATGTTTGGTGACCGTAGGCTTGTGCAACTAGAACACAGCTCTGAGCCGCGTTCCCATGCCTGCGTCGACAGAACCGACATTTAGACTTTCTTTCTGCAATTTTACCGCACCCATCCACATCTGCACAAAACGAGCCACAGAATGCACAACCTATAGCTCAATCTTGCCAAGAAGAAACATTCTGCTCGTAGTAGTAATCCCACGGGTCTTGAACCCTGTCTTCCCTAAGGTTTGCTGTGCTTTTCAAGTGCCTTTCCTTACCAGTCGTCTGTGGCCTCTCTCCCTGCGTGCAGCATGTCGATAGCTGTGGGCACGGGCGGCAGTGGAGGCAGCGGCGTGTTTCAAGGGGTCTTCTCGTCCCCGACCGCAAGCGCGGGCAGCCCTTCCAACGACATCGACCCTCTTGCCAACAGCAACCAGAAGAGAGCGCGCGTCCTCTATGACTACGATGCCCACGACAACTCTGAGCTATCCCTCATGGCTGACGAGGTGGCTGATCTGCTCGCTCGCTAAACACAATGACATTATACCAGGTTTGATCGAGAAAATATAGCACATTTTTTCGGCTCGCATAAATAAACTCAGCATTGCAGGAAGCTGAGACTTTGTGGGAATGGGACGCTGGCAGTGGAGATAAAGTGTGAAATTTTGAGCATGTGACGTTAACAAAATCAAGACACACAAAAAAGAGAACAAAAAATTTGTGCCCACATTGCGCATCCGCCCATTCCACATTAACCGCCCACTCCCAAATTCGTAAGATCTGAGAAGATATGCACAGCACATTGATATGTAAAATTCATGACCCAACAAGCGCCCATCCCCCATTTTTTCGAGATTATCTCTAAATTTTGAGTGGGCGCTTGCCCGGTATTTTACGGTAAGCCTAATCAATATTCATCAAACAGAAGCTTAAAATTCTGGGCGTCTGCAGCATTTATTTCAGCAAAGAAACTTGCGAGTACTTTCTTACTGACAAGTTTCTTGGCTGAAACATATGCTACAGATGCCCACTATCTCGAATTTTAGTTTGACAAATATTAGGCTTAGATGGACATGGGCTCAAAGAGAAATCTTGTATTTTCTTTAATATCTTGATTCAATTAATGTCATGTCCTCAAAATTTTGCTTTTGATCACCACTGCTAGCATCACATTCTAAGTTTCAGCTTGCTAAGATGCTTAGGTAAATTATGCGAGCCAAAAAACTTTCATTTTTTCGATCGAACCTGGTACGTTCAACTTGTACGAATGACTGCACTGGAAACAGTATTTCACTAAGCACTACTTTATGCTGACAGTTGTTATATGTGAGGTTTTGCAGTAGAGCCCCGGGTGTGTTTCATATAGGTTGGTGATGGTATGTGACACCAAGGTGTCGCACAACGTCGTGCTGTCGCATCATGTCACCATGTCGCCAGGTGTCGCACGAAGTCACGTCATGTGACCTTAAGGTGTTGCATGACGTCACAATGTTGCGCGACCTCAAGGTGTTTCATGACATCGCGTCACACCGTGACGTCACAGTGTCACATGACAATGTGCTGCTCAACGAGGAAAATTTCCGCCTGCTGAATTTAGCGGGGAAATTTCTCCACTCAATTTAACAGGAAAACGCCCTTGTGCATTGTGACTGTGCGTAGTCTGCATGCAGTCGCCTCGGTGGTTCGGAGGCAAAGCGCCGGCCTATGGATCCCCAGGTGGCGGGTTAGAATCCCGGCCGAGGTGCCCGTAATCTGACGGCGGCTTATCGTGGAAAAGACACTGTGTAACCGAGCTTTCAGTTGCACGTCAAAAAAGATCCCCAGGTGTTCCAAATTAATCCTCAGCCCTCTGCTGGGACGTGCCAGATGCTTTTCATTGGTTTGGCACGTAAAACCCTCAAATTTGATCAGTCTGCATGCAGCAGTGTGCAGTGCCTCGGCTGTCGCTGCAATTCGCTTGTGGGACACGGAAAGCATCTGGGAATTTTTCAGATTAGAGATTTCTGGAAAGGGAACACTTAGGAGCCAGCTTATGTTGTGATCATGTCGATTGCTTACTCTCGTTCAAGTTGTAAAATTAAATTGAAATGTGAGCAATTGTTTTCTATATACATAGTTTTTTTCAGCTGTGGCTACGTGTTTCGAAGCCTTTCTGTTTTTCTTTTGTTGTTTTTTTAACCTTAAAAACCAACGAGCAAACACCAGTTTAATGTTTGATGTTTCTGTTAAGTTTTTTTTATTTTTTAGGTTTATGGTGGGATAATATTTAATTTGTCAAGCGTCGGATGAACGAGACAGGAGAGAACTGATATTTGTTGTTTGCTGAATGTCTATAAAGGCTACATTTAAAATTTAGGTGCACATTTAGAATCATAAGTAGTGTTTATATCTACAGCCAAGTACTTAAAAATTCTGAGTGGTTTTTACAAGCTGGATTTTATGTTATTGAAAAAAGCTTACTAAGTGCTGAATTTTGAAGTATATTCTTTTTAGACAAAAAGAACTATCATTTTCTTGGATCATTATATTCACTGTTAACTAGCCGACACTGCAACTCCAAAAATATTGTCCCTTAAAAATGGTTTATGGGATTCCAGTGTGCCTGAGCAGTACTTGTAAAAAGCACCTTTTTTGTTGACATTATTTTCTTTTGTAACTGCTTCTTTCCATTCCTTTGCTTTCCACAGTAGTAATATGATCTGAAGTTATTTGTCAGATGTTATCTGCATAGCCTAGCCCGTTTATACCTTATCTTGCTCTCCATCGTTTCAGGTCATCATCATTTCACAGACAGACAGTCTGGATCCCGACTGGATGATTGGGGAGAGGGGTTTGCAGAAAGGAAAAGTCCCAATCGCATACCTGGAGATTCTCAACTGAGTACATAAAGCTCGCTGTTCCAGAAACATTTTTGGGTGTATACTTGACTAGGCAGCAGTTGATTAACGCAGTGTCTTATAGCATCAGAAACTGTACCGTTTTAGCTTTTTGGGACGTCAAGGCTTCTATGCAAAGGAATGTCAGCAGCTGTTTATCCTATTGCCTGGCACTAGGTAGGTTATGCTTGAAGGTGTATTCATAAATTATAGTGATCTAGGCTGTGCCAATCAATAAACTTAAATTAAAAAAAAAAAAAACAAAAAAAAAAACAGGTTGAATCGGAAAAAAAAAAAAAGATACAATCATGATCACAAGTTTTAAACCGTGATAATGTATGTACTAATACTGTGCTAAATATCCATGGTGCTTTGCTTCCCCCTCCCCCACCCCCTGGTAGTACATAGTGTTTGTGATTTGTGTGTTCATATCTGTATACTACATACAATCTGCTTGTTTTTAATTCAAACAGATTTTGTTAAGGGAAGTGACCATGACGGGAATGCTGTCTCCACCGTATGCTTATCAAGCTCGGCGGGCATGAATTGGAACGATATCTGTCCTGATCAATGGACCAATCAACTAAACTCTGTTGATTAACTTTTTAATGACTAGTGCTATTATTGGTCATGTTGCAGTTGTAGTTTTGAAGGCAATCACCATTGGAAGTATGAAACCTTTTGTAAGGAGGCGTCAGGCTTCAAGATATTCGTCTATCAGTTTTCAAATCTTTCATGACAGATTTCAAAACTGGCCACAGAAAGAGCACCGGAGGTCCTGCCCACAACGATTCGTAGGAGGGTGATATAGTCGCTTCAGGCACGTTGTTGTCATCCGGGCAGCGCGTCCTTGGTAGATGAGCCGAGGTAACGACAATGTACCCAAAGTGAGTACGTAATAATTCTACGCATCATCGTGAACAGAGCTTCTGGCACTTCTGTGCCTGTTTTGGAATCGGGCAACAAAAATGAGAAAACTGCTCGATGAATACCTTGTAGCCCATTACCATTTTGCAAGTTGTTTAAACTGATCTAGCCTCTTATCATTATGCCATTAGAATCGAAATTGAAGCGTGACCCATAGAGCCATTAATTAAAAGCTAATTAACAGAAAACCTGCGGCGGCCGTTATCCGCTATGATGTCCGCTGAACCCAATAAGCGCAGTGAAGATGGGATCCATGTGTCACCTGTTTCTTCTTAAGAAGTCTGTTTGAATTAAAAACAAACACCCTGTACACAGACACACATCAAAGGAAGCCTCCCATCTTTTCGAGGTCTCTTGGAGTACAGTCTAGTTCTAATAGAGCTTAAACCAACTGTCATGTCACTCATGACTTGCATCTAAATGCTCTTTACAAGTACTTAGTTTTTAGCAACTTATCACAGGCTCATGCATTGCCAACACTAACCAGCAGCAGGGCAGCTTATGAACTTCGAATTATCATCTGCCTATTGCATTGTTCACCCATTTTGTGTACTTACAACGATTTGCTTCAGGCAAACCATGTACTATATATTTCATTCTCCATATTGATATTGTTAGATAAGTTGGGGGATGCTATGGTAATGAATTGGGGATGGGAACTTATACAAATTTAGGTAGCGAAAACACAAAAAAATGTTGACTTTGAACAGTGTCAGTTTTGCAGTTCATGCACATTGCAGCAGCTGTACTTACCTATCTCTGCACTGCTGACAAGAGCATAAGATTCAGTATAAAATTGACCTAGTTAGTGAAAAAAATTACAAGATGCAGTTAGCAGGATGTCATTATTTATCAGGCCCACTCAAAACAGTTGATAGTGCTATCTTTAATCTCGGTCAAGAGTTGTTCATTCAGATAATTATTCATAGTTTACAAGAATAATGTGCCGCTTACTGTTTCCCAACTACAAGACATTTCTGTCATGGTATGTTGTGTAGGAAATTGGAAAGTTTTCCACATTCCAATGGCTGGTTCAGCAAAAGCCCAACCTAGCCAAACTCTTTCTGTTAAGCCCAGTGTATGGGCTCCAAAGCTTTTCATCTATTAAAGCTTTGCATGTACTGTCACAGGTATTAAAAACTATTTTTCTTGGCTTGGAAGCATTTGTTGAGGTTGTTGTATCACGTTAAGTGTTTTCTGATGGTCACTAGGAATCAACATCCTTAACATGGGGTTAGCGAACGGCGACATTTGAGCGAATCGACGTTTGGGCGGATAATGAGGGCGTGTGTTAAGCCACCCCCCCACGCTGCGCTTACACCGCTTCGCAGCGACAGTCTGCGGCGGCTCATTACAAAAATATGAACCCATTTGGCCTACCCGTAAATGCCGCTTCGCGGCAACTGACTATTAGCTAAAGTGTCATTCGGTGAAGCGAGAGCGTTCGTTAAAACGTCATTCGATCAAGCGAGTGCCTCCCGCTCACCATGTACTGCGCCATTTTGTTAGAACATCCGAGACAATGTGAAAATCCTGAAACAAAAAAAAAAAAAAAAAAAAGTTATAAGACAATGTTTTTCCTCCGCTACACTGCACACTGCTACCATTGGAAAGGCAACAAGGGATGACTGGATTGGTGTAGCTTTAGAAGATTTATTGCCAGTCCATGCTCAAAGAAGCCAAAAGCATTACTTACCTTTGTCATTATAATTCATACTGCTAAGTATGTTGCAAATTTTGGGTGATATTTTCAAACATTATTATTTAACTTTTTTTTTTTTTCAGACATGAAAGTGTTGGAGAGAGTAAGGACATGCATTGTCAATGGTACATTGCAGCAAATGGTTAATGATAGTGCCTTCATATACCATCATTATGGGAAGGTGCATGTGCCCCATTTTCTACAGCCTAATCCCCAACAGGCCCAGACTTCCTGTCCGACACAAAAAGTTGATATTGAAAAGCACCGAATCCATGAAAAAATATAAACCCAGAAAAAAAACAAAAATAACCTTGAAAACACTGAACTCTGGTTACAAGTGCCAAATTTGGGAAGTATGTTGCATTACTTTGTACATTTTGCAGTTTTGTGCGATTTGAGAATGCTTTTGAATGTTCCACTTCACAAATCTTTCCAAATATTTCACAATCCAAATCGGAGTGTTTTGGAATACAAGTTTTAGAACACTTTGCAACATCCTTCGCTGAAGCAGTGGGAGTGACAAGACAGGGCTCTACATGAACATGTTGGGATTGCAAGCATCGAGGTGCAACAACTTGCACCTCGATGCTTACGTCGGTTGCACTGCATATTCCTCTAAAATGTGAGAGAACCACCCCCTAGCTGGAAACGGCATTTCAGTGTTTGGTCTACTAAGGGGGACTTTGATATGCTCTGCCTTTGAAAAATTACTCAATGTAGAAGTTCTATTTAGCCAGTACAGCAAGATCGCAAACCCGGAGCTTGATGCACACCTCAGCAGCAATTACACAAATGCAAGCTGTCGCAAATCCATTCATATCTGAACTGGCATAAATGGGGGCCATGACAGACATATCTATTGAAAGATAGGTTTGCCGTCCCTTGTCCCTAGTTTTTCTTTCTGTGTCAGCTTACTAACATGCTCTACAGTTGATTTGGCTCTAGTAGCGTCATGCAAGTTTCCCTGAGGAGTCAGGGTAGCAGGGCGGTGCTTGGCAGTGGCGTCACCAGGGGGGGGGGGGGGGGGGGGGGGGGGGGAGGGAGGGAGGGACCTCTTTGGGTGCAGCGTTCAGGGGGGCACAGGTGAGCAGTGAGGGGGCGGGTCGTAGTGGGCCACGAGAAAGGGGAAGCCGTTGTTGTTGTTGAGAGAGATCACTGCGGACCCTAGTGACTGCACTGCTTGACTTGCAGGTTCTGGCTAAGCTTGGCATGGACAGTGCATCCAGGTTGGAGTGACCAGCACGATACAAACCTGCCCCAAAAGTGAAATCGAGGAATGCTTGAATCCTAAAAACAAACTCGGAAGTATGAGACAGGGTATCCTTACTCATTTATTTGGAATAATTTAAGAGGTACCACTTCTGTCGATATTACAATACCGTACTTAAATTTTACAGATGCATAGAAAAATTGCACAATCACCATACATTCAAAACCTAGGCCATTCTTCGCATATTTGACATCAATTAAAATAATACAAACGAGCTATATTATATTACAGGGGGAAAAAAAAAAAGCGCCGGAGAAACATAACCTTTGGTCTTGACAAGTATCAAAAGGATAGAAATTGCAATTCTAAAAAGTGACATAAATATACCGCTAGTATTACCGTTACTACTATCTTTACCCAGTGATAATAGACCAGAACAGTTATCTCTCTCCTCGGTGGACTCCCAAGGGCATCCACAGCACTCCCTCCACCCGACGGGGCAAGTTGCGGCAGACCCTCCTTGTGATGAGCTTGAGAACACGGGACAGGCAGTACCGCGGCTGCAGCAGTCTTTCAAAGGGACTAGAACGGTTAAAACCGAGGGGAGTGCAATCACACGCACGCAAGCTTCCGCGAGTATGTACAGACAGACACACACCCCGGCAGTTCATCGCTGCACCACGTTCACGAGGTCCCTGACAGTGTTGTGGAGGTCCGTGAACAGCTTGGCACTGGCGGCGCTGTTGTTGCTCGAGCAAGTCCTCAGCTGGTCGCCCTGGGCCTCCAGTCGCGAGAGCAGTTCCCGGAAGCGGAAGCGGCCATGGGGGGGCACGCTCTCAGCGTAACTGCCGCACGACGACCAGAACAGCTGCACCTTGTCGGAGAGCTGCATCACGCTGACGCTGCTCAGCGAGCCGGGGACCGCCACCTTCAGCGCCACGATGCCACTCTCCAGGGCGCTCGAAATCTCCAGGATGGAGGTCTTGCTATCTGCCGTCTTGTCCTCCTCGCCATCGTCGGCGGCTGTCGTTGTCCTGGGCTGCGGTGACGTGCCGGACTGGTTGCGAGGCACGACCGGGGGCTTTGACTGGCTCGAGGACGAAGAGGAGGACTTGAGAAATTTGTTGGTCGTACTAGGGGGCAGCTTGGCAGAGGGCTTCAAGGCGGGCTTCGTCGGAACCGTAGGCTTGGAAGCCTGCTGCTGCTGCGGCTGCTGCGGATCGGCGGCGTCGTCCGGCGTTCTCGGAGGCGCCACGGCCGGCGGCGAGGGGGGGGTCGTCTTCTTGCCATCGCCCCCATCGCCTTTGGACAGGCGGAGGGATTCGGGCCGCTTGGCGCCGATCTTGGGACTGACTTTCCCCCCACCGGTCTCTTTCTCCCACAGCTTCTTGAGGCTGCTGATGCTGCCGGAGCTCTGCCTCTTGTCTTCCTCCGCAGTGCCTCCCGACTGTTCCTGCGTCGGAGATCCGAGTCGTTCGAGCTCCCGTTTCCTACTCTCCTCGGCGACCGGGTTCTTCTTTTGAGAGGGCGGAGGCTTGGTCGTGACGGCCCCGTTGGAGGCGTTCCTGTCGGCTGGGCTGGCTGCGGCACGGCGGGACTCTTCGTTCGTCTGGGCGCACGCGTCTCCCGTCTCGACCGCTTTTCTTCTCGCCTTCATCTTGAGGTTCTCAAACAGTTCCGAAACCAGCTGTGCGGCAGAATTCCTTGCCGACGCTTCTGCGGGGGCCGGCGGAGACGGCTGCATCTCGCGGCACTCGAGGGTCTTCTGGTCGGGGTTGCTGAATTCCGGCGGCGGCGGGAACCCTTCATCGCTGAACGAGATGGGACTGCCCCCTTCCGGCGCTTCGGGCATCAGCGGGCTCTGGTTGCTGTCCGAGGCCGCCTTCGTCGCGGCGTTCGAATTGCCTGAGTGACGACTTAACTGGTCGTCCACAGATCCGCTCTTGACGAGTGGATGCTTGGGCGGGCTCGGCGGCCTGTCTTTCGGCCTGCGTTTGAGCGTTCTCCGGACGACCGAAGATCCGAACGGGGCAGGTAAGAAGGCTGACGGCGGCGTTGGAGGTGCTTTTGCTTCCTGCGACTGAAGCGCAAGCGACTCGAAGGATTCCCTCCTGTGGGAAACCCCCAACTGAGCCTCGCCTTCGCTGAGTGTGTCCTGAAAGGCGTCCGTTGCTCGAGCTTCCCCCCGCGGTGCCCCCCTGCCGTCGAACCTGTGATTCCTCGGAAGCCTTGGTGACGGCACCGGCTTGGGGCAGGACGGCCGCCTCGTCTCCGGGATGGATCCGGTCTCAAATGCGTCACTGATCTTCGTGTGGGTTAGGTCCGACTTCTGACGCTGCAGGAATGCGTGGGGTGTTCCGTCTGCCTTGCACCTGGCGTGGCCGTAGTCTACCGATCCTCTTCCGCTGGACGCGATGAGGACAACGTTTCCGGACTGGTAGTGCACGTGACCGTCCCCTTCCACAACCGGTTCTTGGTACGAGGTGCCCGTGTGGAGTCCATGCTGACGAAGGGACTCCAGGTAGGCACCGATACGGGCTCCCTTGGGAAGTGTCCCGTACCTGTTGATGGCCCGCTTCACGTTCTGCACTTCCAGCGCAGCCACTTGCACCTTCAAATGAAAGAAAAGGTTAGCTGCAGCATCCTAGCTGGCAGAATTAATAGACTAATCTGCCCATGCACAAAGATGAAGATCCGAGGCAGGTTTCAAATAACCGGTAAAGCCTTCCTTTAAAAAGAAATGTAGAGATCCCGTTTCATGGATTTCCAAAAGCAGAACTTCCTATTGTATACTCCGTTCACCCCTAAGCTGAGACTGAGGTGGAAGCTACATCCTCGTTGGACCAGTCATATGCCTCTCTTCTAGAATAGGTATGGATGGCGTGGCTGTGAGCCGGCGTGCTGCGGTGTGTGGAGCAGAGAAGATGTAGTGCGGCGACAGGCTGCACGTGCGCCGTCGTCCCGTCATTTGTCTCCTGTTTCTGTCTACATCCTCGGTAGAACGAAGTCGCCAACAAAAATGTCGTCCTTTTGCAAGCCACTCAGCTGCACATTGTTGTCTGGTCCAAGGTGCCCTGATGTGCCGGTCGCGTATCACTCCACAAGTGCTGCAGACGTGAGCGTCCTCAGTGTCGCCTGCTTCCGAGACTTTGGAAATATGTTATAAAACAACATGATTATGGCTACGATTATGGATTATGGCATGTAGCCACTGGGATTTCGACCCAGTGGCTACACGTAATGTTCAATGATCAAGGAACCTTCCAGTTTGTTCGATTTTGGTGGCGGATGTATATTTCACAAACTCAAAGCGAGAAACATGTTCCGCCCGGAACTCGGTGCCTGCAAGTTCGCTTTCCAGCATGAAAGTTGGATCCAGCTTATCGCACGCGACCGCTTCTCCGTCAATACAGAGTTGGTACCGCAAAGAAATGGAATGCGATACACAGGCTCTGCAAGCAGAGCCTATACAGTTACTCTAGTCATCGCACTCCTGCCCATACCCACGCGCAGAGAGCCATATCAGGTGATAAGAGGGAGGCGGCCGGTTGGTCTGCTTACGGATGAACGGAGTATACCTATGATGTCGCACACACTAAATTTGTAACAGTAAAAAAAACAAAAAACAATCTCCATAACAAAACAAGCAAAAAAAAATTTTTTTTTTTTTTTACCATATTTAAGCATTCTTTATGCATTGTGAATGCGAAAGCATGAATGTCATTCTTCCGCTCCCCTAGTTAACCTGCGGCGTACTGGCATGGACAGCCATGTTTCGCTACTGCCGAGGTTGCGGCCGCCGACGATATAGATGCCTCAGGCGCTGCCATGTTCCTCGGCGCCGAGAAGAGCCGAAGCGGACGCAGCCCCCCCCCCCCCCCCTTCCGGCAATGCCGGCCACGGCAATGCTTTCGCGTGTTTTTTGCGGTTACAGACACTGCCAGTTCCGCTTTATGGGATAGTTAATGCTTTTGCATTAAAATGCTCTTGTACGAATGCAAAAACCCGCTCTACAGCAGACGCACTGCTCTCCATCTCCCCATCACTTCTCCCCCCCCCCCCCCCCCTGTCACTTCACCCTTCCTCTCGTTCCCGCCACATACGCATACCGTACTGTGATGCTCTCCCTTCCTCACCCACTCAAAGCCACCGTTGCGATATACCCACACGGTCGTGCTTCGCTGGCACGCAAAAAATTTGCGTACATACGGGCACCCCCGTTATGAAAGTGTTTCAGCAAAAAAAAAAAAAGAAACATGTCTCTGTGTCCTTCTCTAACACATACAACATCTCGCACAATCGTCCCACCAAAGCACGCATCTCCTACATCAATTACACTGTAAGCAAAGAACCCATTGCAAACACACTGGCTAAAGGCACATCTCCTTCAACATGCCTTTACATAATGCAGCAGCTACCGCTGTCAATCGCACCACACTCTGGGTGGTCATTTGTAATATTTTTTTAGACTCGTACAGGTAAGCAAGAATGAACTCCCATTCCATAATTTATAAATGTGGAAAGTTACCGTTATGTAGGGATGTTTTGTAAAATTGGCTCATGGTCCCTTTCAAATACACACCTCGCCAACCGGCCCCTTGGTGCCTCCCAATTTTGCCATGTGCCCCAGTCGGGTTACTTCAAACCTTAGAGGTGCCCTGAGGAGGTTTCTGAAACCGTCTAAATATGGCGATAACTCACTCTGCGTGCTCTAAGCATACTAAAAATACATAAGTCATAACGATGCACGGCCGATTTTCCCATTAAAAAAAGCAATCGAAGATCGAACACACCAGGCTCCAGCGATGGGAGGAGCATTGGTGTCCAATGAAAACGTGACATTTCATTGAGATTACAAACGCTGTTATAACAAAATATGTATGCTTTTGTAGAAGATAAAAGCAAATAGAGTACCATAAAATACCGGGCAAGTGCCCACTCAAACTTTGGAGATAATCACAAAAAAAATGGGGGATGGGCGGTTGTCCGGTCATTAATTTTACATGTAAATGTACTGTGCCTATTTTCTCAGATCTTACAAATTTGGAAATGGGCACTTAATGTGGAATGGCCGGCTGCGCGGTATTCTATGGTGGTCAAAAATGTTAATTTTTCGCGGAGAAGTAACGTAACATTGCAATAATAGTCTTCAAAAACAGCAAACTATGTTTCTTTTCTCTTTTTTTGTCTTTTGCGGAAGGTATGCATTGGGTCGTCGGCTCTTGATGCACGCTCGCTAGGTTAAACCGCAGTCTGGGCTGTATGGACAACAATCCCACGCGCATTCGAGATATCACTCCGCGATTCGAGCTGCGAAGATGCTTCGCTAGCTATTGGCCGACAGTGGTCCTGGTTTCGGAACATGCTCCCCCCATGGCCGGAGATGACCTCGGTGTGTTGCAATCTTCGATTGCTTTTTAGTAGGGAAATCAGTCGCGTATCATCATGATTTAGAGATTTTTAGTATGCTTAGAGTAAGCGGAGTGAGTTAGCGCCAGATTCAGGCAATCTTAGAAACCTCGTCAGGGCACTTCTAAAAAAACACTAAACCTAAAAAAAAAGTTTTTTTTTCTTTTTTTTCTACCAGGTTATGGCAGGCATGTCTCACAATAAATGTTTGTCAAAAAAAGAAAAAAGTTTTTGCTTCATATTTATGTTACAATATAAATTTTTCAATTTGCAGACGAAACCAAACTTGTACTTCTGTGCAATGATGATGATAGCATTTGTACCCAACTAATGTGTGCTCCAAGTTCGCTGGACCTCGGAGCGCCTTTTTCGAGGTATCTCAGAAAATAATCCGGAAAAAGTTTGCACAGAATATTAATTTTGGTTTTCTAAGACACTTGGGGTGCACAGTGAGTTCGCACCATAAAAGACAATCTCAATATCCATTTTAGTGCCCCTTTAATGGCCATGGCATCCATACATATTCTCGGTTTCGTTAAAGGTGGGGTGTGCACATACCAAATAGCAGTTAATTGAATTGAATACCGAATTGAATTAAGAAAAAAAAAGCCGAATATTGAATAGTCATTTTATTTGTAGGAATTTTTCAATGTGCGCTGTAAATGAGATGATTATATGTGCAGAGTATGCGCCTGGTGCAGAATATGCATCTCGTACGGAACAAAAGCTCAAATGTATAAAAATTCTGGTAAAAACAAATAAAAACAGCTGCTGTTTCCAATTTTCCAAGATCCAATTTTATGGGGCAAATATTATCTATCTTCCCTAAGCGTCACAAAAAAACTCAGTTACAGCCACACGTGCCTTTTTTTTTCTCGTCAAAAGCATGACCCAACGTTGCAACATGTTCTTTCTTTTTTTATTTGTATATCTCAGAAAGGGGGCATTTTGCGATATTTGGTCTCCATACTAAGGAAGAAAAAGGGCACCCGGGATTTTATTTTATATAAATAAACGGGTAGCTTAAATAAACACGTAGCTGTTAAATCTGAGTAAACAGGCTTAAACAATATAATCTAAAGTAAAAAAAAAAAAAAAAACTTCGTTAGGTGGCGCAAGTCACCGTCCAACAGCCGCTATGCATCCATTTCTCCGTCCATCTATTCTGTTTTAGAGAGCCTAGTTTTAAAAGAGGGAGCAAGCATAACTGAAATCACGGAGACGGCTCTTGCGCAAATTAATCGTAAGTGCGCGTGTGTTGTGTTGTCGTGTGGCAAGAAGGCGAGGAAACGGAAGAGCAACGACGCCTGCCCCAAAGCCTGCCCGACCGATGCTTTCATTTTTTCGTTCCCTTCTCGCACTTCATAATGCAAGCGCAGCTATCGATCGGTTGGAAACCCTCCCAAATCTAGGCACACTATTTTTCCAATCTGTTTCGTTCCGAATCAGAATTTGCGGCTTGCAGTTCCAAAAGAACGACGACGACAACTCTGCTGGTTCCATCGGCGTGGTTAAACGCCTGTTCACACTCTTGCGACCTCTTAGAACCTTGTGCCTTGGAACCTCTTAATATCTCTTACGAGAGAACACACTGGCGCCATCTATTGGGTAGCAGTGTAAACTAGGCGGTTTGGCATATTTTCTATTTCTCTCGCGTATTATCCTTTCTTTCTTGGCTCGAAAAACTTTTGTCAACGTTATAAACGAGCCTTTCTCATAGGTATTATGCATATTTAATCTCGGAAATTCCGCAAAATGTTCGCTCTTGTGAAATGCAGTTCCAGGGTCACCGCACAGATGGCGCCAGCGTGTTCTCTTGTCCTAAGAAATTTTAAAAGGCTTCAACAGGTCTCATCTCTCTCAGGCGTACTTGTTTGGAAGTGTGTGAACGGGCCTTAACGTGGTTTTCTTTTTGTGATCTTGCAGTCGCCGATTTCTGTGAGTGTGGGAATGTGTTCTACATCGGCGCTTCAATTTGAAAAGAGGGGCTTTACTCGTGAAAAAGATTAGGCATGCGCGGGATTCCGGCCTACCAATAATTCTTCTCTGGAAGCGGCATAAACGGGATGTTTTGGTTGTGATTCAAGGTTAGAGTGCCGTCACGATTATGAGTAAATCTGCGTGCTATAAAGTTTGTGGCGTTCGTTACTTTTCTTTTTTCTAACCTGTGCGTTAAATTTTTGTAGAATGGTAGGACCAAGAGGTGTTTCTCGCATGTTCTGTCCAACATCACGGTGCTAACATCGGTAGAAAAAACGGCTCGTTTGTCAGCTCTGCGCCAACCGCGCGTCTATGGCCGAATATATTGAATATTTGAGTGACCGAATACTAGGGATTTGATTCGCGAATCGAATTATTCGGGAACTAGCTATTCGATTCGAATTCGTATACTAATCGAGTGTCCGCACACCCCTAGTTAAAGGCTGTCCTTGAAGACAAGTGTGCCCCAGGCAGTATTGCTGGAAGGGAACGAGATCATACAGTGCATGTCGTGTGACCCTTGTTACAGGTCACTTCCAAGAACTAATGCCTCAAAACCTTGGACACTTAGAACACCATTCTACAGAGGCTGAAAGCGGTTGGATGAATTTGCTCCGCTCTAACTAAACTATCAGACTCGCTTGTCCACCCTTCAGCACAGCCCTTTAGCAGACCAACATGAAGCGTCCGTCCTAGACGTACGGTATGCTGCCAAACAGGACAAAGAATGCAAGTTTAAGCTGGGTCGTAGTCTGGTTCAGGTTAGGAAGAGCAGGAGAGGCTCCTCCCACAATGCTTTCCGTTCTTTCGACTTCAGCAGGCTTCAGCAACAGTGGACAGCAGAAAACCAGCCAGACCATAGTCGTGTCTAGGCATCTTGCACGTCGTTTGCTGCAATTCGTCTCGACCTCCCCCCTCTACCGCAACCCGAGCCCGGGCGGGAAAACACGCGAAAGATTGGCAGTAGGTACCTTCTTGGCCTGCCGGGTGGCCAGGGCGGTCGAGGAGTCCCGTCCCACCCTCTGCAGCTGCACGTTGGGCGGGTAGGTGCGGGCCTTCTTGAGCTTTTGGGGCCTCTGTTCCCTCTGTTCCCGCTGCAGCAGCTGCTCCCGGGACACCTCCGGCACGCTGGCCGTCGAGTGCAGCTCCGAGTCCTCCGTGTCCGGCGTCGACTGCTTGGGGTCTCCGTCCCCGCCCACCGACTCAAACACCCGCTCCAGGCCTCCGTTGTTGTTGTTGTTGTTGGCGAACTCCTCGTCGTCGGCGTCTTCGTCGTCGGGGTTGCGGTCCTGGTAGGTGCTGTCGCGGAAGGAGCTGGTGCGCTTCGGGGGCACGGGTGCCTGCTTGCTGCGCGGGCTGGGCCGACGCAGCTGCACCACCCCCCCGGACTTGGACAGCAGCGGGCCCGGCTTCAACGCCGCCACTGGCTGACCCGCACCTGCGCGCCCACCAAGCATGTGCCATTCGGTTTGTTGTCTCGGAAGAAAACACAGGCATGCACCGTTCCCAATTGCACCCCTCTTTTCGTACGTCGTACGGCCTAAGAAAATAGTACTGTATATTCTGCGGTGCAAAGTTTTGTGTTGAAACAAGCTTTTCCTTCGGTAGTCCATACCTAAAAAATTACACGTAAGTCACCACTAATATACAGTGTCGTTCACAAAAACCGTCGCTTCATAGCGAAGGGTCCCGAAATAACAAATCCTTGTATGGTCCGCACCTGTACAGTCTGCACCGCATAAAATTTAAACTTTCAGATGTGTGTAGTCTGCGTACAACAGCCCAGAAAATGTGGTATGCGTGACATTTCAGTAGCTCTCATTACACTCTCGAACCCCACCTCTAAAGATATCCCAAAGTAGCTTTCTTTGAATCAGACAATTACCTACGTAACTCAATGATCCATATGTGTCTTCTAAACACATAACAAACTACGAGTCTCCCCAGCCATGCACACTCACCACAACAGTTCCAGGATAAGGGGGGACAGTACCCAGAAAAAACAATTTCTGCAAAAAAAGTAGATTTTGAAAAAATGCCATATTTACATCCACCAACATCTAGAGAGTATTCCCAGAGAGTTTCATTAGTTTACACTGCATAGTTATTTTTTTTATAAATTATTTTCGGTCCACCGATGCTAAAGAAAATGTAGAGGTTGGAGCACTTTGAATGCATTTTTCTCCATTCCACTCTTCGGCATAAATTTCACTTTGGGAAAATTCCTATTACACAATAGAAAATTATTCTTAGGTGGTTTTCTGGGACAAAATTTTGTGAGGAACATGCCTAGCTGGTTAGTTTTTCCACTTTAACATTCTTTCATGCTAAAAAACATTTGTAAAAAAGTTCTGACAAAAAAAATTAATTTTCTTATGAAGTTACATTTATGAAAAACGCAAAATAACTAGCTGGGTATGTGCTATGATATTCGTACGACTATATTACACATAAAAATCACAAATTTTTATTTTACTATTTAAAACGAGTTCTCCTAAGCGAACACACTGGTTTCCATATTATAACATTTGTAACAAGTTTCAGAATTGACATAGGACAATGAAATAGGCAGGGATGGTCTTGTCACTCATATAAACTTCCACTGCAAATTTGATTGAAATCAAGCGAGCGGTACAAAAGTTGACTTTTCTGGGTAGAGTCCCTCCTTAAACGCGACTGTAAAGGCCAGTTCCCACATACATTGCAGCTCTAAAGCAACACTAGGAGCAGCACTGACTTTCATGTAACTTAGCGCTGCATCAATAATATAGCCTAAAATGCCAAGCCAACAAAGGGCATCTGACATACTCTAGCAAAGGAATGGGGATTAATTTCGATCACCTGGGAATTTTTTGTGGGTGCAATTTAAAATCTCAGTTACACAGCGCCTTCCCCCCATTAAGCCTGTGTCAGATTACTGTCACCTTGGCCAAGATTCAAACCCGCCACCCAAGGATCCTTAGGCCGGTGCTTTGCCTTGGAGCCGCCGGTGCTTTGCCTGGAAGCCATTGAGGAGGCAATAGTGCCGAGATGGTGCCGTGGTGCATGTGTGAACTGACCTTTACTACGAGGTCAGCATTCTATCTGTCAAGGTATGCACGAAACTGCAACTCCGAGCTAATGTGCGGCCACGAGTGGAACCGACGCTACGGACAAACAAACCCCTTTCTACTCACTCGTGTCGGGCGTTCTGTTCTCCTGGTCGTCGTCGACCATGGCTCCTCCCATGGTGGGCGAGTTTCCGGGGTGCTTCTTGTACGCCAGGGCGGGCGACTGCTTTTCCAGCTGCCGCTCCACCTCTGCGCAAAGAACGGTGTGAGACGCCGGGAGGCGTCGGTCGCCTCTCGGCTGCGGCTCTCCTCACCCCGAAATACGATCGCCCCGACAAGCTCTCGGACCTCAGTAGTGCGGCTCACGACACTCTATCGGAATACTTGAAAGAGCGACCCGCGCGGGCACACCTCCACCACACTGCAGAAAGCAGACGAAGCATGCACTTACAACGAGGGATTGCAGCTGTCCAAAGAGGACAAGATGCTTTGTGCAGTTAGAACCGTATTGACTGGCTTCGCGTCATGTTGTCCGCAACATGTGTTGCAGACAATAGATATGTAGATAACCCAACTACTTTATTAGCAGCTACGTACATAGTACACCAATATTAACATGCAGCCAAACCCCTTGACTCAATGCTCATTAGCGAGACTGCCATTGTATTATTTCACAATAAACATAGTTTTATTCATTCAATGTCTCCAATGCCTCGGTAAAAACATGTGTCGTGCATGTAGAGAAGCTTTTACCAACTGTCGATGTGCACTTTGTTTGCCTAGTCTTCTCCCACCACCAACCATCGCTCGAGAGTCTGACACTGTTTTCTTCCTTCCTTTGCAACCTACCAAGAGGAGGAAGCTAAGAGGATCTTCTGTTTTGCAGAAGTTCAAGTTTTATATGCTGACCTTGGAAAGAATTTACAGTTCAAATTACTCTATGAGCCTGAATAAGATGGGAGCTGTCTTTCACCCTTTTGGTCTTTAACACCTCTCTCCCTTCAACCGAAAGGAGCTCCATGAAGAGCTTTTTCTCTCAGTAGTACAAGGGGAGTTATTTGCAACAATGCCGTTTAAACTAGAAGCTTCAGTACAAGTGCTGAAATTCAACTGTACATATAACTATTACTAACCTCAATAATTCAATTCAGTCACTGCAAAAGAGGCTGCAAAAATCATGCAAACAACCCAATGTGCATTCTCACACAAACTTCTCCATTTGTTCCGACTCCAACACATATTCATATTAAATTATTTTAGTATGCAATCATTTGTTAAAAATATGAATGTGTCATGATTGTTTGGAGCTTTTGAGGTCTGTACTTTAATCATTTTCTATGTTAAACTACACATAAATTAAGTAGCAGTGGGTTGCGAATTGGATTATACGGCCAGGGACTTACACTTTATGTATGTATAACTTTTTTTCATTATGTGCATATGTGGAATGGGTCCAATTTAGCCATGTGCTATGTAACAATGTTTCCAAATGCAAATAGTACTATGTTCATGCATGTGCATCTGTGTCAATGAGTGCATTCCTTCCTGCAAAAAGCAACAAAAGTCCCATAAAGTATTAAAAACTTGAATATAGACAAAATGATGTTTTCCTTATTGTATGCTGATAATAATCAGTAAGCTCTATAATCAGCATACAATTAAATTTTTTCCTGCGAAAATCTGCATTTCAACATGCGGTGTTGCCATTTTAACGTACAGTCAAACCCGTTTATAACGAACAGCAGGAGACGCTACGATCAGTTCGATATAGCAAGTAATTCGATATAGGAAAAAACATTTACAACAGACTTTCACGATGTGTTCGTTACAAGGCCGAGAGCTTTTCTTTCTTCCTCATCTCTTCGCTTCCGCCTGTTAACTCCGCGCTGGAAAGATTTTTTTTTTTTTGCATGCGTCCAGAGGTTTTTTTTTTTTTTAGCTTATCTTTTTTTTTTAATTGCTCCTCTTCGTGGGCAACCATATTGCGATTAAAGGTTTTCCTTTTTTCTGTGCGTGTGTGCAGAGTGTTTTTTTTTTTTTAGCTTTTTCCCTTCTGAATTGCCTCTCTTCGCTCAATTATGTTCGCAACTTGAGCTTTTGGAATTTTCTTTCTTTCCTACTTCGCTTTTTGGGGGAAGGGACAGGCTAGAAGACGACTGTTTGCGCGTTTTTGGAGACCTTCCCGGGGGGAAAAAGTTCAATATAGCCAATATGTTGTTCGTTATAAATATTACTTTTACACGCGCTTTTATCTAAACTTTGCGTGAGTTCGATATCGACAATAATTCGCTGTACGTGGATTCGTTCTAAACGGGCTTCACTGTAATTACTTTGTGGTTATGTGGTATCACTATGGGGGTGTATAAAAGTAGTCTGGAATTAACTGTACACAACATCATAGGTACCTTCTGTGATGCTGGAGTTCTGAAACATGTTTTCCAGGGTATTGTGGATCTCTTGGAATGTTGGACGATCAGCTGTATCCCACTGCCAGCCTGCATAAATAGAAAGAAGAGAATGGACAGGGATGTTTTATTTGCTCCTTTTGCACCTGCTCCTTCTTTGTATAGGAACTAAGAACATTCTAAACTGCTACATACAGCACTAGTCTAAGCTATCATCACTGTACATACTCCCGAAGAGAACAGAGTAATGTTGTCCTCCGACAACAAGGCGAGTACAAAAGTTGTCGACATTGGACACGTGATTGAATCTCCCGCACACGCATGCCTCCAGAAAGGCTCTATGCTTCAGATGGTGGACAGGTTGTAATAGACCAGCCTATCTGCCAGCACGCTTGCCTACGGCATCTTTGCTTTCTTCCATGTTAAAATTAAGATTTGTTCATGTCAAAAGGATGGTTGATTCAAAATAGAAAGTGGACCTTGTGCTTTTAAAAACTATTTTTTCGTGAGTTTCTAAGGCAAGAACACTCTAAAGAAATATGCAGGAGCAACTTCTGACGTGGCAGCACGTGCAACTGACAATGCAAGACTGCAATAAAGCACACATCGTTGGTTTATGCAGTTGTGCTGGCAATTTTGCGCCGTCTTTGGGAGGCCTCGGCATACTTCGCACAGTAGACTGGGGCGTTTTGAACTTTATTTGCAACCATCTGCTGCCAGCTGCTGAGAGAGGGCATTACCATCTTGCACTACTCTGGACTCTTTTGGAATATACACAGTGCCTCTAGTCCAAGCCAAAAACGGCAGAAGCTGTAGAACCACAAAAAAGCAAGATGAAAAGATTGGCGCAGCTGAACCTAACCGAAATGGGGGACACTTTCTTGTTCAAGGTAATGTTTTGTTGCACAATACACGGGCGACGTGAAAGGAAGGGAGCTCACATTGGCGCATCAGTTCGTAGACCCTCGCTGGGCAGCCGGGCGGACACTCCATCCTGTAGCCGGACTCGAGCATGTGGTAGACGTCGGTCAAGTCCACCCCCGGGTAAGGGGACATCCCGTAAGTGGCTATCTCCCACAGCAGGATGCCAAATGCTGCAGCCCAAAAACGCAGCAGAGTTTCAGGCATAAAAAAAATAGAGTTGCTCATAGAGTTGCTCTGATCCTCCTGCCCCACAAGCACCCAAGCAAAAGACAAAAAAAAAAAAAAGTTTATTCATGAGAAAAAATAAAAGGTGAACCAGCATGAGTACTGGCTTACTATTCAGTGACCAGGGATGTAAAAAAAATTACCACAGCCTATACTTCGTTTGACCTCCCGAAGGACCGCAGCGGATGCTACAAGCCATTGAAGCCAATCTAATGTCTTGAATGTGAGGGTTTTACAGAGAACTGCCTGGCTGGGGCAAGACTAGTTAGGGCTCGGTTGGATGTCCTCCACTTTTAACCAATCAAATGCCTTGCGAGTGTCGTGTAACCTTCTGGAAGGGTGCAGCGACACAGAAAATGTGCAGTCAGTCTCACGATACATTCACAGCACTGGATTGGCAGGGATGGCTTACAGTGTTTGCCGCAGTCCATCGTACGGTGAAACAAAATATAGGCCTATTATAAGTGTAATGGAGCTACACAAAGTTCCTCAACGTGTTCAGCACCTTACCACAGAAGTACAACAAAAAGGTAGAAAGGGGGACAACTTCTCGATGGCAATCCTAGGAGGTGGGGCAGTCCGAGCACCTGAGCCAATCGAAAACTCTAGATGTGCAGTGGTGGCCCCGACTGATAAAAAGAGCTGATAAAAAGATAAGTTTGCCATTGTGATGCAACTCTGTTAACCACCTAGGGGACAAGACCTTGAAATGCGCACAAAAGCCCTAGGAAGAAGGAGGAAAAGGCTGAGCAGTCACCCCAAACGTCGGACTTGGTGGAGAACTTGTTGTAGGCGAGGCCCTCCGGAGCCGTCCATTTGATCGGGAACTTGGCACCCGCGTGGGCCGTGTACGTATCATCCCTCATCAGCCGGGCCAGTCCAAAGTCAGCCACCTGGGGACAAGAAGCAGACCAAAAACAAGCTCAGGCACAAAAAAAGACCCAGCACTAGCTAGAGCTTGCAAGATTCAAGGGGCTTTGAAAAATACCGTATTTAGACGATTGTAAGTCGACCGCCCCACATTGCACATCAGCAATAAAAAAAAAAAAAAAAAAATCTTTAGACGCGCATTTAACTGCGAACACGTGAGAACGGCAAAGTATCTGTTTCGAAAGCCAAGCCTCCAACACGAGGTCGATGCCTTCTGGCGTGTTTTGGCTCCGCATGCACGCGCAAGGTGCATTGGCCAGGTGTTATCGAAACTAGGAAGTTCACGCTGAAAGAGGGACAAATGAAGCTGCTCACTGTCGCTCTCATTCCGTCCGCGACTAGATTACGACTCGTCCGCACTGGTGATGTCAGTCTGTCGTCATCGCTGCTATGTTCTCGAAGCACGTCGTCGGCGTCGTTCAACAAAATCTCGCACTTCGCAAATGACAGGATCAACCGCATCTTCTGCGCTTGCTCGGTGATCACGTTGGACGTCACGGGTAGGGACCAGTTGCACACTTTTGCGACATACGTTGCAAGCCTGACCTCCAACTCCGGATGGCACGCCCACCTATCCAGACTTTTGCCTGCGGAAGCCTCCTCGTTTGCCGTCAGAGTTTAAGATCCCGCGCCACTGCAGACTCCACTGAAGCATCACCCGCTCCGACGAGTCGAACTAGCGTACAACAGTGGAGTTGTTGGTTGCTTCTGAGTGAAGAATGGCCATAAACAAGCACCGAAAACCTAAACTGCCCGGATCACACGTGTCAATACAAAAAAACATAGTTAGCGCTCCAATATGATCTCGTCACTCGATCAAACGACGTGCGACTGTGAATCGTGCGAAAAACTGCAAAGAGAAGCCGCGGGGTGAGTGAGCCCTGTTCCAGCGGCCTCCGGAGTGGCTCTTACAAGAAGTGCAGCCACCCCTCAGGAGTCAGGTTAATTTGCGAATTGCTATCAATAATACTTGTTTGCACAAATAAAAAAATGATTAATTTGTAAACTGAGCGCACAGAATAGTGCAATGCTAGAGGTACAGCCGGCTGAACTCGTAACAAGTCGAGGTGTTCATGATATCGCGGTTGTTTCATTTTTGCCGGCGGTGGAATGCTTTGGTTCGATTATAAGTCGACCCCCCACTTCAGATTTTCAAAAATTGAAAAAAGGGTCGACCTACATTCGTGTAAATACGGTACAGCAAAGACCCTAACATGAAACAATGAAAACACCTCTGCTGAAAAATAATATTGCAAAAAACTGCTTTGTACACTGTACATTGTGCTAGTAGCTTTGGAGTTAAGTGTATCACTTTTTTTTTTCTTCAGCGTTCCTAGGCTAGACTGACTGCAGTACAGCTCCAAATAAGATATGAAAATATTTATATTGGGTGAGCATTATACATTTGAGCTTTTGCAGTAGGTTCAACTTATGAAAACAAATGCAGCACGTGCCCATGGATGGTACAGCGACCATAAAAAAATGACTAGAGCTCTATTTTATCGGTGGTCTTTCAAATGTGCCATAAAACTAATCTAAACAGTATAAGAGAACAAAATGTTTTACAACATGCTGCTTTTAAGCATTCTGGGCATAACCTCCAGCCTGACATATTTTTACTTTCTAGATATAACATGAAAAGTATGATCACAAGACTTTAACTTTTAAAGAGACAGTTGCTGCATGTGCATTAATTTAAATTATGTGAAACACAACATGCTGCCTAATAAAGAATATTAAAAATTCAGCCCAAAAAGAAGAAAAAAAAAGTGAAAACTGTTTTCTTTGGATTTGTTCTACCGTATAAACCCAAACTGATACAGTGGAAAGATATAAACTCAAAGCTTTTGGAGTGGGCATGGCACACACATGGGTAGGCAAACCAGGCAAAAACGGCACTGGGAGGGCTAAAAGAGGGCACATTCGAGTGACACGAACCACAACGCCACATGATTGTGTCGCCCGACGTGATGGGAAACCAAGATGTGTGGACTCCACTAGCCGCGTCTGTCCATCTCGGTGCTTGTCCATGTCCACGACTCCCAGAAGAAGCACAGTGCATCAGAAGGACGGATCTTATGTCTTCTTTGTTTGACTCCCCGCCAGCGACTGCTTGCCCGCTGGCCCACCACCGTTCTCTTTCGCTGTGGCACTGGCGTCGTGAAGGGCGCCACATAGCAGATACTCCCACAGACGTCGGTGTCACATTCAGTTTAGTCTTATTTTCTCAAAGGTACTCCAAATAAGTTTTCAGCCTTTCCACTCTGGTGAAGAAGGAAGACCAGCGAAGCTGTACTTGGTGGGACGACCTCAAGGACAACGCTTAGAGGACGACGTTTAGGATGACATCTAGGATGACCTCAAGGATGACCTCAAGGACGACTTCTAGGACGACCTCAGGAACGACGTTTAGGATGACCTCAGGAACGACGTTTAGGATGACCTCAAGGACGACGTCTAGGACGACCTCAGGGACGTCTAGAACGACCTCAAGGATGACTTCTAGAACAACCTAGAGGACAACCTCTCGGACAACATCAAGGACGACCTCAAGGGCTACCTTAAGGACCACTTCTAGGACGCAACTAGAGAAATTCAGCCTTTCCACTCTGGTGAAAACCAGACTGGAAAGGTTGCCGCCATCTATGAGCGAGGCCGGTAAACCGGTTGCCGTCGCTGCTCATAGATGGCGGTAGCTGTACAGAGTTTTGTGTCTTCATTTCTTTGCGGGGGACATAATCCTGGGGAAACTAGCCCTTAACAGCTTCGCTGTAAAAGAGCGCTTTACATGAGGGGAGACGTCATGACGTCACATTACACGATGACGTCGTTAAGGCCACACGCGCACCAACGTGAAGTCCCCGAGGCTGGGCGCATAAATGACCAAGAGAGGAGTTGCACGCACCTTGACGAGGTGGCTGTCCCCGACGAGGCAGTTGCGGGCGGCCAGGTCCCTGTGGATGAAGTTGCGCGCCTCCAGGTGCGACATGGCTGAGGCAATCTGGGTGGCCATGTGCATGAGCACCACGGCCGTGATGTCCTCCCGGCTGCAGTTGCGCAGGTACTCCAGCAGGTTCCCGTGCGCCATGAACTCCGTGATGATGTAGAACGGGGGTTCCCGCGTGCACACCCCTGCCCCGGGCGTGGAAATGAGCATCAGCGCGTCCCAAAAAACGGACCCAATTCACTCGTTTCTAACATTGCAGAAACAGTCCCAGTTTACTAATAGCCATTTCAAATATCCGCTTATAGTATATTGCTTTATGCAATGTTCCCGTAAACATAAGGAACAACAGCGCCCAAATGACCGGACAAAGAGATGAAAAACGCGTGACAAGCAGGCGCCGACTCGAAACGGACGTGTATTAATGCATGAGAAGAAAGAGGAAACAAGCGGAAAAACAAAGCAAGGTTCCTGTCGAGCCCAGCGGCGATCATCTAACCTCTCAAAACAGTCTAAAACGTGAAACTGGTATGTGGCAATTGTATACGTTTTGAGGTAAAATATACAATAATGCATAATGTTTCAATAAGCATGCAATAGTGATTATTAATTCAAAATGTCTCATTTGCAGAATGAGACATTTTGAAAACATAACTGTAACTAAAAGCCGACGTAACCCCCGCACAATGCAGGAGTCCAGAGGGGTGCCCTTTAGATATTCCCATATTAACTAGTAGGGGCCACACAATCGACACCACTCAACTTAAAAAAATTATACCCTGTATTCCAAAGAGTAGGTGTTGTCCAGATTTAATAAACAATCTGAAAGAGTGCAGGATAGACACAGACAGGGGAAGGTACACATACAAAAAAAGCAAACCTTTGTTCTATGCCCTTTTGATACAATTTAATCAACTATGAACCAAATAGACCATGTTGTGCAACATTTGTTTTGTGTTTATGCAAACACACGGCCCCAGCATAACCAAGGGCAGTTGGTACCCTAACAATAAACTTTACAATGTTTCTGCACTGAATGGGGGAGCGCAAGCGAAAATCGCTAAATTTGTGAGAACCCAAGGTATAGGCCGAGCAGCCTACACCGTTGCTAGTATCATGCCGAGGCACCCTCTGCTAGCACTACTACCACACTGGCATGACAAGGGCAGCTGGCCTATGCTCCAGTACATGGCCTCTCTCAAGTTGGGTTCCTAGGGATCCAAAGATTCCCCAGAGTCCCCTAATGGGTTCTCCAAGCTCCCAAATTTCCCCCACTGTCCCTTCCCCGAAGTAAAGCATTTCTCCAGTTTAAACATTGTTTTAGTGACTTCGAGTTGTTACCCATTGATGCATCGCTATGAGCCAAACATTCCTCAGTGTGCGCAGCATTGTTTACAAGGTCTCTAGGCTTCTGCCTTCCTTTACTACATCAATGCTGATGCCGATAGGGCTTCCTTGAGACTGAAAAGTCTGAAAGCCCCAGCTCCGGTGAACTGCTGAACCCAGAGCAACAATGGATGGAGCAAATCAAACGTGAAACCGTAGAGTACCTATAATAATCTAGAGGAAGGGGGCCCTCGCATTTTGACCGCTTCGAAACGGCGGGGAGACGCGGACATCAGTGGTCACAATGAACCCATATCGCTGGCAACGCTTTTATATACACGAAGCAGCAAAAAAGAATTATTTTGCTGAAAAACTCCAGCGTCGCTCACCGTACTAAAAAAAATAAAGTCAACAAGAGCACTCAAACTTCAACTCATAGCGGCAAAATGTACATGCCTAAGCCGTTGTCTGCCTCCTTTCTGTCGCTCTCTTTCTCTCTCTCTCTAAACCACCGACGTCGGCGCATTCTGCTCCCGTCTTTACCCTCTGCTCAAAATGAGAAAAGAGGAAGCAGTCCTCACCAATGAGCTGGACCAGGTTGGGGTGCTTCATCTCCTTCATGATGGCGGCCTCCTCGAGGAAGTCCTTAAGGGCCATGGTGTCCTCTTTGAGCGTCTTGACGGCCACGGTCAGGTTGTAGCGCTTCCAGAGGGCCTCGTACACGTCCCCGTACTGCCCCCCGCCCAGCCGGTGCTTCATCACAATGTCTGTCCGGTCGATCTCCCACTCGTCGGGCTCCGGGCTAAGGGCGAACACGGCCGGCTTGTTACGCTTGGGGGCCGGGTACAGTAGCTGGGTGATCAGGCCGTCTGCGTGCAGCGAGTGGTGGTGCACCAGCTCCGCCAGCGTGTTGAAGCGCCACTCCGACGTCACGTACACCTGCCCGGGGGGAGGAGGGACGGCAGTCAGATTTGGGGGTGGCAAGCCGTGCGAGGGATGCAGCCACATCTTTTAACCTCTTAACTGCAATATTATGACCCAACTAATTTTTCTCGAGATCGCAGAGAACAACACGGCACGGTACTTCCTCGTTGTTTCTCGAGCTGCTAAAATGAAAATAATTGCATGGTCATAAGGTGGTACTTTCTATAGCACTGCACCAACCTGCACAACAAATATATATTTACAGTCGCCGACCAATTTTTCGGACGCCGGTTTTTCGGACACGTACGATTATTCGGACGTTTTCACTTAAAAGTCACTCACTCCCGACAGTTAATGTATAACACTGACCAAAATTTCGAGTGCCATAAAGCTTACTGCTCGATTTTCGGGGACACAATTTTTGTGATTTACTCCGTCTACAGCCACAAAACAGTCGCCGCGATAGCGCCGTGAGGTTAATAATCGCCATTTTGGTTGTTTTGATCTTACTCTGTAGCTTCGATACCACGTCCTATGCAATAAACAAGCTGGACTGAATCTATAGTCGGGTTTTCCGGTTCTGCTATATCCAACATGGCTGCCACCTGCCCATTCTTATGGCTCTTCCAGCTCATCTCGTGGTAAGTGTTTTTCGAGTGCGGCCGCAAAAAGAGCGGCTATCTGCCGTTCTTATGGTCTTTGACCGCAAAGGTTTTTTGCCAATAGGCTTAGTACTGAAGCGAGCTTGGTGGACTAGATGTGGTCTCCAGATAGTGGCCAATGGCGCCAACTTCAACTTCGCTGCTTGTGTGTGTGTGTTGTAACTGAAGGCGCCGACAAAGTGCGACACCCTGATCAAACAGATCAACAAACAAGTGAAAAGTGAACAGTACAAAGCGGAAGTTGCACGAGAACTTGAAATTGACATCAAGCAAGTGGAAAGTGGCCAATACGCAGCGGAATATGTGCGAAAATTTGATATTTTGGCTGAAATCGATTTTTCGGCTGCCTGATTATTTGTACAATTTTGAAAGATTGGTCCGCGACTGTATATATATATATATAAAGCAAGTTTTTGTTGCACTTAATTTTTTTAGTAAATACTTTACTATAAAATGTTCTATAGTACAGACATTACTGGCTGTGTTCAGATAGGATCATGCATGTGAACATATTTCTTGTTTATGTTAATTTTATTATATGTTACTCCTCAACATGTGTACGAAACATAACAAAAAAAAACATATTTTGCAAACATCAATATTTCAAGAGAAAAAATTTTGACTTTGCAGGAACCGCATATTTGATTTTTTAAGTTTTCGTTTATGTCATGTTTGATGGCCCCTACAACGCAAACTACAAATGTCAGAAATCTAAAATATTTTGCACTTATAATTATGTTATGAGTGCATTTCTCTTATTTTTTTTATCCTACTACGCCTGTGGGTACAACATGAAACTAGTAAATGCACTGCCAGGGCAAGTGCCCAAGCAAAACAAACAGCAGCTTGGGCCAGCCAGATAATTTTATTTGTAATTTTTTAAAAATAAACTTAATTCCTGTCTTTATTGATGTCCAGTATTGCTCAGAAGCAACGACTCAATGATTTAATTTCTTCCACGCCCTGTCCGCTTAAATAAATTTAGCGTCCTCTGTCACGAGGGCCAGGGTACCTGTGCTTAGCAGTAAAGAATCAAATTGCGTTTTCAAAACAGATCACTTGTCTTTTAAAGCCAAAGCTGACAGGGGATGCAAGGTACGATGGCAAACACCACTGACCTCGGAACTCCAAAAAGAAAAACAGGCACAAACATTGCAAATCCAGTTACGAGTGTCTCTACTGTGCAAAATGCGAAGTGCACCTGTTCCTTTTCCAAAGTCAAAACTGCTTTCAGTCATTGGACGTAGAATAATGCTGCAAATGCCCAATGTTGCTCACAACCAACATTTCAAAAACATAATCACGAAAAAAGGTAATTTTTTTTCTTCTGAGACCAGATTTATGTTATTTTGTGTGTTGTCGGACCACGTCAGGATTTCTAGGTCCCCAGTATTTCAAGTAAAGTTTTGGATATCAAACAGTTAAAATGCCTGTGCCAATATTAAAAGCACGCTCCATCCTCGCTTCACACTGTATCACCACTGTCAGAGCCCACGGCACAAGGTTTGGCAAAAGCAGCGCTCCACACACCTTCCCCTCGGAGTCCTCACTGATGCGGTAGTGGTAGACGCGTCCCTCGCAGCGCAGCGAGATGGAGCGCTGGCCGGGGCTGGACTCGGACTCGCGCACCAGGAAGCTGCCGTTGATGCCGCTGCTGAGCAGGTACTCGGCCGCATTGCGCGAGATGGGGCCGTGGTACCACGAGTGCTTTTCCAGGCTGTTCACGGGCGTCACGTAGTTGGAGGGCACCCAGCCCACCTGGCCAGAGCGCCCCTGAGCCTCGCACCACTCCCCCGTACGGTTGTACGACACCACCTTCACCTGTTCCCCTGGGGGTGGACAAGGAGGGGCTTCGGGTACACGTAGAAAGAACTGGTTCACTTAGATTTGAGCTTAACCCCTGAATTCTGAAGAAGTGCCCTCATAGGAAGAACAAAACAGAACAAGAAAATCCTTCAAAGAACAGATTTTGTTTTTTATGTTCATATTTTAACAAAAAACATTCAATGAGATAAAAAAAAAAGAGCTCAAATTGTTGCTGTTGCCAGGCTGATTCTCGAAGAAATGCATCGCACAGTGGTTATCTATAACAAAGCATGATGAACGCAGCCCCTCAGCACTTTTCCGCGCGGAGAACATTCCCAAAACCCCTCTTCTCCCTGGTGCAGGCAGATCAGGTCACTTTGCACGTGCATGAAGGACGTTCATGCAATGCACGGTGACCGACAGAGCCATTTTGTTGTTGTGCATACATATTGTGCATACAGGGGTGACGACACAATCTGCTTACAGCCCGGTGACATGGCAAGACGACTGCGCGTCAAGAACGGCATGGCAGGCAGAAGAACAGAACCGTAGCCCGTGCGTGTCCACAGGTCTCCAAAGCCGTCTTAGGTTGCTAAGGCTGTGGCGCCATCCCAAGGAAACGTTGCAAACTCTATAAACATGTGCTCCAACCACGCCCAAGGTCAGCACATGTACCGGAGCACTAATGCTAACGCATCGAAAAAAGCTACAACTTCTCCCTAGCTTTGTCCCACGGACTTCAAATCAGTGCCACGCTGCAAATATGTGAATCAGGCTTGAAAACTTGCTCACATAATCTGACAACTGTACCAACTAAAAACATAAGGATCTCCCTAAACTGTTTCGGCTTTCTCCAGAAATCAACTTCTCCTACATGCTCAATCAATGTAACTAACGCTTGAGTCTCTCGTACAATGGCGGCTGGAACGTGCGTCCTGTGCCACCCATGCATCGAAAGTGGTGCCAAGGTGACAAGAGACAGATGTCACAGAAGATGGCACATCCTATTGAATGTCGCAATCCCGTCGGTCGGACGCAGAAGTCCCGTCAAAAAGCACGAGCGAACGCGAGTGTTGCCGTCGTCGCTGCGTCTCAACTTCCGGCTGCCGAAGCTTCCGTGATCCGAACAGCCGGGGAGCGACCCACAGCGGAACAGGTGTCTGCCGCATTCACCTCCGCTGCCGCACCACCGCCCGGATCACGGCAGGCGACGGCACGACGCAAGTGTGACGTCCTCGGATGGCAATTGGGGAGACGCGTTCCATGCACCATACTTCTATCCACCACAATTGGCGGCCCCCCAAAAGAGGCCTCCGGGGTGGGAGGGGGGGCACCTACCTTTCTTGAGCGAGAGCTGGTTTTCGCCCCCGGACTGGAAGTCGTACAGAGCCACGAAGAGGTGCGGGTCTGCGTCCTCCTGTGCCAGCAAGTTCTCCTTGGACATCCAGCGTGAGGCCCCGTCCGCCAGGAAGCCCCTGCTGAAGGCCCCCGGGTCGTCCCCATCCGGGATCTCGGGCAGGGGCCGGCTCTGCAGGAGGGCTTCTGCGCACCCCACGAGGGGGGGGACTTGGCATCAGCTGATGGCTGCTCTCGCCACACGGGGCTCGGCTTCTCGCACGCAACGTGTCGGTACGCTGTTGAAGTTGTCGACCAAATGAGAACGACGGGGCATGTCTTTCGAACGCCCGGCTTTCGGTATGTGCTCCGTGCCTTCCACCGTGCTTTGGCTGCACGCGCGTGCTCGAGGTGCACGCCGGAGGCGGGACAACCGAAGGTACTCCCTGCCGTTCTCATTTTGTCAGCGACTGTAGGATACCAACCGTAATCACGTTCACAAATTCCCCAACTGCTCCGGGTCTTCCCGACTAGTTCGAATATATAATACCCTCCAGAACCATCGAAAGCGACAACAATGAATTGTGCGCGATCTTGGACGGTGACCTCCCTGGTGCTGCGGGGCATGAACGAAAAGCGAAGTAGAAGTAGCCACGGGCTGCAAATGCGCGCGACGAAAGGAACGTTCCTGATAGAACAATGGGCGTATGGGACGCAGTAGAACCTTTGCTGGTGATTATTGGCTTCCGTGGTTCAGAGGTTCACGCCGTGCTGACATCAAATGATAAGATGAAAACCGTTCCACCTTTCTACGAGGATTAGCTCCCGGGTCTGACGCACTCGATAGAGGAGGTCGAAATAGCAAGAAACGAAGAATCTGTGATGCAATTGCTCGAAATCGTTTCGGAGCAGCCAAAAATGAAAAATTTAGTTTGGAGCAACAAAACTTCTTTGGGAGCACAAGCATACACTTCGTATCATTCCGTTTTCTTTGTTGTTGTTTTTGTAGGGGGAGGGAGGGGGGGCATCCTGCAACTACTATGCCAGGATTCATGTGTTGGTCTGTACAACTAAAAAGACAATGGCATCTCTGCCTTCTCCCTTCTTTGCAACTCCTCCTTAGCATCAATAGCGCATAAAGTTTGATCATTTCAAACACTCAACTAGCTGCTTCGCTGCACTTAAAAGCACAAGAAATGACAACAAAAAGCCATTATTTTGCTTTAAAGGGCAACTCTGCTCAATTCCGAAAAATTTAGGCTTACATGTGATTCCATTTCACAAAGCACTACTAAACAGCTCTACGTCCTCGGATTCGAGAAATGTGGAATATTATTTGTGTAATCTTAATTTAAACATCAGCTGATACCAAAACCGAAACTTCGGTTGCGTCAGGCAACATTGGTCTCGTGTCGTCAGAGTCATGGCCACGTCACGTCGAACCACATGGTCTTGTGACGTTCGTGGGGGCGAGGGATAGGACACGCGACACGGGCAGGTTGCTTCGCATGGCGGGGACGCTGATGGCCCGGGGGAGAGGGGGAAGGGGACAAGACGAAAGAGGAGAGGGGGAGCGGAGAAACAGACAGATAAGCGCACAGGGCAGCGCAAACTAGTGCATCCGCATTACGGTGATCACGTGGATGCCGTTCAGCCAACACCGGGAGGAGAAACTCATGACATCGTTCAATTTCCTCTGAGAAGTAAAAACAAACAAAACGTGAGAATGACGTAGTCATGCCTCTGACGTAGTGGCTCAACGTTGGCCGGTCCAACTCCGTCGCATTGACTGCGCTGATGATTGCGCCTCACGTCGCACGCTAGAGTTGGCAGATTTCGGCGACTTGGCTCACTTGAAGGTTTGCTGGCCAGTTTATTCAATATATAGACGGAATTAGATCGCAATATTTGAGATGGGGGTCTTCCTATATGATACTGAAGAGGGCTACATAGTTTTCTAAATATCAAAAATGAAGCAGAGTTGCCCTTTAAGAAGGCTCATTCTGACAGCTGCATTTGAAACATATCATGGCTAATGAAGGACATAAAATAAACATCAGTAAATGGCTATTTTAAGTATAGAATCTAACCAAATAGTCTTCAATTGAAATAATGCTAGAATAGAATTCCTTGAGTGCCAGGTTGAATGCTTTAATGAAGTAGTAAAAGAGTGTAATAAAGTTGCAATTCTTAATTATGATAAAAAAATAGTTTTCATGACATTTATTTAAAGGCCACACCAAGCTCCCTTAAACATATTTTTAAGCATCTAAACTAAACTCATACAAAAAAAAAAATTGTAAAAAAATGTTTTAGTGCAATAATTAAGTTGTGAGACCCATTTTGCATTAGGAGCAATTCCAAACACCTCTCAAAATAGAAGCATATTTTGTAATCGCACCTAACTCAATGTGTCGAAATATTGCACTCATCTTTTTTTTTTTTCATACAATTTTTATATTGTAACATCAGTGTCTAAGTACTTATAAAAAAAAAAGGAATTTTTCAAGTTTAGTGTATTTTTTTAAGCACATCACTGACATGTACAGTTTTACCAAGATGCAAAACTGACATGTGGACCTTGTTGAAAGTGATTTAGTATGTCAGGTTTTAACAATTACAATGATTCATATTTGAAGCCTTGTTAGAAAGTTTAATCATTCATATTGACGGAAGTATTCAAATTTTGGGTTTAGGTATGCTGGCCAATGCTTGCCACAGTAACGTTTTTCAAACTTTCCTGGATTATCTAAAATTTCTCTGTTGGTAGACACCCTGGCAACATTCCTAACAAACACCCTCTGGCAGTGCCTGGGTGAATGTCACCCAAGCACTATGGGAAAAATCATTGGCAAAGAAAACACGCTGCTCTTTTTTTCATTTGATTCTATTTTTATCAACACATTGGCATGGCGTCAATGTCAAGTTTCTTGTACATACCTGCCGAACAATACCAAAGATGTTGGCCACAAACTACTAAAGCAATAGCTATCAGTGAGCTGATGGATGCTCAGTCTTTACGAAAGTATGTATACAAAATGTGCAAGCAAAGCTACATCTTGATACACACTAAAAACGCAAGTCCAGAAATGGATAAAATTACTGCAGGCAGTGATTGATTGTCAGATACATTGAATCAAGACACGCGTCAATGTTCCCTCTTATTACGAACAGTGCCTTTCAAATCCAGCAACACTGTTACTTAAATGTAGAGAGCAAACAAAACAGAGCAACTATGAGCAAAGGGTTCACACAGAAGTAGTTTGAGGCTCTAGCACAGAAAGTGCTACAAGGAAAGCCAGAAAAGTATGTTTTCAGCATTAATAAACAAAGCAAACTCATGTTCCAATTTAATCCTAACAAGTCCTAAGCATCTACAAGTTGAACATGAGTCGTGATAAAAGGGACACTTTCCAAGAAGGAAACACAGTGATCTGAACAAAGGTCTTCGGTAACTATTTTTTTTAAACATTCCAGCAAAATGTAATATGATGCATTCATTCCTGCCACAGTAAGGAATGCAGTTAAGAGTTTGCAACAGGATAGCGAGGGGCCTAGATCGACAAATCTGCCCCCCTCACCAACCTGTTGTTAACTCAGTAACAGCTCTGACGTGAATGTTAAAGTTCTGCTGCAGAGCTCATCTTTCCTCTACTACTAGAGGAAAAGAAAAATGAATTAGCAAGATCGAAGAAGGACAGATGTGTTTTTCTGTCACACTCTCAAAAGTGTGGGTTAACTCCAATGCCAATGAAAGTTCCATTTCAGAAGGGAAGCAAATAAGATCCAACTGAGAAAGTGACCACAGTAAAGAGAGGTAGCCCACTGAGTTTGAACATACAGTTCATATACTGCCATAATCACACTAATGTTCTGAAGATTACCCCAGATGTATAAACAAAATCGAAGCATAGCACATATGAAGGAGTAAACAAAAATAACACAATCCCACATTCTTCATAAAATATTTTTCCTCAATTGTTTTAAATTTAATTTTAATATAGAATGGCACTGACGTTTTCTTCCCACCATTATATTTGGCTTTCTTACACACAAACAATTGTGTGATTAGAGTTACTATTTGGGAATAACGGCCCTCTTAAAAAATTATAATTAATATATCTGTAACTAAAATAACCATTTTCAAACTCCATTTTCAGACCATTCAGCTACCTTTGCCAAATACTTTCTCCAAGACAGGGGGGATCCACATTTTCGGATGAATCTGGAGAGATCCAAAAAACACCTGTGGGTAAAAATATTGCATATTCGGATATGTCTGAAAAACTTCAAATATAGAGGCCGCCAATTGTAAAAACCAGATTAGTTTTTTTTTTTTTCGTTAAATCCCAAGGTAATTCACAACATTCTCTTTCTTTTTTTCCATTTTCGCTTTCATTCTTAAGTGACAAAAATTATGCCTTTTTAACCCCTATCACGGGAAGGGGGGAATCCCCCTGAAGTCGAACATGTCTGGCCTTTCCTCTTACAAATTTTTTTCCTAGACATTCATTGACCTTCCCCTTTGGCCTCCTTTTTTTGAAAATTTTACTTGCCTCCTTTTGTTGAAAATTGAACATATATGCACATTCCCTTGCCCCATCTGCAGTGACAACAGGGATGGGCCAAGGGTCAGTTAAACTTTCCCAGTAACTGCCAACAGAAAGCGAAAGCTACCTGCTGATTGTTCCTGGCATGTATCTTTTTCTGTAATCGTTGCAGCCTTTATTGCCTCTAGGTGTTGCTTCGTACAAGCTAGATGACCAATGAAAAAGGCTCCACATTGCAAAGTATCCTAATTGGCACATCCAGATGAACAGACTTCTTCTTGAGACAGGCAAGCGGATTTAATTAACTGTCTCCCACAAATTCACTAATACCTTGGAAGGCTCAGCTCTTGTATGCCTCTAGCTTGAGCACCGCCCCTGGTGAACAAAATGGAATATTTCCCGGAACAAAACAGCTGAAAGGAATGCATTCTTGGCGGTTTAATGAGAAGCTGAGCCCACAAACTACATAAACTTTTTTTTCCTTCATTTTTGCGCATTGTTAGAGCATCTGGACAGATGCTGACAGACGGTAATGTCTGAATGTGGCTCATACATGATTGAACGCTACAGCACTGCCTCTATGACCGTGTCTTGCAGATGCAGCAGCCAGCGTAACATGGTTGCATCTTGCAAACGCGCTCGTGCCACCTGGTCGAGAGACAGGCCTATTGCATCATCTACAAAAGTTCTGTTTCATGAAATTTGACGGCTGCTGCTTTCTGCCTAGCCCAATGACACTAAACATCCGAAAAACTCGGGATTATGTAGTATGAAAGTACCGAGAAACTTTTAACTTCAGGTAAATAAAAATAAAATTTTAGAAACACATTTCGATTTTAGTAAAAAGAAAACAAAAAAACTTTGAGATGCAGGACCCTATTTATAACTAGGTTACTGTCCACTAAATAAAAACAAATGCAACAAATACAAAACAGTACTCTCTGTTTTGTGGTTTCACTAAAGGTGTGATAGTAGGATAAACAGTGTCAGTAGGGTCTTCCATTCATAGAAAATTAAGTAGAAGCTAGCCGATAACGCCTTGATTGTAAGATAAATATCGCACTTCCTGAATCTGTGCAATAAGGCATTGACTCGGATAAGCTCGACACGGATTGCCAAGGCGACCTTATTTATTCGGAGGTCGTATCACTTTAAAAAAATTCCTTTTGGCGTCGTGAATGCGGACGGGATATTTACTCTGGGCTTTTCAACTGCGGCAGCTCCCCTATGATCCAGGGCTCAAACAGAAAAAAACAAAAAAAAAAACAAAAAAAAACCTTGAGCGCCATGTCAGATGTCTGGAGCGAGAGCCAGACATAACCGGATGTCAAGATGCGTCATGACGTACGCTTTCACACGGCTAGTGTAGAACGGTAGAACACATGAAGCCATGTCGAAGAAAAGGTGAAGTCACTCATGCGCTCGACACATCGACGGTCACTTCCCTTCCGCGTAAGGTCGCCGCACGCATTGTATACATATAAAGGATCAATAAAGGGCTTTAATTCAGATAGCACGTACTGCCCGTCTTAGTTGATCCTACAAAAGCCCCATAATACCCTGACGAATAAAGATATAAAGTAAAAGAACAGAAGCCACAAAAGCGATTTTCATGGCGCGGGGATTCTCGGTGCCGGACGAGAACAAACATCTTACGAGAGCAGTCACCGTTCAAGGGAAAATGACGCGGACATTAGGAACAAGAGCTTTAGATTAAAACAGAAACAAATACACTCCCCTCGAATATTATCTCCTTTGCAAGAAGGATCAACAGAAAGGATGATCCACGAAAGCGAATGCGGCAACGCGATCTCAAACATGAGCTAACACGTTCAGACAAGCCTGACCGTGTTGTCACTTTGACGTCTACTGAAAGAACACAGCATGCAAGGCGACTGAAAGTTGGCACGCGAGAACATCAGGTCGTGATCTGACGTGCGCGGACCCTTTAACGATGTCACACCACTATCACAGCGTTCCGAGACCGACTCAATAAAATGCCCGAGCTCACGGAAAAACATCCATCCGTCAAAAGCAATCTTAGGCCTAGTCGGAGGTCGACAAACCTCCATATTTCCCGGTCGAAGGCCCACCAACAATGGTGATCGGCGAACACCAACTCACCACTGTGTTCGGTGAATATGTTGGCGGACACCGACGAGAGCCGGATGTCTTTGGCCTTCTGTTTCTGGCCGTGCTTGGTCAACTTGTTTCCATGACTGCTACTTCCCACGGACGACGCGCTTCCACGATTTTCCTTCCCATGCTGCGCTCCCATTGCCCGGCGTGTCTCGCAGAGGTGGCCCACTGTTCCGCCCGGTGTCCGCGGAACTCGCCTACATCTTCATCGTGCGGGCGGCTAGCGCGAATTCACCGCGAAACTCATCCAACGTCCCCGGCCGCCGCCATTCAAGCGCCGACAGCGGCCATGTTGTTCGGGATGGCTGCCGCTGCTCCGCTGCAGGAATGCACACCCTCAAAACCCGGTGCGAGTTCTCCACTGGGAGAGGAAAAGAGGTGTCGCGTAGGAGTAGCGAAGCGGGAGCGGTGTTGAGCGAGCTCAAGGAGCGCCTGAATCAGCCTGCCCGCTTTCATCACCCGTGGACGCTCACCACCAACAGCCCAACTCTGCGGTGAATCACGCCGTTTGGGGAAGCGGTGCCGTCGAAAAAGTGGCTCGCACTGGCCTAGCTCGCACTGCACTGTTGAGAGAACGCAAGACGGTAATGGGCGAAACACATTCAATTAAGAAAAAAAAAAAAAAAAGGGGGGGGGGGGGGGAGGGGGGGGGGGACGTGAATGGGTAGGTGAAGGAGGTCGGAGGTGAAAGAATGCCTTTGGGGGAGCTAGAAATACGGATTGTCTTATGTATTTTAGTCTTAATTAAACATCTCTTAGAAATAATATAAAAAAAAAAAGAAAAGAAATCTGAGCATAATTAGTGATCTATACGCATCCCCAAATACAAGCTCACTTTCTCCCAAAACAGAAAAAAAAATATCTACGGAACTTTGTAACCCCCCCCCCCCCCCCCCCCGACACACACACACACACACCCTTTCCTTCGAAAAAGGGCGGCCCTTTGAAGGATAATCCTTCCTGCGTAGGCGATAAATTAAATCACATTGAATAGGTCGACTTAATTCCGAACTCCGTCCGGTGTTGGTAAGTTTATGATGACACCAGATGATCTCTGAGTCTATACGCTACACCATAAAAGCAATGTATATGCAAACAAGAGAGCAAGCGCTCCAGCCAGAGAGGTGCTTAGCCGAGGGCGACAACAGACAGGTACTGAGGGGGCGCGATCTTGATAGAATCAACGCCCTGGCAAGGCCAGGCAGAGAGCAGAAGCGCGCTGAGTCAGCGGCGCTCTCAGCGCTCACGCCTCGCATGAAGGAACAACAAAATGCGCTCCCTCCGGTGGGCGAAAATAGGCGAAAAGGAAATGCTCCGCCAACTTTGTGAGCTCGTAAGATCAAACAAACAAAAAGTTGCCGGAACTGGCGCAAAAAGAAGCATTCGCTGACAAAATGTCTTCCGGGTGAAAAAATAAAAATAGAGAAATATTCTTAGATATGCAACTCGAAACATTTAAGAAATTATTAGAGGTCAAAATGATTTCAGTAGCCTAATTATTACTACTCATTTACTAATTCGTGTTTAGTTTGTAAATGGAATAAATGTCCTGGTTAATTTTTGTTTTGTTTATGAACTTTATTTTTAGGAAGTCTTCTATTTTCAGAAAATTAACTTAGTCAGGAAGGATATTGCTTCAGGATGACTGCATTTATTTAATTATTCCTTATGTTCAATCGCCCGCAGTGATCATAATATTTCCAAAACTGCGTTTTAATTAGGCCGTAAATCAAGTTCATAATGAATATTTCGCAAGCTGCTCTGTTGAAATATGGGTTAAATATTTTAATATCGATCTTGGAGGTTATGATTATTAACGCACTATCGCACTGATAATGGCAATGTGGCTTTATTCATTTATTTTTTAGCGGTACTTCGTTTTAAAAGTTTAAATTATGTTTCGAAGTGACTGCACGAGGTCCGGACCTATACAATATTGAACCTATAAAAACAAAATCCATACTTGCATTCATTCAGTAAATAAAACGTGAGCGACTGCTGATCTTGCCTTAATTAGTGCAACTAATCCCTTGTCGAGAAGGATGAGATGGTTGAACTAATTCATTAATTAATTAATCCTTGAAAGGGCGGGGGTCATTGCAACATTGTAATATCAACGTGAAACTCACACGCACGCACACACAGACAGAGACACAAAAGAAACATTGCATTTGCGTAGCAAACAGGCACTCATGACTAGGCTATTTAAATAGGACAGAACAAAAAAAACAAAAAAAAAAAAACAAAAAAAAAACCAATGTATTTGACCAACGACAGGCACTCATGCACGTGCAAAAGAACAAAGCAAAAACTAAATATATCTACGCATCTGATTACCAACAAAGCGCTCACGTACAAGTAATAAAAAAAAAATATGCAAGCCATTTTCATTTTTTATAAATAAAAGCAAAAGGCAAATTAACATCGTAAGAGATGTTTCCTCATGATTGAACACACTAAAAGGATTTTCTTTTTTTAGTTTTTTTTAGAATAGCAAAATATTTTAGGCGGAAACCAGCAAAGTAATTGAACAAATAATTGAAACTAAAAAAAAAAAAGTGTCCGAGGCACAAGGCACCGGTGAGATTCGAACTCACGATCTCCTGTTTACTAGACAGGCGCTTTAACCAACTAAGCCACGGCGCCGACATTCTCCGCTGGCCACGCATCCTAGTTCATTGAGCGGTTGGCATTTAACATGTTGCTATTCTTTTACAGTGCAATGTTTATATTGTCGGGCCATCAAAAGGATTCCCGCTCGCGATTACATCTAGCCTGAACGGGCCACGCCGTGGCGCCGATAGCTTCCCGAGAGCCGCATGGAGACTTTCCGAGGTGCTTTTGTGACCAATGAGGGAACGTACGGAGAGCGCGCCAATTTCAAATGCTCCGAGAGCGTGATCGGGACAATCGTGTTCCTTTTTAGGGCTCATTGTTCCGCAACGGAACTCTAATCGTGCCTGAACCAGCAATCAGGTCCAACCCAACGATAGTTGGCACAAATTTTCCGACATCTTTGCGTATGGCGATAACCGGCGTCATGGGCGCTTGCCTTCCCCAGTTCTCAAAGTGGGGGAGGGGGGAAAGACGTATGTTTTGCCCCCCTTAAAGGGAAGCTACGGAGCTTCTTGGAAAAAATGAGTTAGAAGTGAATTCTAGTGTATTTTTACCACGTGAACCCGAATACCCAAACCATTTGCTGCGTAAGTACTGTTAAACGCGAGAAAAACGCGAAAGACAGTCGCTGTCCATGACGTCATCGACGGCTCTTTTGGCTGCCCAAGGCTAGGGGGGCGGGGCTTCAGCCCTATTTTGAAATTGCTCTTGTGGCTCTCCGGCGCATCGCATTGAAATATAATTTTGATACCTGTTATTCTAAAGGCCAAATGAACGCAATTCAAGCGCTTTTTCTCAAATGTAGAAGTGCCCCATCTTCCCTTTAAACAGCCGCCGCTGGGCAGGGCAAACACTGGCCGGCGGCGCCCAAGGGATACCAAGGGCACCACCCCCCGGCCCGGGGGTGTGTGCGTGGGGGGGGAAGGGTCTGGTTTTGTCCCCCCCCCCCCCCCCCCCCCCTGGTTGGTACGAAACTAAACGGCGTCCAAAGAGGGGTAGGGTAAATAAGGTCCATGAACTGAAACAGTCTCAATCTGCGGTCTGAATATTCGGGTAATTTGACGAAACTATTGTGGGCCTCTCGAAAATCATGGGCTTCAGAGTATTTGAGAAATACAACGTAGCATCGGCAGACGAACGAAGGCACGTACAGGGAGTGGAGCTAAGTTCAAGCACGAAACGAAACACATATTAGTACGCTTTGTTTCCCCGCCTGGCTGATAAAAAGAACACAAAAAGGAAGTAATTAACACAAGCACGCCCCAAAATTATCATCGAAAGTTGTTTTCTATACAAATTCGCATAAAAAGTATAGGTTTTTATCATGAATGCAGTGAAATGGAAGGTGGGCTAACGCATTTGTATCCTGTTTTATCATTCACTCTTTTTGTGAGCCTCGTTTAATGTTATAAATGCGTATCACATTCCCAGCGCTTGCACAGAGACAACAGAAGTCCGAATTATCTAAGAGACCCGGGAAGGGGGGGGGGGGGGGGGGGGAGGGGGGAGGAAGTGGTGGTAGCGTGCATTTGGGTATCCACTCCCGACTTCTCAAAAAGCACGAACGGAGAGAGGGACTAAAGGGGTGCCCGGTCCATTTGAACCCTTTAAACCCCAGATAACCCGGTCCTGGGTAGCGCGTCGATAGCTTTCCTAAGGCCACCCCATAAAGTGGAGTGGAGATGCCGTCTAAGAGAACGAGTCAACTATCTTCAGGGACAGAAGCACTAGATTCAGGTGCCGGTCTACCGTCGTCTGCTCCTCGACAGAGCTGGCTGTCGACCGTAATCCATCATTAACCCTTTCCCTACCTTGGACGAGCTGTGCTCGTCCACGCTACCATGGACGAACTGCGCTATACTTTGTTTCACCTTATGTTGTACCGCAGCGAAGGCTAGAAGCGCGAGCTCATTGCGTTGACAGCTGCCCTTGGTGCACGGGAGCTTGTGCCGCCGAGATGCGCCCTAGAGCAAGGAGCTCGCGCTTGTAGCCTTTCCTGCGGTACAACACAAGGTGAAACAGAGTATAAAGCACATAAAAAAAAAAAACAAAAAAAAAAAAACAACGGCATCTTCCAATTTTTTTTTTTAATTTTTGCGGTAGACAAAGGGTTAATAGCAATGAAAACGACTGTCGATGCTATCGAGCGTTCAGTTCAGTTAGTATCGAAAAACTACCATGAGCTGCTTTCTCAAATACCACAGCCAGGAAAGGAAATAACAGATGTCAAGAAACGTGTCAAAGAAGTGGAATCAAGCAAAAACACTGAAGTAAAACAACAACGACAAATAAACAATCTGGAGCAAAACAGCAGGCTCCAAAACATCGAGGTGCACAAGTTAGTGATAACCGAAAACGAAAATTTGCTGAATCAGTTTAAAGCGCTATCAGAACGTCTGGAACTGACAAATTTGACTGAGCAAGATATCGAATCAGTGCATTTTTCCATCCAAGCCTGCGAAAGCGCCGGTTGTCTTAGCGCCCTTTGCTTGTCGTGTCATAAGGAACACATGGCTACAAAAAATATTACCAACTAAAACAAGAGGGGGCAACGTTGCGAATCTATAAAAACAAAACAGCACAAAAACAATAAAAATAACTGTTCTGGCAGATAAAAACAAAAGCCACGGAAAAGGGATACCGATTGGCATGGCACAGAGAGGGCAAAATGTTCGTACGAAAAGCACGGGGTGATCGCACAGTCAAGATCGAATGCGTAGACGATACTGAGCTAATCCGGTAAGAAAGAAAGACAACACTTTTTTTTTTGTTCTGGGTTATGGAAAGTTATTTGTTGACTAATCTATGCCTCATTCCTGAAGAATTCATAAATACCATAAGCAATCAGGGTCGATCTGCATTGTCTTTTCTTCACATGAACGTCCACTCTAGGCTATGAAAAGGTGATGATGCTGAAAATGTTTTTGATACTTTGCGTTTTTCTTTTGGTATTCTCATGTTTTCTGTAACATGAGAAACTTCTGACTCAAATGGCTTTGTATAGCCTAATT